TGTCTCAATTTTAAAGTTTAATTGGTATCTTTAATATGATTTCACTGTTTTTGTGGACTGGTACGATTAAGCCAAGCAAATGGCAGCTGATCAGTTCAAAGTACTTTTAGTACTAATTATCGCAAATGACAATAATTTTGGAAACAAATTTATACTAAATAGATTACTAAGCATCTAAGGTAAGTAAAACTAGATGAACAACTGAGTCAATAGTGAGAAATAGGCCAAAATGAACTGCCAGAATTGAAATAGACTGCCATCTTGTTTCCAGTCCTCTAAATAATCTATGCTCCAGCTTTCGCCAGAAACGTACTTGACGTCCGTGAAACTGGGTAATACTGGAATCTAGAGCCCTGTTGAGAAAGACATGGGATGGGTAGATCGCTGAAAGGCCAAATACATTTTCAACATGGCTGAAATGCTGCTTTCTCTTTGAGGCTAAGCCTACCTTGTAATACATAGACTTTTATAAGATGTCATTGAAAATACTAATAATGGGAACATGACCCAGAAAGCCACAACTGGCACAATGCCAAATGTCAACTGCCAAATGGCAGACTCATTAGCATGGCTCCTAAAGAAATGCTAGAAATACAATATGCACTTATTGATGTCTGTGAATAACAACAGTTGGAACTAAGTGCATGAAACATAGGAGCATAAAAACCAAATTGTACCAATTTATTTGACAGTCCACACCCCAAACCGGATGTGGCTGAATATAGCTCCTCATTTCCACAAAAATCCATCTTTCATTTTGGTCCTCTGGGTGGGTATAGTTCATCGAAATATGGAGATATGCAAGTTCGAAATAAATGGAGACTAGTAAAATTGATTTATGTGCATGGAATTTGGATTTCGGAGATGAATCACCGATCCAAAATTGAGTTGTTATCAAGTTTGATTTCCTAAATTCTATGTCCGGTTACTATGGTCTTAACACTCAGAGAGCATCCTCTGAGAAAGTATAAATGCAATGCAAATAGTAAAACTAAAACCAAATGATTCGAAAGTGTGATATATTTTGCAGGAATGAATACAGTGACGATGAAATCACGAAAAATAGGGTCTGTCAAATTTTGCTCGAATTTTCAATTTTGTAGGACCCCTTCCTGGTTTAAGAGTGTGTAAAATCAAAAGAAACTTACCATCATATCTCTCTGCCTGCTCTGCCAACTTGGCTTTGTATACATTATCCTCTCTATCTGCCATTTTGGCTGGATGTTGACAATTTAAACAAGATTTTAACAGATATTTTGTGGAGTTTATTCGCTATGGAAAATCAAGATGGCCGCGCCCGCCAACAACCGAAAGTAGTGCTTGACCTAATTTGAAAAATTCATCCGCTGAAATTTAAGAATGAAATAAACCTTTCATGCCGAAAAAAGTTGAAAATGGTACCAATTTCCATTGAAAATCAACTAAATTATTCTATATTATGCTTTTTGATAAACATCTACCCCGAATATCCTACGCAGGTCAAATAAACTATATTAAATCAAATGTTATTGGTATTTCATATTCCAAGTTGTTCTTGTGATACAAATATTGCCTGAAACACAGAATATATGTTTTTAGTATTTTCAACTAATGTCACCGTCATAATTTCGCAAAATGCAGTTACATGCACTAAAAATGAGACAGAACTTTATCATCTGCGGATGATCATAGCGCACCTTGTATGAAAATCGGCCACAGCTGTCACATGATATATTTACGTCATTCTTGTTGGCATAGCGACACATCCTTAGCTAAACGAAACCGAAACTGATATTTGAAATAAGTAAGAATTAAATGATCAAATATGTTTGCTTTCAGGTAGCCTTTTCCTCTTACATTTCATTCATTTATCATAGTCTAAATGGGTAGCATGTGATTGTCTGAGGTGTAAGATGGTGGCTAGAGTAGGAGAGATGCCCAGGGAGGGGGTAACCATCAATGGTATCATCACACATTATAATAGATTTACATCAAGGTCTATGCTTGTTTTTTTTAGTTCACCAAGTCTATATGTATCAATTCAAGGTTCTGACATCACAACCCAATTATTTGATTTTAACTATAGGGTATTTAAAATTTCAATTTCATACTCAAGGAAATCAGTTCAAATCACACACATCAAAGTCCTCCAGACATTTTTTCTACGGAGATTTTAATGGCGGAGTTTCTCTTTCATTCCAGTTGATAAAACCCAGAATCAGATATACAGGGGTAACAAAATTCCAAAGAAATTGCACAATTGATCTTCCAATATATTTTTCATCCAAAAAGATCAATAATGTCTCAAATGGTAAGATAAATAAAGATTCAAGAATGACAAGGAATGGCACAAATCAAATATTCTAGTATTGAGACAATTTTTTGGAAAGGTTGCTCCATGGATCTGCTTCTGCCTCTAATTTGCAATATATATAAGGGCCCCTACTATATGTTGTACATATTTAAATACAAACATGTACTCTTGTTGAGGCTACTTTGACATGCCATCATAAATTAGGCGTTCTTAAATTTTCAATTGACAGTCAACAGCATGTAAAAAATGACAGTACACAGTATAATTTGGACAAATATGACATTTTATTATTTTAGTTTATCTAACTCTTATTTTATTTCAAAATCCATAACATCATTTTATAACAGGTGAAAGGGTGCTCGTTTTTTCAGTGGTGATTTTCCACTTTTTCAAAACCCGTAAAAGTATACTCATTCTACCATACAGCATCTTGCACTATTTGGTACAGCTTACCATACTGCATTTTGTACAATTAGGTACAGCTTAACTTCAAAGTTCAAAGAACTACATTGCAAACTTAACCAGTTAAAACATTGTCCCATGCTCCAAAATTGGTAAACTAGTACACTCAACTTGCGCTATGCATGTTCCATTTGTTATGGCATTACTGACTTCATGCTCAACAAAATTTGATATCATACAAGGAATGTTCAAAAAGTTTCAATTCAACAAAGATACTCATATCTGGACACCTAGTAGATCTAAATAATCAAAATGAATGGTGTATATGATCAGTTTTCATGAAGCTTGATCTCTAAAATTGAATTTTTTTGAGAATTTTTTGAACACTCCTTGTATAAAAATAAATATTTGCATAATTTCAAAGAGAAATGGTAACTTACAGTTTCATACCATAATAAAACGAAGCGTGTATGTATAACATGTATAACAGAACTTATTGAGAAATTATTGAGACAAAAAACTGTACTCTCTAAGTACATTTTAGTACATTTCAACAAAAATATTACTTCTCACTTCCCAATTAACATTAAGATATATTTTTGTGAAATAAATTTGGCAAATAATGAATTTACTTATTTTCATTCATCAAAGCTCTATCTATACAAAAAATTCTGTCTGATTATTCTGCAGAAAGTATTATAAATATTTACAGTAAAACCTTTCAAAGTGAACACCTATATAAGTGAATCACTCTGCTGGAACATGTGCTATTTTATTTGAAACATCACATGTTATTAATTAATAAGCAGTGAGTGCCCCTTTTGAGTCAAAAGAATGAGTCAAATACTTTTTATTGGTGTTCAAATGAGATAGGTTCCACTGTAATCCCAATTCCCAAAACATACAGTATCTTAGAATGCAGAGATCAGCTCAAAATATCAAAATCAACTAAAAATTTGGCCACAAAAAATCTCCTTGTCTGATAGGCCCACACAGCACCTCAAATAATGAGTATAAAAGTATCATCATTATATTCATGCAAAAGGAAAGTGTTTAACAAATCGATAACGTCACATAGCAAATTGGTTTGCCATTAGGTCTAACAGACCTCCCACTCTATGGTTTTAATTGGTTTAAACATACAAGACTTTCAAAGAATAGTCCCTTGTGTGTAAAGATAATGTACATTAAGCATGAATAATTGAGGTTTGAATATGATCACATTGATTGCGTCAATACACGTACAGTAAAACCTGTAAAGTGGAATGACCTTGGTGGTATCTCAAACAAGTGTTCCACTTGGGAGGTATTCCACATTCAGAGGTTCAATTTACATGAAGTAAATACAAAAAAGTGCACCACTTCTAAAGGTGCTCCACTATAGAGGCATTCCCCTTAACAGGTTTTAATGTATGTTCAGCAGATTTCAAATCAGTCTGTAACCACACCGATCAACCAAAGGCAAAACTACTGGTATGCTTCCAGTATTATATTATATTTCAATGGTGGACATTGGTATTTTGAGCTGACCTTAAATAAACAGGAATCAAAAAACTGCACTACAAATATAATTGAAGCTACTTTGTGATTCAGATTGAATTATGCATCTGTAATTAACAATAAATATAAATTCATTCCTTTATGACCTTGTGTTAAAATGTCTTGGTAGTCATATTTATCTAACTGGCTTATCCATTCTCCAAGACCCCAATGCACTTGTAACTACCTCTGCGGTTGGCAAATTCCTTAGATGCACAGGTTCAACTTCCAGATATCATTATCAATCCTGTAAAGGACGATTCTCGGTTTGGAGAACAGTCTCCTGGGCTAATAATTTAGTTAATTGAAAATATAGAAATATTACCCAAATTAATCTATGAATATTCAAAAGAGGACATTTAGATCTACAAGATGTAAAAATAACAAATTGGTCTGAAGCAGGGATAACGCTCAATTAGACCGATTCAATAAAATACAAGTCTCGATTTGGGGAAAGAAGTTCATCAGTGTACTGCGCTAACATTTTTTTTGCGAAAAATCTAGAAATATTACCCAAATTAAATTATGACCATTCAAAAGAAGACATTCAAATCTATATTATGTAAAAAAATCAAATTTGTCCGAAGCAGGGATAATGCTCATTTAGATTGATGAACTTCGTTCTCCAAACCGAGAATCGTCCTTTGCCCTTTCCCCCAACCATTTCAACCTTCGTCATCTTCAAGGATGTCGGGAAAATAAATTAGGGTTACAAAGACTGTTCTTAGTTGGAAAGGGTAAAACCAATCTACAATTTATTTACCCATTCTGGATGAAAAAGCAGTGAAAAATATGACTAGCAGACATTTTTAGTCAACTCAGCATTCTGTTTGAGCACACAACTTATATTATCAATGGTGTCTCATAATATATTTTCTCAAAGAAATAATTCCCAAAATAACCACAGGTGTCTCAAGCTGTTTCCATGAGACAATATTATTCATTGAAGCCTGTCTGTTCACAAGCACAGACCCCCTTTGTACGCAAAGAGCACATATGATCTTGGAACCTCTGGCGGAGAGTTTTACGAAGTTGTTGTCTCTGGGTATCCATTAGAGACTGCTTAGCCTTAAATTGCTGAATTTCTTCCTCAGTGATGAAGTTGTTTTCCTCATCACCCGATGAACACGGCTCCTGCAAAATTAAAAAAACATTATGACAAGTGTAAACAAGGTGGAACATTATCACAAAATATCAACAACACATACTTTTTTGTACTCTTTCCTATGTTCATTTTCGAAATAATCCCTTTTTAGGGGCGGGGTCAAAATATCGATGTTCATATGGAGACGAAAGTAATTTCGTTTGGACAACAACCCCCCCACCCCCCTCTAGACGAAAGCTTAGGTCACTTCAAAAAAACATTGATTTATGAGAGGCATAATCGTATCCTATTTGCCGGGTTATTATTACGGTGAATTAACACACGTTCGCAATTTAACTGCATTGAACTCTTCAAAAGGAGGAGGGAAAAGTACGGAATTTATTTGAAAAATGATCGAATTATCGTCTTTATCTACCGATATTTTGGACCTATCACACAAAAAAGCTCACGAACTATTGAAAACAAGCCTTTTTATCAGAACATAGCGCCAGAAAAAGTTGGTAAGTCCAATTATTTTTTGTATATCAGATCTGAATTATCGATGTTTTTTTGGTCAACGAAAGTGCACAAAAACCCCCTCCCCCCTCACGAAAGTACTTTCGTCTCCATATGAACATCGATATTTTGACCCCGCCCCTTAGACACATCTTCATCAAAATCATTCATTTCAAAATATTACACACTGACATGAGACATTCCCCAGGAATACATAAAGTGCAGAGGAAATAAGCTTGATAAGTAACAAAAGTATTTCAAGAAATTACAAAATCAGTCAATTTGAAGATTTTTTCTTTAGTTGACTTTTGATTATTTGAATACTATACCTCCAGCATGTCCTCAAGAGTCAATGTAAGACCTCCGTATCTTTGGTTTATGCTCCCATTACTTAAAGCTCCATTCTTCATTGATCCAACATCTCTCTGCTCACACTGTAATACACACAAGTTACACTTAAATAAAGAGCATTACACTGAAATACACACAAGTTACACTTAAATATAGAGCATTACACTGAAATACAAATATATAAGTGTAAGACCTCCGTATCTTTGGTTTATGCTCCCATTACTTAAAGCTCCATTCTTCATTGATCCAACATCTCTCTGCTCACACTGTAATACACACAAGTTACACTTAAATAAAGAGCATTACACTGAAATACACACAAGTTACACTTAAATATAGAGCATTACACTGAAATACAAATATATAAGTGTAAGACCTCCGTATTTTTGGTTTATGCTCCCATTACTTAAAGCTCCATTCTTCATTGATCCAACATCTCTCTGCTCACACTGAAATACACACAAGTTACACTTAAATATAGAGCATTACACTGAGGTACCAAGATATTCTTGCTTACCCCCCTATCACACCAAACTAGTTCTTACTTGTTCTTGACAGTCCTACGAAAACGTCGTAAAACGGGCTCAATTTGGCTGTGGTCGGGAAATATGTCTAAAATAATTAGCTACTTCTTTCATAAACAGTCTTCAATATGTTCATCTTATTCGCAGTTCGTTCAGGTCGCACCACAACGGTGTGCAACGTCGTATAACGCGTCCCTTAGTCTAGAAGGTCATCATGACCTGATTACAGAATGATATGGTCGCCATCGAATTGATTCAAAATTCTAAATCAAGTTCCCCGTCCAGGAAAATCCATGAAGTTCGTAAACAGACCGAAGAACGTTGTAGCTACGTTCATACCGTTCGCACACAGTTTAAAACTAGTTTTGAAGAACGCAGTGGCAACTTGCTTGGTGTGATAGCTATATTCATTGAAAAATACGTTCTTAATCAGTTTTAACCTATTTGCAATTAGTTCTACCTCGTTTTCAATTTGTCCTCAGACGGTTCAACTCGTTGTAAAAATGTCCCTAGTAGGATTGAAGTACCACGGTTCCGTTCGTAGTACGTCAGCTCGTTATTAGTAGGTTGTCACTCGTTCTAAATGTAGAACGTGACGACAAAGAGAACATTTTGAGCATGTTCTAAGTTCTAGAGGACCTACCTGTTCGAGTACGTTCGATGAAGTTTGTAAATATACCCCAAATGGTTCTAAGTACGTCCAGTCCGTTCGTACACAGTTGAAGCCTGTTTTCGAGAACGTAGTGAGAACTAGTTTGGTGTGATAGTTGGGTTATATCGTATTTTAATATGTAAATGTTACAATGTAAAATAGAAAATCACCTTTTGCTTGCTATTAGGAAACCCTTGTTCTTACCTTTCTGACAAAGCCATTCTTCCGAGGTGATTTCTTGACGCCGCTCTCCAATGTAGTACAGTCATGGCAAACTTCAGGTAGTTCCCCATGCATGTGCCTTATACAACATGGACTAGAATCACCTGTTGAAAAGCATAACAGTGAGTTTATGAGAGGGTAGGACTACAGGGGCATATTTGAGAGGGTAGGACTACAGGGGCATATTTGGGAGGGTATGGCTATATGGGCATATTTGAGAGGGTAGGGCTATATGGGAATATTTGAGAGGGTTTGGCTATATGGGCATATTTGAGTGGAATGGGGCTATATGGGCAAATTTGAAAGGAATGGGGCTATGTGGGCATATGCTAGGGTAGGGCTATATGGGCATATTTGAGTGGAATAGGGTTATGTGGGCATATGCTAGGGTAGGGCTATATGGGCAAATTTGAGAGGGATGTTCTCTAGAATAGAGCACTCTTGCCGATCCTTGGGTAGTTTCCCATACACAAGTCTCATAAAACATATTCTTTCTTCAAGTTTAATTTAAAATTCTGGATTTATAGATTACAAAATGAAAAATTAATTATTAAATAGATAATAATAAAGTACGCCATAGTGACAAATCAAACCTGGCAGGAGATTAAGATGTCGGGTAATAGCTGAACTTAATCGACTCACCATCTTGACTGGCGATTTCTGATCCTTCAGCAGAACTTGGTATACTACAACTTTCACAGCCTTCCAACCATGATGAGTACCCCTGATCACCGAGGCAACTACTGTCACTACGGCAACTGCTATCACTACGACTGCTATCACTATTGCCTAGAAACATAATTGTTAGGAATAAGTGACTTGGAATAAAATGTGAATAGAGCTTCCTGATATAAGAATTATCAAGGTATTTTATCCTCCAAATTTATTTAAGAACATTTGACAAGTATTGAACCTTTCTGTACATGAACTTAGTCTCGCTTTACACATTTAGTTTGAAATTAGATAAATATAACGTATGTTTAAGCTGTTACCATGACAACTATCAGCTACAATACTATGGTAACCATTCTGGTTCTGGTTTCCATTCCGACAACTGGTTTCGCTAAGCAATTGGCAACTGGACCCGCCTTTAGCTCCTCCTTTTTTCTCAGCCCCACCCCCTTTTATGACAGGTTGTCTTTGGCCATCACAGTCTTGACAGCTGAGTGGCAGGTTACTAGCCTTGGAGGAGTGGTCATCACAGGAGGCACAGATTGTAGCAGTGGTATTGGTATTTTCATCACACTAGAACAAGAAATTGACAGGTAGTAGTGTGGTATGATATGACAAGTGATTGACAGGTAGTCATGTGATATGATATGACAAGTGATTGACAGGTAGTAGTGTGATATGATATGACAAGTGATTGACAGGTAGTAGTGTGATATGACAAGTGATTGACAGGTAGTAGTGTGATATGATATGACAAGTGATTGACAGGTAGTAGTGTGATATGACAAGTGATTGACAGGTTAGACAAGTGATTCTAGCCTTGAAGGATATATTTTTATAACACAGGAACAACAGGGTAGATTAACTGCTTTCATAATTTGGAAAACATTTTTCTGTTTCCATGCACCTGGCATTGAGGCCAGCACCAAATTTGCATTTGACAACATTCATGAGCTTTAATGAAAAGAGCTAGAGAATAATGTTAGAAACCTGTGACATAGATTTGAAAATATGGATCAATGCCAAGTACATCAATTTTCCTACCTTACAGTTTTCCTTTTCATTATCAATGTCGGGTTTTGCACTTTTTTGTTTCTTTTTCTTCTTCTTCTGACGTTTCTGTTCGCGTTTTTGTTCCTTGGCACGTTCTTCCAGCAGCAGCTCTTCGCACATTAACTCCAAGTTAGAAACCCCCTGTTTCTTCTCAAGCTCCATCTAGAATAAAACAAATCAAACACATGAACACAATGACTCCAAGTTAGAAACCCCCCGTCTCTTCTCCTTTTCCAAAGGAAGTTATATTTCTTCAAGTCTATGCACCTCAATACCTTAACCTGGTTAATTGTTGTGGTATTTTCACATATTTAGAGTCTCAGTTGTCATGACAATCTCATGAGCTCTCACCTCAAAACTTTTCATCAATGAATCAATTTTTGTGGTATTTTCACATATTTAGAGTCTCAGTTGTCGTGACAATCTCATGAGCTCTCACCTCAAAGCTTTTCTTTAATAAATCAATTTTGTGGTATTTTCACATATTTAGAGTCTCAGTTGTCGTGACAATCTCATGAGCTCTCACCTCAAAGCTTTTCTTTAATAAATCAATTGTTGTGGTATTTTCACATATTTAGAGTCTCAGTTGTCATGACAATCTCATGAGCTCTCACCTCAAAACTTTATATCAATGAATCAATTTTTGTGGTATTTTCACATATTTAGAGTGTCAGTTGTCATGACAATCTCATGAGCTCTCACCCCAAAGCTTTTCTTCAATGAATCAATTTTTGTGGTATTTTCACATATTTAGAGTATCAGTTGTCGTGACAATCTTATGAGCTCTCACCTCAAAGCTTTTCTTCAATGAATCAATCCCCATGTAGAAAAGAATCTGCCATGTCTGTTCTTCAGCTCTCAACTTCTGCCATATTTTGTGCAGCCTCTCATACAAGTGTATCCCCAGACATGTTAATACTTCTTCCTGTGCGACATCTATAGTCTTGGCGTGACGCTCTCGACGATTGCTAAAAGATGTGTATAACATATAATTTATTTGACCAGAGAGTGACCTCATGAACAAAACACATGCTTTCGAGCCTGATAATCCTTATATTTTAAGCCACCATTCTTGAAAGCCCCCATCTCCTACTGCACAACACTTACGTTTTTTTTAATGTTCCATTTTATTTCAAGCAATCAAGTAAATACAGCACTTGGAACCAGAATTGATAAGGTTAATTACAAAAAATACAAACATAGCGGCTTGTTTTTATAGTGTATATTATATAAGAATTATGAAATAAATAAATTGAATTGAAATTGAATTAGCAGCAATTATACCTTTATGTAAGGGCAACATAATACCTTGAACATATTACACTTGCAACCTCACTGTATCAAGAATTTCTAATTTGCTGTTATAAATCAAGAGTTGTTAAAGTTAAAGTTGTGAAAAGCTATAGAACAAACCCAGTTCCTGCACTTACTTTCCAACAAGTTCTGGTTCTGCTCTGACGATCAAACGTGCGATAAAGTCTGTCTCACATGACACATGGACGTGCTTCTCCTGGTGACAGCATCTGCAAACATTCATTAAAACTTATAATTTTTGTTAAATAAATCAGCTTCATCAGCCAATTAAATGGAAATTAGTATATAATAGTTGTATATTTGTTCAGTGTTCCAAAATGAGAGTCAAGTTCGGCAAATCAGGACAAGGCATTAACGTACAAAATGTCACCATCTGCCATTTGAAACGGACACCGACTGCTAAATGCCAAACGATGACCATCAAAGGTCATCCAAAAAAATAGTTGAAGACTAAAACAATAGCTCACCACCAAAAACAAAATCAGGTATCCGTGACACGTCAACTGTTAAGAGTATAACCATGGGCGTAGCGCTATTTTTCGAAGTAGTACACCACCACGGGAGCCCGCATGGGAGCAAGAGTAGAGAGAAACAAAAACAAGCCTTCAGGAGGTCAGGGGGGGGTTCCCCAGAATTTTTTTTAAATTTGCTTGTATTTGGAGCAAATTTGCAACCATCTGGTACGCCTGTGTGTACCCAGCGTACCGGGCGCTATGCCCATGATAACTCATAACGAATAGCTGATTACCTTAGACCATCATAGAGCATAGGGCAGTATGCCTTCTCTTGGGTGCAGTCTACCTCTCCAACTAATATCTTGTAAGCCACCACTACTTTAGCTTTACACTCTGAGCAAAACCTAAAATAAACAATAAGACCTCAAATAATTCTAAAGGGACAATCACAACTGTGGAGCAATTATCTTAAACAGGTGTGTGACTGATATAAATGGCTCGTGTGGGAACCTTTTGTCTATGCTTGAGACTATTATAAACTATTGCTACTTAATTACAAATGATTCATAAGCGATAATTGTAAATTTTGATTTGTGCATTGTTAGGCATATTTGTTACTCTAAGGGCCAACTATATTTTCCATTCAGCGTTTGTCTTTGTTGGAACAAAATATTAGATGGGATATAAATATTTTCATGACACTCAACAGTGCAAATTTCTCATTTTCACAATTCAGACCAAAATTGGTCAAAATATGCCAATATTTCATGATTTTTTCTCATTTTCAAGTGGGTGAAAATGGATTTTCAGGTGGGTGCAAGCCTATTTTCAAAATCTCAGGTGGGTGCTGTGCCCACTTGCTTTAATGCTGGGGAGATCACTGCTCAAGGCCTAGATTGAAAGATTGGGCCTATTGGTCCCAAAATCGAATGTGACCCTCAATCATGTCAATGTATCATTTTAAACCCGCACAGCCCTCCAAAACGCAATCTTGGGTTGTTTCGAGGGTGAACTTTATCATTTCAGATTATAGAATGATGAACAAATGGGGCAAATCTTGTGTATTAATACTTACGATAAATGTGTCATTTCAAAGATTGTTCATTGAATTGCTTCGATTGGTGACGACGATATGATTTTGGAAAGGTTTCTAAATTAAGAACGTGACGTCACTTCCGAATTATAGCATTCAACATAAATAGCGTTTAATTACTCATATCTTTCATAATAACTTGGTGGTCTTGCGCTAGAATGCTCGCTCAGCACGCAGGAGGCCTGGGTTCGAATTCCACACCCAATTTTTCTTCTTATTTTTTTTAACTAAATGATTGTTCTTTGACATTACGCAGAAAAAACAATTTTTATTTACATAAACTTTATATTACTGAGCTTGAAAATGTAAAAACAATATGTGTCAACATATTGCGTTTTGGAGCGATGTGCAGGTTTAAGCTTTAGAAGTCCATGCTTTCTAAACATACCTGTGCTTTCTTAAATAGTTATCTAATGTGTCCATAAGACTTTCTGCATCAATGAGCACAACTTCTTCCCGGCATTCGGTAGACATCACCTGCCACACATCCTTCCAGCAACTAAAATAAGAGAGATATAGAGGTTATCTCATGGGAAAGATGGAATATGAATTTTATTCTGATACTCAAGGGGCGAGGAGGAAAATTCTCAATAAATGGTGTATAGTTGGTTTGGCAGCATTTTCAGTTAGGGGAGAGTCTTGGATGAATTTTCCGCCTAGGTGATAGCTTCACAGAGTGGTAGGAAGTTCCTTTTTTTGAGGAGTTAGCCCCCCACCCCCCAAAAACACGCCACCCTGGGGAAAAAATTGTTCACACTAAATAACCTTAGATATTTTGATGTTTGTAAGTGACATACATAGATATTATATATATGAATCACTTGCAGTATAATTGATGCTGATAAATCCTAAAGAATTTGAAAATTAGTACAAGGAATGTACCCCAGGGGGCAAATTCGTGACTCATTTTCTTACTATTTTGATTCTAACTTTTCAATTAGACACTGTAAGAGGTTGGAAAAATTCATGTGAAGTGCCCAATAGCAGGGTTAGAAACCCTGAAAGATGCAAAGCCATGGAAGAGGTAGGAGCTGAGAAAAAAATTGTTGATTTTTCGAAAAATTTGACATTTTTGACAGCTGGATTTTGTGTATGACTATAGCTGACCCATATAACTTCTAGATCCATCCCTCTATGATGATATTTATGGTTTTATACTGTGAAACTAAGATGTAAAACATAATTTAGATGGGTTTTAAGGAAGTTAAAGGTTTTAAAGAAGTCCAAAATTTGAAAAATTGTAAATATAAGGTTTCAAATTTACGAATTCCAGGTATAGCCATGGCTGACCCCTATAGTTTCTAGATCCATCCCTCTATGATGATATTTATGGTTTTATAGTATGGAACTAAGATGTAAAACATAATTTAGATGGGTTTTAAGGAAGTTAAAGGTTCTAAACAAGTCCAAAATTTGAAAAATTGTAAATATAAGGTTTCAAATTTACAAATTCCAGGTATAGCCATGGCTGACCCCTATAGTTTCTAGATCCATCCCTCTATGATGATATTTATGGTTTTACAGTATGGAACTAAGATGAAAAACATAATTTAGATGGGTTTTAAGGAAGTTAAAGGTTTTAAACAAGTCCAAAATTTGAAAAATTGTAAATATAAGGTTTCAAATTTACGAATTCCAGGTATAGCCATGGCTGACCCCTATAGGTTCTAGATCCATCCCTCTATGATGATATATATGTTTTTATAGTGTGGAACTAAGATGTAAAACATAGTTTAAATGGGTTTTAAGGAAGTTAAAGGTTTTAAAAAAGTCCAAAATTTGAAAAAATGTAAATATAAGGTTTCAAATTTACAAATTCCAGGTATAGCCTTGGCTGACCCCTATAGTTTCTAAATCCATCCCTCTTTGGTGATATTTATGGTTTTGTAGTATGGAACTAAAGATGTAGAACATAATTTAGATGGTTTTTAAGGAAGTTAAAGATTTTAAACAAGTCCAAAATTTGAAAAATTGTAAATATAAGGTTTCAAATTTACGAATGTTAGGTATAGTCATGAATGACCCTTATGGTTTTTCATCCATACCTCTATGATGAAACATATATTTTTAGAGTGTGAAACTAAGAAGTAAAACATACCAAAGATGAATTTTAAGGAAGTTTAAGAATTTTAACAAGTGCAATGTTTAAAAAATTGAGAAATATCAGGTCTCAAAGGAGCACGGAAAGTATCGCAACATATTTCAGACAGTCATATGTTAGATTTTGTCTGTTTCCCGAGGATTTAAGCAGGTGCATATGATAGGCCATTGCATTACCTACAGGAAAAGAACTCTTAGAGGTCAGGGGCGGATCCAGGAACCAACAAGGGGGGGGGCCCAAATTTCAGGTCAGAGAAAAAACGTCCGCGCTTGCGCGGAAAAAAATTTTGGGCCCCTAAAATCCAAAAGTGGGCCCAAATTTTGAAATTTTGAGGCCCATTTTCTTCAAAATTTGGCCTGAAATTAACAAATAAGGCCTTAAAAGGCCCAGTAATGACCAAAAAGGCCCACTTTTTGGGGCCTGAAGGCCTTGTTTGGCCCAAAAAATTTTTTGGGCCCAATTTTTTTTTTCTGGGCCCACCCAAGGGGGGGGGGCCCGGGCCCCTGGGCCCCCCCCCCTAATCCGCCAGTGGAGGTGATAAAATAGTTTGGACTTTGAGACAGCGAAGGTGCAAACAATACACCCACATGTTTTTTCGAAAATGTTGTCCTGATTTTCAAGCCCTTTCACCCCTGCTTTTTCAATTTTTGTTGCATCAATATGTTGTGTTTTGAGACAAAGTTAACCCATAAAAAGGAATAATAAATTTCTTTTAGATAAAGCAGAAAACAATATTTTCCTGTTATTTTCCCATAGGGAAAACTCATGTGCTCCATTACTTTCAGCTTAATTTTGGTCACCCATATTTGATATCTTTTAAACCCCTGATGGAATGCATTATTTCTTTAAAGGGGTTAACTGTTTGTCAAAACACAACATATTGATGCATGTGGGTGGGTTGTTTGCACGCTGTCTCAAATAGAAATTATTTTATCATCTCTATGAGTGCTTTTCCTGGAGGAAATGCATTGGCCTAACATATGCACCTCCTCATATCCTCAGAAAATAGCAAAAATCCAACATGTGACTATCCTAAATCTGTTGCGATACTTTCAGTCCTCCTTTTCGATTTCAGGTATTGCCTTGGATGTCCCTCTTTTTGAATGGATGACTTTTTAGCTTAGAAATTAGATGTTGAAAATATTGTGGTCAGGTTTGATCCATGTTACAAGTATTGTTGTTAAAAGAAATATCATTACATTTGAGGACCTTACCCTAGAGTTCCTAAGGGGGTGAGAGGTTAATAAATCCCCCCCCCCCCTAAAGTGTAACTGTTCCTAGGGATATTGTATACAGTGTAGTAATTGATTGGTTAAATGGATTATAACTAATTAATTATTATTTGATGATATTTATTATGTGATATAGCGTTTTTACTTTTTCACATCAACATGTTTGATGTAATGTTCTACATTGTCAAAATACATAAAGACATGGTTAATTAAAAGAAACATGATTTCTCTATATTTTGTTATGCCCATACTGTAATTAAGCAATGATCATCTTCTAATACAAAATATTATTATAAATTATCAAATTATAATCACTACACTCCCAATAAAACAACTTGTCACCCGGCAACAGTAATTATTTGGGAAAATAAGGATTATAAGGATCATACCCCACTGGGCCTAGAAACTCCCGTTAGTGCAATGAGATTAGGAACTCCAGGGTAAAAGGGTCTTGTCACACTAAAATCTTCATGTAGATCAAAAAAGTATATATGGTGATATATATGATCAATATGTATTAAACAGACATTGTAGAAAATGTTTACATACTGACTTTGCAGATGACGTTTTCTAGCAGTTGAAGAATTTTTTACATTTATTGAAATGATAGTCATTAAATTTTAGAATGCTGCTTTATTAAATTTCTTTGTAATCTTTGAAAAAAATTTTATATGACTTGGCCAAAAGGTATTCATATTTTTAGGTAATGGTGTAATTTCTTCTTTGGATTAAAGTTCAGTAGGGGAAGCATCCATTCTTCGCATTCTTTCAGAATCCTTTACTGATTGAGACTACTAGGAGTCTAATATGAAATCTATTTTTTGGGCTCCTTTACTAGATTTGATGGAGTAGTCAAATATTAGGGGTGGGACGGATAACCGAAATACCGAAAAAACCGCGGTTCATAGCCTTCGGATCGGTTTTCGGATCACGGCCCTACTTTCGGATCTGCTTTTCGGATCGTTTTCGGATTAATATTTCATTGGTCAAGTATCAATAAAACAGTTAAAAACACTGTTTCACAGCAACATTTTTGATATTCCTAGTCCCTACCTTGTCTGTCTTGTCTGTTGCTAGCTCACTCGTTTACTAGATTCGTTTCGTATCCGCATATTCGTATCCCTCGGTAATCAATCATGTGGTCCCTGGTACTATATTCTTTAGTCGTGTATTCTAAATAATATGTATTGTTCATGAAATTCTATAACATTCCATCTATAAATTATTGTTATAACGTGGCATAATTGATACAAAGATTTGCGCAAATTTATATTTGCGCAGGTTCGATATAGGGTATTATTTTGTGCGCACCCACAATACATTCAAATATGGCGTCTGGATCTCAAATTCCCGTTTTCCCAAAAGAAATGAAGATTATTGCAGCCCCCACAAAGCTAAAATCAGCCGTTTGGATAAAAGAAAGTGACAGTCAGCAGTGAAGTCAGAGACAAAGCAGCTAATCATGTCAATCAATACAAATCCTTAAAATGAATGAACCGAACCGAAAAAACCGAACCGACGGCTGATGATCCGAAAAACCGAACCGAACCGAAACGAACCGTCCCATCCCTATCAAATATAGCTTTCCAAAACTCTCCAAATTTCAACATATACATGTAAGTTAATCTTAATTTTCCTTTTGTCATAGCCATAGCATAGTTTTATCAATTTGTGGTATGGTTTCATCGATCTCCATTTCAAACCCCTTTTTAAGTTCTGATTTTACAGATAAGATAGATGATCATTGTCAAACGAACTGTTTGTATCCACATAAGATCATAGTTTACTCACACATAGCTAGGCAACTTGTGTCCAATTCCAGCCAATTCAATACTTCATATAACTGCATTCCAATTTACCACTCTCATAAACCCAAGGTCAATTTTAGATTTAAAAAATCTATAAATAGCATCATAGGGAATAGCATACCAAGTGCTTTTATTTGAATTTATGTGGATTACTCATTTGGTAGACACCTTTATCAAATCTTAAAGTGTTGTTGATTTTCAAGTTGTACAAGCAAAGTGTCATGGGTGCTTTCTTTTCCTGACATAGTATTAACATTGTGGTAAAAATTATCAAATGCACCTAGCACAGTAGTTCTAGTTCATCATTTTGTATAAATGATATATCAGCAGTGAAACCTGTATATCCCAACATCTGACTATTGTGAATACCTACCAATCATCATATCTAATTGAAAAATTAACTTGTCTAACTTGAACTCTTTTTACCAAATATCACATATTTCTTACAAAATTGCTCAAATATTGTCAGTTTAACACTGAATTGTTATGATATCAAAACTTTTGAATTGGATTTTGGAATGCTATTAAGCTTTTTATGTGGTCAGTATAAATATTATTAATATTTTTCATTGAGAATGCATTCATATTTCTTCAAAATCCAGAACTTGTATTGTAGATGTAAAAACCTCAAAATTCAAACACTCCTAATAAGAATGCTTTTAGCTGGTCAAAATACCAGTAGCATTCAGATTAGAGAGATTTTACTGTAGTTCACAACTTTTCACTCCATCTATATGCAGCAGACTAACTGCTGCAACAGGTATATATTCTACACCTGGTCTCTAAGCTATGATATCATAGTTGATACTATAATGCTCATAACCTTCGATTATCAGGGCTCATTCAAGGCTGTACCTGAATAACGTGAATTTGAGACCAATTTTGAGATCAATTTTTCAAATTTTGCACTCGTTTAAAACCTTGAACTTCCTTCAAACTCATCTTAGGTATCTTTTACATTTTGGTTAAATACTCTTAAAACTATATATTTCATCCCTGAGGTATAGATGTAAAAACCATAAGGGTCATCTTTGGCTATACCTGAAATTCATAAATTTGAAACCTAACATTTACAATTCTTCAAATTTTGGACTTGTTTAAAACCTTAAACTTCCTTAAAATTCATTTTGGATATGTTAAATCTTAGTCCCACACTCTAAAACTGTATATTTAATCATAGAGGTATGGATGTAAAAATCATAAGGGTCAGCCGTGGCTATACCTGAAATTCGTAAATTTGAAACCTTATATTCACAATTTTTCAAATTTTGGACTTGTTTAAAACCTTAAACTTTCTTAAAACCCATCTAAATTGTGTTTTACATATTAGTTCCACATGGCAAAACCATAAATATCATCACAGAGGGATGGATCTAGAAACTACAGGGGTCAGCCATGGCTATACCTGGAATATATAAATTTGAAACCTTATATTTACAATTTTTCAAATTTTGGACTTCTTTAAAACCTTTAACTTCCTTAAAACCCATCTAAATTATGTTTTACATCTTAGTTCCATACTATAAAACCATAAATATCATCATAGCGGGATGGATCTAGAAACGATAGGGGTCAGCCATGGCTATACCTGGAATTCGTAAATTTGAAACCTTATATTTACAATTTTTCAAATTTTGGGACTTGTTTAAAACCTTTAACTTCCTTAAAACCCATCTAAATTATGTTTTACATCTTAGCTCCATACTATAAAACCATAAATATCATCATAGAGGGATGGATCTAGAAACTATAGGGGTCAGCCATGGCTATACCTGGAATTCGTAAATTTGAAACCTTATATTTACAATTTTTCAAATTTTGGACTTGTTAAAAACCTTTAACTTCCTTAAAACCCATCTAAATTATGTTTTACATCTTAGTTTCACACTATAAAACCATAAATATCATCATAGAGGGATGGATCTAGAAGTTATAAGGGTCAGCTATAGTCATACACAAAATCCAGCTGTCAAAAATGTCAAATTTTTCGAAAAATCAACAATTGTTTTCTCAGCTCATACCTCTTCCATGGCTTTGCATCTTTCAGGGTTTCTAACCCTGCTATTGGGCACTTCACAAGAATTTTTCCAACCTCTTACAGTGTCTAATTGAAAAGTTAGAATCAAAATAGGAAGAAAATGAGTCACGAATTTGCCCCCTGGGGTACATACTTTGTACTAATTTTCAAATTCTTTAGGATTTATCAGCATCAATTATACTGCAAGTGATTCATATATATGATATCTATGTATGTCACTTACAAACATCAAAATATCTAAGGTTATTTAGTGTGAACAATTTTTTCCCCAGGGTGGCGTGTTTTTGGGGGGTGGGGGGCTAACTCCTAAAAAAAAGAACTTCCTACCACTCTGTGAAGCTATCACCTAGGTGGAAGTTTCATCCAAGACTCTCCCCTAACTGAAAATGCTGCCAAACCAACTATACACCATTTATTGAGAATTTTCCTTCTCGCCCCTTGAGTATGAGGGAAAGTATGATATTGGCCAAGGAAAATATTGACTGAGATCGACAGTCACTATTTAAACATCACCTGCCACACAGTTTTCCAGCTACTTATTATATAGAAGTATAGAATCACTTGCATTTGTTTGCTGTGAATAGGGGTTTCAAAATTGCCAATGAGGCCTATGTATTCAAACACAAATTATCCTAGGTTGAATGAGCAATAGGAATGGAGTGAACAAATAGCCAACATTCTAAATTTGGAAGAATTGCAAGAAAACTACACATTTTATTCAAATAAGAACAAGGCATTAACATGCAAAATGTCACCACCATTTGTTACAGACGCCAACCGCTGATCGTCAATAGCCGATCGTCACAAAAAGACGGAGACCATAACAATGTGTCACCACTTTTTAATGTTGACATAAAAATGCATTGAATAGATTTAGGCACCATGTCAATCTTTAAGTAAAATGCAAAAGTTGGAGTTATTACTTCAATGTACAATCTTTTTGTATGAATTGCCACTATTATTTATACATGTAACTATGGAGTAAAACCTTGTCTAATCCAAATGCTAGTGGGACCAGCCAAATTGTTTGAATCAGCAGGTGTTCACATTTCAAGTTTTCTTAACATGTAAATCGATTGGAGATAACAAAATAGGAACAGAGAAAGTGATCACATTGAGAGATATATTCATAGGATAATCCTATGATTTTGAGGAATATCATTTTTATCTACGAGGTGATATTGAGAAAGCGAAGCGAACGAGTGCATATATCAATATCACCGAGTAGATTAAAATGATATTCTGAAAAAGTCATAGGATGTTCTTATTATCCTACACTTACTAGTAGTGTACTAATGTTTAATATCATTGAAAAATAAATTTCATGTCAAATAGTTCGATTTGGCGGGAAATCAACTAGCGGAGTATATCGTCAAGATATCCTCTGCATATCGGTTTCCCGGGGTATATCGTCACAATATCCTCCGCAAATTGGTTATTCATTTTGCCAATAGATATCAAATTTATTTTTTGATGTTATTATACATTTAGCACACTAAGGGGTTTCACTAGAATTTGAATAGAATAAGAACAGGATATACCCCTGATACTGTACTCACCCTATAGACACTATACTATACTCACTATACTATACTGTACTCACCCTATAGACTTTGCCTTGTGTGTATCAAGGGAATGTAGGACACAGCGTTTATTTTTCTTGCTCTTTGGTATGGATTCCATCACGTTTAATAACTTGGACCTTTAAGTATATAATACAAATTAACTATTAATAGCATATTCTTTACACATATTCAAAAAAATAATTCTTGAGAATTTTCCTAAACACGTATTCCTGATTTTGAAATATCTCGTCTAAAATTCAGACTCAATCACTGTAAATCCTTGTTTATTTAACTCATTCGCTACGAATGACGTGATATGACGTCATAAAGCACATACGTTGACTACGAATGACGTGATATCACGTCCAAGCACAAACCCAATGTATTTTTTTGGAATCTTGTAACCATGACAACCTATAAAATGGGACTTAAAAACTTATTGATTCCGATAGAGTATATCATATGCTTAAAAATGATATATAACACTACATATTTATGCCCATGTATATATTTTATATATTATCTCATAGGTACCATATATAGGAATTTTCAAAAATTCTTCACTATTTTAGTGCTTTTGCCCCAGTATTGAATGAGTTAATCTAATAGTATTTTTGATCCTCTTACTTACCCATGTATATAGAAAAGAGCGTATATTGCTTTGGGGTCAAACAGGTAATTGCGTTTAATTGAGAGGGAAGAACCGGGGCAGACACACAATGGTTCCAAAGCAGGATGGTCCGTCTCTACCAACTGTTGGAACAAACGCTCAACACTGAAAACAAAAAATCCTTACTGTTTTATCTTTTTTAATTTTATCTTAAAGCTGTTAGTAAATTTAAGATTATACTAAAAACAGTTAAATCTTTCAAAATAGAACAAGGCACAGACGTGAACAATATCGTACCTAAAACACAGCATTGTGGTCTTGTTGACCAAGAAAGCAAGATGGCCGCAGAAAAGTTAATCAGCTATAGAACTTATCACTGTGTAACATATGTAAAAAATTTGAACAGTTTGGCTGGAAACCTGTAGACAAGTCTTGAAAGTGAAGATTTTAGGACGGAAAATCCAAAATGGCCACCTTAAAATTTACCCAGAATGCCCAAAAACCAATCAGTTCTTGACGTTGATATGTAGAAACATCCCTGAAAATTTCAGATGAATCCCTCAAATGGTTTGGCTGAAAATCTGTAGACAAGTCTTGAAAGTGAAGATTTTAGGACAGAAAATCCAAAATGGCCACATTAAGATTTAACCAGAATGCCCAAAAACTAATCAGTTCTTGACGTTGATATGTAGAAACATCCCTGAAAATTTCAGATGAATCCCTCAAAAGGTTTGGCTGGAAACCTGTAGACAAGTCTTGAAAGTAAAGATTTTAGGACGGAAAATCCAAAATGGCCACCTTAAAATTTACCCAGAATGCCCAAAAACTAATCAGTTCTTGACGTTGATATGTAGAAACATCCCTGAAAATTTCAGATGAATCCCTCAAATGGTTTGGCTGAAAACCTGTAGACAAGTCTTGAAAGTGAAGATTTTAGGACGGAAAATCCAAAATGGCCACCTTAAAATTTACCCAGAATGCCCAAAAACTAATCAGTTCTTGACGTTGATATGTAGAAACATCCCTGAAAATTTCAGATGAATCCCGCAAATGGTTTGGCTGGAAACCTGTAGACAAGTCTTGAAAGTGAAGATTTTAGGACGGAAAATCCAAAATGGCCACCTTAAAATTTACCCAGAATGCCCAAAAACTAATCAGTTCTTGACGTTGATATGTAGAAACATCCCTGAAAATTTCAGATGAATCCCTCAAATGGTTTGGCTGGAAACCTGTAGACAAGTCTTGAAAGTGAAGATTTTAGGACGGAAAATCCAAAATGGCCACCTTACGATTTACCCAGAATGCCCAAAAACTAATCAGTTCTTGACGTTGATATGTAGAAACATCCCTGTAAATTTCAGATGAATCCCTCAAATGGTTTGGCTGGAAACCTGTAGACAAGCTGAAAAGTGAGACGCCGCCCACCCGCCCGCCAAGCTGACTACAATATCGTACCTTTTGTTAGGTACGATAAAAACTTGTGGAACTCCTTTTGTATCTTTAAGAAGTGTTTCACAGAGAAAGTGTTCTACTTACAGATGTTAATTTAACATTAAGTCAATGGGTCAAAGGACTCCAAGCATTCAATAGGAAGCCCATGGTTTAACTTTTATTTTGTTTTTGATTTTGTATAAAATTGAGTTGGTATGAACCCCTATTCAAAACTGATCCCTATTTCAGATTTTCAAGAACTGATGTCACACACCATAGACTGTATGAATGATTTGCAAAGAACCCTGGGAAAAACATACCTCCTTCTACAGCCAACACATGGTACTGTCTGGGAAAGCAGGGCAAATATATCTCGTTTAGGTACCATTAAAGCAACAGCCGTTTCATCCTTATTCAAAATACTAAACTTTTGTACAAAGTCCTCGAGTTCTTTCTCTTTGAGGCCCATGTGTTCACAGCCCAGACATGTGTCATTGAATTGGACAACCATCTGAAATAACAACAAATTACATGTGTCAAACTATTGAGAATATCAGCTGAGACATGTGTCAATGAACTGGACTATAATCTAAAATAACAACAAATTACATGTGTCAAATTATTGAGAATATCAGCTGAGACATGTGTCATTGAACTAAACTACCATCTGAAATAACAACAAATTACATGTGTCAAACTATTGAGAATATCAACTGAGACATGTGTCATTGAACTGGACTACCATCTGAAATAGCAAAACATTACATGTGTCAAACTATTGAGAATATCAACTGAGACATGTGTCATTGAATTGGACTACCATCTGAAATAACAACAAAATTACATGTGTCAAACTATTGAGAATATCAGCTGAGACATGTGTCAAACTATTGAGAATATCAACTGAGACATGTGTCATTGAATTGGACTACCATCTGAAATAACAACAAATTACATGTGTCAAACTATTGAGAATATCAACTGAGACATGTGTCATTGAATTGGACTACCATCTGAAATAACAACAAATTACATGTGTCAAGCTATTGAGAATATCAGCTGAGACATGTGTCATTGAATTGGACTACCATCTGAAATAACAACAAATTACATGTGTCAAACTATTGAGAATATCAACTGAGACATGTGTCATTGAATTGGACTACCATCTGAAATAACAACAAATTACATGTGTCAAACTATTGAGAATATCAGCTGAGACATGTGTCATTGAATTGGACTACCATCTGAAATAACAACAAATTACATGTGTCAAACTATTGAGAATATTAACTGAGACATGTGTCATTGAATTGGACTACCATCTGAAATAACAACAAATTACATGTGTCAAACTATTGAGAAAATCAGCTGAGACATGTGTCATTGAATTGGACTACCATCTGAAATAATGACAAATTACATGTGTCAAACTATTGAGAATATCAGCTGAGACATGTGTCATTGAATTGGACTACCATCTGAAATAACAACAAATTACATGTGTCAAACTATTGAGAATATCAACTGAGACATGTGTCATTGAATTGGACTACCATCTGAAATAACAACAAATTACATGTGTCAAACTATTGAGAATATCAGCTGAGACATGTGTCATTGAATTGGACTACCATCTGAAATAACAACAAAATTACATGTGTCAAATTATTGAGAATATTAACTGAGACATGTGTCATTGAACTGGACTACCATCTGAAATAACAACAAAATTACATTTATCACATACTATGTAAAATTTCAGCAATCTGATTGGTTGGTTACTATGTGAGTTTTTCCGTCTCACACGGCCGTCTCACACGTTACTAGAGGCAACCAGTGATGACGTTTCAAATTTTTAAAGAAAACAGTGTGACGTCACATCATTTCACAAGCAAGTACGAATATAACAATATGACGTCATATTATATCAAAGCGAAATTTCAAAACACACAAAAACTATAATAGTTACCGGGAGTACAGAGTACTAAACACAATGTAATGACCAAATCAAAATGCTTCAAAATTCCTAGACATGTGATAAAATCGTCATCACACGTTTCAGCTTATGTGATACAGTAAATATTCCACTCGGGTAACAATGTATCACCACTCAAGCTTCGCTTTCGTGGATGATACAGTATTACCTTTCGTGGAATATTTCCTGTATCACATGCTGAAACGTGTGATAACTGATAGTGTCAAAACTATTGAGAATATCAGCTGAGACATGTGTCATTGAAATAACAACAAAATGACATGTGTCAAACTCTTGAGAATATCAGCTGAGACATGTGTCATTGAAATAACAACAAAATGACATGTGTCAAACTCTTGAGAATATCAGCTGAGACATGTGTCATTGAAATAACAACAAAATTACATGTGTCAAACTATTGAGAAAATCAGCAGAGACATTTGTGTCATTGAACTAATTTTTCTCTTTAGTGTGGAATCATACCTAAAATATATACTGTATGCTTAAAGTGTGCGCCAAAGTTTAACACTGCGCAGGCGCACCGCTCTCGCTAAACTATATAAAGAGATTACCAGGTACACGATTCAGAGGTAAGCCAGGAAGGCGAACGATCTTCGTCTCGTGATGATTTCCCATATAATCGTAACCAGGGAAGTTTCACCATTGAAATTGAAAATTACTATTAGATAAACTTTGTAGATGTTATTTATGAAGCTATTTAGTGTTTGCATCAATCAAATGGCTCATTTTGAACATATAAAAAGTATTTGTGTTTTGTTTTCCAGGGAATTGTATTGTATGTAATACTATAAGTTATTGAATGATTTGAAGTGCAATACAGGATATATTCTGCTCGAGAAATTCCGTATTGGTACGAGACGCAGTCGAGTGCCAATACAGAATATCGAGACAGAATATATCCTGTATTGCACTTCAAATCATTCAATAACGTTTTTATCGTGTGACCCTCTGTATTGCTACTGAGATTGTCCCCTCCGTACCAATATTTTCTGTATTGCGACGGAGATGATCAACAGGGACAATCTCAGTAGCAATACAGATTGGTACAGCACAATAACTGACCAATCAGAAGGCTTCATTTTACAGATCATACAATAAACACATAAATAGTGTACATTATACAGTACTTGAATAGCCTGGTTTACATAATATTGAAGGGCATGCTGATTACATGCACACGAGTACATGGAAGGCCTAATATTGATATACGTATGTCAAAGCCCAAGTATTCTTGGCTACCCATCTATTCTGACTCTTGCCGAAGTATTCTGACCTGGCCCAAGTATTCTGAGTTGACTTATTTTTTTGAATGCATTCAATAGATGTCCACGTTAGTTTTTTTTATATTTTATCGATGGATTCTATTATACACAATAGATGGCTCCTGAGATTAATGTTAGGAAACCGCTTATAACCTCGCTATGTACAACGTTGGATACCATTGATTTAAGCAATCGCAATCGCAATCGGGGGGGGGGCAAAAAGTGATGTCCCAGAATGTGCTTCTCCACATATATTGGGCAATTTAGGCAACAAACTGACATTACTGTGCATCGTTTTCAATGTGCATCATTTACAATTTTTCCCTTGTTTATAAAAATGGGTTCAAATTTTCAGATTTGGGACCTCATTCTCTTGATTTTCAGATCCGTCCCTGATACGTATATATCGTTTACAGCCACTGTATATCTTCTGTGCGTTTTTTACTTTTTACGTAACTTTAGACCAAATTTATTCGTGCAAATAAATATAAATGAATAGTGTGCAAACAAAAATCCTACACAGTAACAATGAATAATTTCCACATTATGATTTAATGACACTCACTTGGCTAGTGATATGGACAACGACGTATTTTAAAAAGGCGTTAACATGAAAATTGTCATAACCTGGAATTTGTTATAGACGCCGAACGCCGATAACCAACCGACGAACACCGTCCACAATGTTACGCGGAATATGGCATATATTCATGGTTGCGCGGTATTTGTGATACGGGTGAATATGACATACTCACCTGCGGTATATGGCATATTCCGCAGGTGACTATGGCATATTCTGCAGTGGATATGTGATACATTGATTTCAGTGAATACCCGATACTCACCTGCAGAATATATCATACTCATTTGCGGAATATGCCATATACCGCAGGTGAGTATGTCATACACCGCAGGTGAAAACGTGATACAGAGAGCCTTGATTTGATTCGTTGCGAAAATCGAGTCTAAATGTAAAACTATGCTGGATTACCTATATTGTTAGTGCTTCGAGTACTAATATATGAATCCATGATTTATTGAATAAGTTTATTCTTCTGCATTAGTTGATATATTCAATGCAGTTGTACTGTTGATTCAGTAATCATTATGATAATTTATGAACTTTTACCCGTTTATTCATTCGATGCAATTGACAATTGTCAATTGCGTACTTCCGTATCACGTTCTCATTGGTTAGTGAGTATGCCATATACCGCAGGTGAATCTGTCATACACCGCAAGTGAACATGCCAGATTCGTTGCGGAATATGACATATATTTGTATCGTGTTTACCGCGTAACACACAAGAAAGTTAGAGACTATTACAATATGTCACCCACCACTTCTAGACTACCAAAAAAACTTACAGATATTACGCATTGGTCACTTTTGCTTCAACTTTTACTATGGCGCCCGGCCGATTGAGTGTTTTGTTCATAGTGGCCATCATATATGATAGGAAACTGCCTTTTATAAAAACATATGGAAGTCGGAACCTGAAATTACTTATATAAAAGTAAAAATACCAACCAGTGGCGAAGCCGTAATATGACGTAACGTAACGTATAACATAATGAAGTAAAAATATAAAACTCTACCAGAATAACAGGAACCACCTTTTTTAATAAAATAAATCCAACCACAAAATGATTAAAAAACTAACATTGACATCTATCGAGTGTATTCGAAAAAATAAGTCAACTCAGAATACTTGGGTCAGGTCAGAATACTTCGGCAAGAGTCAGAATAGATGGGTAGCCAAGAATACTTGGAGCTTAACATACGTAGCTTGCATACCGAAATAAAAAATAAACTCTTCTAATCCCCTAATGTAAACACGGCGGTATACGTAGGCCGATTTATCGGGGACTTTAAACTGGAAAGTTACTGTCATGTTTTATACAAACACGTTTAGTGGGCGATACAAAAGGCACAATACACAGAACATAAAGTTTTCAAAGTTTATTCATTTCCAACGGAAGTCCCAAGCATGTGCGAGTGCGTGCGCATCTCTCAAGTTTCACATTGTGTTACAATGAACGAAAATATATTAACAATTATAAATTGTAATCCCGGGAACATGAACATAGACGATAACATGACAGTTACCATGGTTAGGCACATTAATCATCATACATTTTGCTTATTCCGGACATTCAGCTCAGACTGAAATTCTGCAACTCTTGGACACAGGGTCTGTACCAAATTAAGCGCGACAGTTGAATGTGGAGGGTAGGTACAACACAAGGATGACGAAATTGAGCAAACTGGTGTTTCATTGTTTAAGAAAAATCTGGTCGCATTTCTAGATATTTTTTATGTAAATGTCTGGAACAATATATCCTACACAGTGAACTTTACAGTGAATTTTACGACAATTTGGTTGAATTTCAAAATTTCGTTAAGCGACTTTAAATGATTATAAGATAAAATACTTGCATTTCTACTATACCACGGATCTCTAAATAAATCAAAATAAACTGTAATGAAACTGAAAACTTGCAGAATGTAATGAGTTCATGGCACTGTAAGTGTCATCCTTCTCACAAGGTACTAACTTCGACCGTTAATTTGAATTTTTGACCTACCGGATGTTTGAAAATCAAGGATTACGAGTCTCGTACTGCACCGTTTTTCTTCAAACTTGTTCCATTCAAAGCATAACAAAAATCCCTTTCTATTGGTACATTATTCTCTTAAACAAAGTCCCTACTTCCAGCAGCATTTTGGTGCCCAGCTGTAAGAAGGCCTTCTAACAGCTTGGGACCAAAACGCTGCTAGAACGAGGAACTCTTTACAATAAAGAAATGCACCGACAGAAAGGCAATTTTGTTTTGCTTTTAATGGTATAAGTTTGAAGAAAAACGGTGCAGTATGAGTATGAGTATTTTTTCGTGAAGCCACTCAGTAAAATTACGATTTCTTTCCACCCTGATGTCCAATCAACATCATTTGAGTATTTATGTGTTCCTGACATGTTTGGGCATCCAGTAATGACAACGTCTACCCAATGTTTTCACGCGAAATTGGCGTAATTTATGACTGAAATCGGATAAATCTTGGGGATTCCCCTCATAGTCCTCGGATCGTACGAATTCACCAAATATTTTTCAGATTAGTAATCCAAGATTTATCCCAAAAGATCAAATTTCTCCAGATTAGATTGGGGATCGTACGAATTCACGGCCCCAGGTTAAGTTGTTTGAATTGCTTGATAATAATCGTCTGCACTTCATAATAGAGAGATGAAAATTATACGTTCAGATGCGCACATAAAGAATGTCCTGCAACTTACCACTTGTGATTTCTCTTGAAAGAGATTAAATTTTTCAATTATCATACGATTCTAATTCTCGCACAAAATTGTTAAGACATATATGCACACAAGCACTTTGATGCACTGTTTGTTGCCCAATGGCTGAATCGCAGACTGAAACATCCAAACAACATTATCCCACAATGCACCTCAAGACTGGACTTTGACATTGAAAAGTGGGTCATATGTTGCAGTATTTCGAACTCTGATACACCAAATATGTTGCCCAACAGAGTGTTATTAGGAACTTATCATTGAAATTTTGTATATTTACCTTCAGATTCTCGTCGACCTCCAATGGAAGTTGCCTTCGTTCAAACGGATAGTCATCCGAGCGGCAAACCGCTACTAATTTCGCCATAGTTCACTCCGTCACGATGTTTTGTCTTACGTATAGTTTGAGAACCATGTATTCAATTGCAGTTGTTTTTAAGCTATTTTTCGCCTGTAAGTAGTACTTTTTGAACAAAATTTGACAAAATCTAGAAAATTTTGTGTGGTCAACTTTTGACCAAACAACACAGCCACTACTTTTTGTAATTGCACCAGAATATAGCTCTATTGTATTTTTATATTTGTTGGTTTTGTAAGCGGAAGCGTATCTCTTTTAGTCCGAAATGTACAAATTTATTTTTTAATGATATTAGAAAATATCAATTTAACCAACAAATCTCCAATCTCAAAGAAATGTATTGCGGATTAATTTTGCAGCTTCCGGTTTTAAAAAAGTTCCCTTAAGTTGGCATGCTCATTTTAATGGCACGGTCCCTACCCTAACGTGTACCCTTTGCACTCGTTGACTTCACTTCGTAAAAGAGAGTTTCATCTTCACTCTTCCAACTTACAATAAATCACCGAGCCAATCAGAGTTCTATATCTCCAGATTTCCTCTGACGCCACGGCATCGTAAGTGAGCACACATTTAGCACGTGTCTTTTCCAGGTCGCTGATTGGTTGATAAAAGGTCAGCGTGCCCGGGTCACGCACATGCCATGCCATAGGCCCCTAGATCTAGGCACAAATGTTTGTGCCTACTGTCTAGGGCCAAATTTGGGTTCTCTCGAGCTTCAAAATTTATAGAAATTATATGGAAACAGTATTGGATTTATCCAAAATATCCTCTTGTTATCCTATGCAAGTGGATTGAGATGCAAGTAAAATTTCTAGATCAGTCCCATCTTCAACGATAATCTAAAAAGGCTGATAAGCCCATATATTGTTCTTGCCACAATATATGATCTGCCCCGGATGATTTGCAAGAACTATTCATTTTACCATGGGCTTTCAAGAGACCATATTGTTAGTTCAAATTTACATGATTATGAAGATGATGAAAGGTCAAAAGTTATGTGTTCTTAGAAAATGAGGCCATGGTTCCGAATAGGTTTCGAAATATAAAAACCCAAATCCATTAAATGCCATGAACCAATGCCGTGTCTTCGCATTTAAACACAGCCATGAAAATGAATACACCAGCACACAAACTGATGACGTATTTCACAACCACATTGCCAAACCCGCCATATTGCGGCAAGATATCACATTTTCCCGATTTCTGCTAATACGTAGGTAAGTTTGTACTCCCTGAACTCAATCGGAACTAAGTCGACTTGGCGTATGTATAAATGTCAATTTGAATGGACATTTGTGTGTACATTTAACCTCAGTATGCAGTTTTTTTGAATTTTTATTTCTTTTTATCTCGCTCATGGGATTCACAGTCACACTCAATCCACACAGACAGTCAATTGCTCTGTGTTTTTATTATCTCTGAATTTGGGCATTCACTGTAAAATGTGATTTGATTGAACCTACTGTAACAACCGGTGGTCACACTCTCCTAGCCGTGATGTTATGAAAAGTACAAGATGTTTAAATATACTTGAAGTTTCTGTGGTAGCGTATATATATGTGGCCTTGACTAGGGAGTGTGTTGGTTGTTATGAATTTTAGTCTGCTCTACTGACAACTAACTGTCACACTGATCTCAATAATAACATAAAATATGATTTGAATTAAAATATATATATTGCAGTGGCGTAGCCAGGATTTGGTGACCGGGGGTTCTATTTTTATGTTATTCACAAATCCCCCCCCCCCCACTTCATTAGGGTTCCTCAAATAATGTACAATTACACCCCCTCCAAAAGTTTGGCAATCCTAACTAACCCATTGGATTATGTATTAAAAGCATCTTTAAGTTTTTTGGGAGGGGAAATGTAATTCATTTTAATACCTTCATTAAGTGAAGTAGACAATTTGATTTGAATTTTATTTAACAAAAACGATTCCTTTATTTACGTTAAGCAAAGTCTGAAAGTAATAGGCTTTATCAAGAAACCTCTCCCATTGAAATAACAGAGGACGTAAAAATGATTTTCAAAAATGACCTTGTAGCTTTGTAACTTTAATGTTCACTTTAATGTTCAAAGTAAAATAAACAGGCAACGTGCAAAAAAGTCAGACAACTTATAATTAATTTTCTGCATCAAAATATATTTCGGTGAATCTTTTACTGAATACATATCCTGAAATCTGATTTGCCCCGAATCCACCATTATTTCGTCTGATTTCTGGAAGACTCTGGAGCATGATTTGTTTCCAAGGATATCAACTATTTTGCACAATTTATTCCCTGACTTAAGCTACTTCATCTAGGACAAAATAAATCACCTCGTGCAATGGCTTATCATAATTTTTCAGGAATTTTGTCGGAGTCCAGTTCGGATCAAACGCAAACGCCCTATACTCCGAAAGATCGTTCTTCTACGATAACTTTTCACAACGTTTACACGAAGGCTTTTTAAACTACCCGGGATAGTCGTATTACCGATGAAAATATCTATTATTCAAATAAGTGGGTCTCGGTTATGCTTTGTTTTAAAAAGTTAAAAATATTTCTTTGGACGTCCACGGAGCTCAGTTGTAAGTCCCCAGCAGATCGTAGCAGATCAACTGCAATTGATAATAAAAACGTTTTGGTGGATATAAATCATGAATAAATACAAGCGACTGTTCGAATATAAAACGTATTTTGTTAAGTTCAGACGGCTTGATAACAAATTAGGCCTTCATTATTTGAAGATTAATACCATATGATTTTTCAATGTTTTTTATTATGTAATTTATTCGCTAGACATATCATGACATTAACATGAAAATGGAGAGCAGTTAAACTGGAACGATAACAATTTGAATTCTATACCATCTCTTAGGTGAGTGGGGTGTATCTGAAAAAACAAATTATTTTTTGCAATGATTGATTTTTCTTTGGAAAAGTGATTGGTAAATAAATACTGAACAAATGAAAGAATGAATAAATTGAACAAATGCTTGTGTTTATAAATGATATACGCTTTTAAATAATTCATTTCACAACGTTTTTAATTATTTAACGCAATTGGTTTCGGGGACTTGCCAGCCCAAGGGACGTCCCAAGAAATATTTTAAATTTTAATTGAAATTAAACAAAACAGAGATTACACATTTGAAAGAACATGTGTTTCATCAATATTACGACTATTCCAGATATTTACTCGTCAATGTTGTAAAAATCACTCGGAGTATGGGACGTCTTAGCATTGTTTTCAATAACTTTCAATAACTTCGTATTGGACCAGAACTGGCTTAAAACAAAATTCCTACAAAGGACTGATTCAGCCATTGCCCAAGATGGGTTATTTTGTCCGAGAAGAAGCAGCTTTTAAGTTAATTTTGCGAAATTATTGTTATTTCTAAATGTAAAATCTCATGCTCTGGGGTCTTCCCAAAATCTCATACCGTGCCAAAGGTTGCCAACCGTTTTGAGGGAAGTGTAACTTCACACATGATGACATGTTTTTAACAAAATAAGGCTATCGTGTTCACCAAAACAAACATCAATTCATTTACTGCTCATATAATTATGTAGTTTTCAAACAGCACAGTGATTTAATGTTTCTGGTTATAAGCATTTTTCCGCAAAATTATATTTTGGGAAATCCTGACCGGGGGTTCGTTCGAACCCACCGAACCCCCGCTGCCTACGGCTATGTATTGCGTAATCAACTATAAGTATGAAATATGTACAATGAGTTTTGACAATGAAACTAAGGTCTTTCAGATGGTATATCAAACAAGATACTGTAAATACCTAACAAAACAGTTTTCAATCTTATTACCAATCTGACCTTATATAACACACAACTACTACATATAGATGCTCCACAACACTAGTGCCACCTTTTGGCAAATATTCAAACTGATAAAAGTATACACATGGCTATGAATATCTATCTTCCACTAAAACCTTGCAAAATTAGTATGCTACCCTAAGCTGGTAATATTCACAGAACAAAATGAGACATATTTCTGAACAACTATCTGATTGGAATCAACGATAGCAACTAAGAAAAATGATGTAGATTCTCAAAGTTCTGCAAAATTAGGTCACTTGACTTAGCCGTCTATTTCTGTTCAATACTAACTTCCTTACCCTATTTAACTTGATCTATCTTATCCTAGGCCATTTACTGTTAACAGAATCATATCCTATCCTATCTTAGGACCTTAAGTCCTACATTTAAGACGATTAAAATCCGCACAATATAAAAATGACAAACTTCTAAATTCTCCATGTGCGCTAGTGGTGGGACTCGTGTGAATTATCCTACTCGAGTAGAGGCTCTTGAACACTCGATTTATTCGCGATTAAAATGAATGATTTTGGAAAAAAGTTCAGAAAAACTTTCTTCGGAAAGTTACAAACTATCACTTCCGGTAGCAATGTTTTCAAGTGTTCTCGGCTCAACCTACCTTGAATAACTCCAACATACCCATCAAATTATTCAAATAGAATAACTCAATACACTTTATATGTTCTTGTTTTGCATTGAAAAGTAAATAATTTAGCAATTTACGCTAATTGGTTTGACCTCGTTAAATATTGCATTGCACATGCGCAACCGGATGTAATCAATAAATAAAAACAAACACGAGAAAGCCTATCGTATTTGATTTATTATTCCAGTTAAGGTATCAAACTACAATGCTATATATTAAGGAAGGCATAATTGCTAAACATTGTACAGAAATGTTGTACATTGGATGTGTTTTTTTACGTAAATTGCGGTTGAAAGGTGGGTAAATCACATTTTCTTCATCATTTTTTTCATTTTTTTTTCAATTCGAGTCAGAATTTACCAATCGATGAATCGTATTTACAGGGTTTGGCGAGTAGTATTCGAGTCCACGAGTCAATCGTTGCTCCACTAATGTGCGCCTCCTAACACTTTTATAAGACGTGCTCTGATTGGCTAATCTAAACTAGGCTTAAGTTTTTGGCACCAAATTCAAAAGTTATAAAAAGTTTAAATGACCTTTAAACCTTACAATAAATTGAAATACAAATATTTACATTAACAGCTATATGAAATAATTGAACTGGGCATGAAATATAAAAAGTAACAACCCAGGGTTGTTACACTGCCCCCTTCTTTGAAAAAGAAATCGTCCTCGATTTACGCTTGAACAAAAGTATAAAATGGCTACATAGAGGACTTAATACATATATCATGTGGCACAATACTTATATATGAGCCACACGCTCAGTGAAAATTACATAAGACACAATGTCTCAAAACAAAGTAGTAGTATAAAATGCTTTACACAAATGCTGTGTGACATACCATTAATCAAAATAGCATCAGATTATATTAAAGTACCAAATGTACATGTTAATACAAAATATATGCAAAATACTGGATCACTTCATATTGTCAAAGATTAACAGTCTCTGAGCTCAGTCTCTGGCTGAATTGTCACTGATAGATGTTCTCTTCATAATGTTAATACCGTATATGGTACAGCGACAGTTATTAAAGTAAGTTTCATCCCAATGATGGAAGGTGTACACTCCTTCCAATATCAGACCAGCTGATAGATCATTGGTCAAAAACGCAATACTGTCTAAAGTGTTGATGTCACATACAGGTACAGTATATACACTATGATGATTGATGACATGAGCTGAGAACGAAGATGATGCACAGATTGAGGATCCATATTGTTGAAATTATTCAGCTATATATATATTTATATGGGCAGTGTAATCAACATACACTTGCCTTCACATGTTATCAATAATGGTTACGCAATCCAATGGCAAGATAAAGCACATTTTCAGGATTTTTCAGCATAATCCATGATGACTTCGATTTAGTAGTTATGTCAGGATGCTAGTCACAGGAACACATTTAAACGGACAGTTCCTATATATATGTGTAACAGAAGCACAGTTGTAGCATAAGTGTTTCTTACGTTTATATGAATGGGACCTATCTTTACAGTTCACGTTATAGTCAGGTACATGTAATATACAGTTATCAGCAATATTTGATTGTTCATTATTAGAAGAAGGGATCCTTTCAATGGCTTTGTTTAAAGCTGGCGGATTCCTCTTTGAATCAACTCTCCCTCTGGTAACATGCTGCATTTGGTCATTGTCATTTTTCACGTGTTTGTAGCTTACTGGAGCATTACATTGCGAAGAATGTTCAGTTTCGATCAGAACATTGTCAGAAATAACAGGCATTTGTTCCATGTTTTCTTTAATTTTGAAATGACTTTCATATTGTAGTCCAGTTGTTAGGGCTTCCTCAATATTCTCAGGGTTTTTAGAGCAGATACTCCAGCTTAAGTCAATATCATTAATTGCATCAATAAATGTTTGCACAGCAATAATATCTCTGTATTGATTGTCTCCAAATGCTCCTCGAGACAAGCGTTTGATATCATGTGCCAGTTCAGTGAGCGTTTCACCTGGCAGACGTACCCGGTTTTGCAGCTTCTTAAGGTAGAACTCAAATGTATGCTGTAGAGAATTGTCACAATAGATGGAGATGTTGCGAACAATTTTAGAATAATCCTGTCTATCTGCAGAGTCCATAGCACAAAGTACAGAAAGTGCTCTGTCCCTTAAACATGATACGAGATATGCAACTTTTGTATTGTTGTCCCATTTGAGGAATGATGATATGATGTCAAACTGGGTAATATAGTCCTCAAACGAATCAGTGCCATCATATGTGTTTAGTTTAATTGCTGGTTGAATAAGTCCACTTTCACTATTAGAGGCATTTGGAGAAAGATTTATACCCATTGTTGTGCTTTTGATTAAATCGTCTCAAATGTGTACAATGATTGCTAACTGACCTAACGGATTATGAAAATACCTGACTTGAAATGCTTTGCTAAAAATACAAAAATGTGGGTCTTGAAAAATACAAAAATGTGGGTCTTGATAGGGCAGAACCTAACAAAATCCCACCGCTGCCACCAGTGTAACAACCGGTGGTCACACTCTCCTAGCCGTGATGTTATGAAAAGTACAAGATGTTTAAATATACTTGAAGTTTCTGTGGTAGCGTATATATATGTGGCCTTGACTAGGGAGTGTGTTGGTTGTTATGAATTTTAGTCTGCTCTACTGACAACTAACTGTCACACTGATCTCAATAATAACATAAAATATGATTTGAATTAAAATATATATATTGCGTAATCAACTATAAGTATGAAATATGTACAATGAGTTTTGACAATGAAACTAAGGTCTTTCAGATGGTATATCAAACAAGATACTGTAAATACCTAACAAAACAGTTTTCAATCTTATTACCAATCTGACCTTATATAACACACAACTACTACATATAGATGCTCCACAACACTAGTGCCACCTTTTGGCAAATATTCAAACTGATAAAAGTATACACATGGCTATGAATATCTATCTTCCACTAAAACCTTGCAAAATTAGTATGCTACCCTAAGCTGGTAATATTCACAGAACAAAATGAGACATATTTCTGAACAACTATCTGATTGGAATCAACGATAGCAACTAAGAAAAATGATGTAGATTCTCAAAGTTCTGCAAAATTAGGTCACTTGACTTAGCCGTCTATTTCTGTTCAATACTAACTTCCTTACCCTATTTAACTTGATCTATCTTATCCTAGGCCATTTACTGTTAACAGAATCATATCCTATCCTATCTTAGGACCTTAAGTCCTACATTTAAGACGATTAAAATCCGCACAATATAAAAATGACAAACTTCTAAATTCTCCATGTGCGCCTCCTAACACTTTTATAAGACGTGCTCTGATTGGCTAATCTAAACTAGGCTTAAGTTTTTGGCACCAAATTCAAAAGTTATAAAAAGTTTAAATGACCTTTAAACCTTACAATAAATTGAAATACAAATATTTACATTAACAGCTATATGAAATAATTGAACTGGGCATGAAATATAAAAAGTAACAACCCAGGGTTGTTACACTACCACCCATATTATTTGATTGGATAATCTTATGAAAACTAATTCGAAGGGTAACATAAAAAAAGAATGAACTGACATCACTCAAACTGCGATGATGGGAACCAGAGAATGAGATGACAGGGACCATATCTGGCTTAGATAGTTTGTTCAGTTTGTAAAGATTTTCCGGTTTGGTTTTTCAACTTAACACAAATCGAGAAAATCAGTGAAATAACTGTTTACGAATGCATGTTTTCTAATCTAAACCACAGGAAGTTGTATCAAGTCCTTTTTGGGCCTAACAGAGCTTTTTGCGCTTCCCCACTCTCAGAACAGGTGTATTCCCTCTCAGAACAGATGTGTTCCCAAGGATTCCCTCCAAACTCGCGCTGAAAAAAAGGTGAAATCAAAAGTAGATTATCTACAAGATCCTTATTCAAAATTCGACCAACTTGGAGCACAATTTGGAGAAAAATACTCTAGAACTCAAATTACCAAAAAACACGACCTGACAGATACTTCATAATGTTTTTAGTCTTGCAAAAAGCTAGGCATCATAAAGCGGACCTTGTTCTAAAAATAAAAAATATTTTCCCGACTCTGTAACTGACACGAGGTACTACAAAAACGTTTACAGTGCTTTCAGTAGGCTTGTCCAAAAGTGCTTCCCTGGGACGGATTGATTTTCCAAAATTGCGCCCCCCCTCAAAAAAGTGCGTCCCCATGAAAAAAGGTTCCCGGGAATTCAAAGTCACATTTTTGCACTGAACGAAAAAAATTGATGAAAACTTTGCATCAGCTTTGTCATTTTTTGGCCCACATCAGTGTTCTACACACGTCTAGTAGGTCATTAAATGATGCAGATATCTTCATTTGAAAGAGATAACTAATATTCAACCATTAAATATGCATATTTCGAAGCAATTTGCTATTGATTTTGATCGCTCAGAAAGTTTCACTAGGAGCAATCTCCGTGAGGTTCCATTTTTTGGTTCAGTTTTTGCGCATGCGCAACAAATCCAGCAATTTGATTAGCTAAACTTATTACGACACAACGGACGCATGCGCGATTTATAATCACGGCCAATCATAGGACTCGTACCGATTACCGCTCGGAAATCAACTACTAGTGATTGTCCTATCACATACCTCATAATATTTTGATCGGAAATCAACTTCCGGGAAAGAAACTCCGAAAGAAAATTTATTTCTTTTAGAAATAGAATATTCTTCGTTTATTTAGCAGATTTTGACCAAATAAAAGACTGAAGGTAAGATCTTTATCAATACATTCATCCAGAGTTGATTTTTTTTATATGACCTGCACTGCGTCCAAGTGACCCCTCATTTTCATTGTTTGGGGTCCCTAAAGTAAAAACCGGGTCCTCTCCATTATGGGACGGCGTTAATGAAAGCACAGGTTTAAATCTGGCTCGTTACACTACAGATCCCTGACGGCTGTGCCCAAGGATCGTTACAGAAGTATCAAAAGATAAGGGGCCAGACATATGATAGTCAAACGACAAAACAAACCTAAATATGCAACTATGATACTTTGATAAGATCATATACATTTTTTAATCCATTTTTATATAAAATCTAGAGTAAAAAATTTCTGAATGAAGCAACAGCATTGTTGAATGATTCAGATTATGTTCTTCCAACTGAAATAACCTTAAGATTTTGATTGTACTGATATTTTGACTCTGAGCATGTTAAGTCCATGTTTCACTGATTAAGGTTAACTTAACATTGTATAGTATTGAAGTAGATTTAGATCAAGTCTTTTACACTACCCTACCACATTATCACATTACCACGTCTAAAAGGGATTCAGGCTATAGGGAACGTTCAAATGTTACTCGAGTCTCTAGCCAATACTTGGCTAGAGGTGATTTCATCTGGAATACTGTGAACTCCATTTGAAGAAAGCTGGTCGAAGTGTCATAAATTTATTGAATATTTTAAAAATCGCCAGATAAATAAATCATAAATTAAATCGGAACCGACTCAACTCCTTGATGAGATATGACATGATTTCGTCAGGATTTCGTCTAAAATTAAAACAAAATGGCTCCAAGAAAATGGCGATATTCGAAAACTGGACGAAATGTCGTTAACGTCTGACATTAGTAACTGGCTGTAAATTCTAAGTTAGCGATCCAGAAGATGTGAACTAATACACTGATCACTTCATGTGTGTTTTGGAATTTTTGGTGAGGTATTACCAAAACTCGCAATTCAAATTGTGATGTGGAAAAATGGCGGACATATGATTTCAAATTTTATGATTACGACATGACCAATTGTTCATGCAGGAAATTATCTCTCCTATATGTAAAATCTAGTTTACCTTCAAAAATATGAAAATAAACTAGCCTGTATCTATAAATCATATGGTAGGAGAGTGTCTACTGACAATCTTACCACAAACTTCATTTAAAATAGCTTGTCTGATTCAGTGAAAAGTTTGTCAAAGTTTGTGCTGAAGACCACAAGAGAACTGTTCATCCAAAATATTGCATTTTCATAAGAACCGATGAATAGTTACCTTCAGATAGATAAGTGAAATGCACAATCAAGCAATGGTCACAAGGGCTCATAGCTAGACTAGAAATTTTCTAGTCCTGTCTTTGCAGAGGAAAAGTTTTCTGGAGAAAAATTGAAAAATACTGGCTGTAAAGACTAATGATGTACTTATGATGTTTTGTTTTGTTCTTTTTCAGGTTAATCCAAATTTACCAAAATGTCTAAGTTCTTTGCCGCAGGGTCTGACTCCGAGTCAGAATCAGAATCTTCTGAAGATGAAACTATTCAACAAAAACCATCCCAGCAAGCCAGGTATGTTGAGTTACATAAATCTCACTTGGCAATTAGACTTAAAGGCACTATCTCACAAAAATCGCATACATTCTATGCTAAATTATACTTTTCAGTCTAAAGGCTTGTTGAAAAAGAGGGGGAAAACCCCAGAATTCATATTTTCATCTATGAATTCTGAGGTATTTCTTCTTCTTGCCCTAAAAGACAGTTTTGAAAACATTAAAGCCACATTTTTTTGTAACTGACTTTGGCATCTTGTTCAGTGTAGATACCAACATTTTATTTTTATTAATTTGTCTACTGAGGTGTTAAGAATTTATGTTTGTATGAGCTCAAAATGTGTAATATGAACCAGGCCTTTTGTAGTTTTATACTTCAAATACTTTTCCGTAGAAGATAAAAATGATAACATTTTACTTTTTGATTTCAGGAACTTCCAGTTCTCTGACGATGAAGAGGATGAAAAGCGTGTGGTTAAAAGCAGGAAGGATAAGAGGTAAAGAAGATTGGTGATAAATAATTTAGTTATAAATAGCTAAGGAACAAGCCCAGGGCAGAGAACCCTGTTTATGTTTTACAATTGATCGTTTTCAAAGTACATTTCACTTTTAGGTACGATGAGTTGAGAGGACTGATAAAAGACATGAAGAATCACAAAAAGATTAAAGATTGTGCAAAAGTTTGTTCAGGTATGTATTGTAAATATTTACATTCAAATTGAATGAATTTCAGTGTAGTGTTATCAAATAATTTAATATCTTTGGTCTTATCTCTGGATCACCCTGTACACTGTGCATGATATACATTCGAATAAATCTTACATGTATTAAGATTAAAGCATAGAACCTGTCAATAATGATTTGACTTCTATCTGAAACTTTGTCCAGTTTTTACATGACGAGCCAGAATGAGGTATAATTGGTGAATCAGGTATTCAAATTTGAGGTGCGAATGTACATTCGTAAGCCTCGTTTTCAAATTTGTCATGACAAAGATGTAATTAGAATCCAATGTGGAAAACTTTTCTTGTTACCAAACTTTCATTTCTTTATCAATCTCTTTAAGATTTTCAGCCCAAATAAACATCGTTGTGATTCACAATCGTATATTTTCAGATTCTTGATATTCAAATATTTATCACTGTTAGACCTGTTTGAAAATTGACATTTTTGCGTTAAAAATACTGACAGTTGACGGCTCGACCTAATTCTTTAAGAACTTCAAAACTACATATGGTTGGGCTATGAAAAAAATGATACAAATCAATCTATGTGTTGCCCATAACTAGTAAAATTTTCAAATGCGTGGCTGAATGATTTCACTAAATGGGGTTTGATGATAGGTATTACGATTGTTTTGAATCCAATATGGCGTTAATGTTATAGATGGCGCAAAATCAAAGATGTCACAATTTGGCCCAGTGTGTTAGCTCACATGTTGAGCTTTTGCAATCGTAATAGTTGAAATTGAAGATAAAAAGTATATAACCTTTGATGAATGAACAAACTGATTATCTGACATTATGTTTTTGTATTTGGCAGTTGTATTTATTCCTTGCTGATTCCATTCTTTTCCCTGTGTTTCCATTTTTAATGACACCACTAAATTGTGATTATCGTTGTAGATTTTGAAGATGGCTTTTGGTGCTCTGCAGTCAGTGTCTGTAACAAATGGCAGGTGGTGATATTTTGCATGTTAATGCCTTGTTTTAACTTGACAGAGATGGCATTGAACTAAATTTTGATTGTCCTTGTAGATTTTGAAGACCAACAGAAGGCTTATGACAAATGCAAGAAGATCATCCAAGAGGAGGGAAAGCCAAGATTCTATATCCGCAATCTCGTAGAACTGGAAGAGTTCATTGGAGAGGTATGATATATGTTTCATGTTTTAAAATTTTTTTATGTCATAAGTGTTGACATATTATTATAGTTTCCAACTATTTTGTGGCGTTAGTTGGTGTTTTATGTTCTGTATCTGTATCAAGTAGCAGTTCGTGACATTTTGCATGTAAATGCCTTGTTTATATTGTTTGACAATTTTTATGATTTTCTAATTCTATGGAAATCTGTAGATTCTCAATAATGAAAATTTTTGCAATCAAATTGTCGCTTTTCATTTGGACTACAAGTCATTTTTGTCTATTAATAGTAGATATTTACTGAACCTCTCCCTGTCTTGTTATATCTTAGTCACATATAGGGCATAGACCAATCAGAGAGTGAGAAATGTGACAGTCATATAATAAAAATTAATATTACAGGTATGGGAAGACCGGGAACAAAGGAAGAAAATGAGCAAGCTGAATGCCAAGGGATTGACGACCCTCCGCCAAAAGTTCAGGAAGTACATCCGAGACTTTGAGGATGATATGAGTAAATACAAAGAGGCCCCTGACAAAGAGAGTGATGTTTCAGCGGAGGAGGTGGAAGGTACAGTACCAAAGTTAACGCTAGTTAAGCACTAGAATTGCATCAATGTAGCATTAGATTGGCATCAGTTTAGAATTCAATTGGCACCAGTATGACCCTAGAAATTGGGTATAAAAAGTGTATTCTTATCTTCAATAAAAAATTATGTCTCATTTGGTGTTTTTGATTTTGACTTTTCATTTGCCTTATCAAAATAACACAATCAAGACTCATTGATAATTACAGAATCGAGCGATTCCGAAAGTGAGACTGAAGGAGATGTCATGAAGGCTGCCGACTTCATAAAGAAAGCTGAAAAGAAGAAAAAGTCTGAACCCAAGCCCAAAATGGACGATGACTCATCTGACGATTCTATGGACTGGGGAAGTGACTCAGATGAGTCGAGCTCTAGCTCTGATGAAGAGAAAGATTACACCAACATTCTACAGAAGTTCTTGAAAAAGTAAGCTGGAATTTCTCTATAGATAGATGAAATCTTAGAATATCTTTTTTGTTTTGCAATATTATTAGATAGTGTGACCTGAGAGGTCAGGCTGGTTGATTTTGAACTTAAGTGGCCAGGGGTCCATTTTTATAGTCTCCAACATTTTTATGGAAGGTGTTTGATATTTGGAAAGATTGACCCTGGTTTCCAAAAGTATTCGTTGGCAAAGGCTGAACTGATTCTGCTGTTCTGCATTCGACCCTTCGAAATCATCAACACTAAATAAAAATCAACTGTTCAATTAATTATTTTGATGGCTGTATTGAATCAATCAAAAATATAAGGTAAAATTGCAATTCAAAATTTTAAACTGCTATGTGTTTCTTCCTCTATTAGGACCCCAGCAGAGGCAGAGAAAAAGAAGGAAAAGAAAGACAAGAAGAAAGTTGAGAAGAAGAAGAAGGTTGAAGAAGAAGATGAAGATCAGGAAGATGCTGGAGGAGACTGGGAAGTGGTTCCTGGAGGACAATTTTTGGAGGTGAGTATCTTCACAATTACATTCTTTGTTTTTTGAAAAGATGGATTGAGAGATCTGATTACGTATCCACGGGTAACTAGAGTATCCGCGTATATTGAGTATGACCGGTTCTAAGCTTACGAGTGTGACCGTATTTCTGTTCCTATAAACAGACGAGGTGAGTACTTGCTTTTTATGAACACTTTCGAACATTTTCTTTTTATCCTACTTGGTCAATGAATGATACTTGGTATACTTATAATGCCAGGCATATCACAAGGGGCCTTAATCAAGAGAAAACGTATTAATATTAGATTGAAGCCGTAAAATCCTAGTTTCCAGCATCTTTGATCAGTTTTTGTGTAACACAACGCAACTCCGAAGAGGATGACACATCTTATGTATAATATATAGCTAGATCTACGAATTAGTCATGGATATTTTAAATAAATTAGCCTGCTCTGTCCAAATATGATACATCTTTGAATTTTTGAGAATACGAATGTCACTGGTGCCCCATTATTGGAGAATACGGTTGTGAAATGTCTTGGATCGGCATTTAACCGGTGTTTGGATACGACTTTTAGCGTGACAGATGCAAAAGGTAATTCGAAATACCAGAATGTTGAGGCTCTTCAGACGCTTGCAGTAGGTCTCCAATATAAAGTGGGAAGAACTAAATAAGAGTAGATGACTTATAGTGTCAAGAGCCTATTTTTTCCAAAAGAATTCAGTTAAACGTAGACCGAAAACAATAGCCTTGTTTGATTATAATTATGTTGTCCCATTTCAGACCTTTTGTAGATTCATAGTTAAGTTCATTGTATTTCCACTTTCCTTGTTTCTGAACAGGCATATGAATAATAATGTTTGCAAATGGGTGTTCATCATTGAAATGACTCAGGAAGTCATTTAGGTAATGTGATTTAAAAGTGCATATTCCACATTTCTTCCTCGGATCTGGAACAAAAATGAACATATGGTTTAAACTTCACTTAATGCCAAAACGATCACAGTGGGATAAACATTGGAGAATTGTTGGGTATGCTGTAATCCTGTACCGGATAAATTCGTCTCATGCACCGCATACACTCGTATTCTACACCGCTCACATTCGGATAAATTCCTATCATGCACCGCATACACTCGTATTCTACACCCGGCCTAAGGTCTCATCGATGCATGGTTTCCTTATACATCCGACCTTAGGCCTAAGGTCTCGTCGATATACTTTCATATACCGTTTACATGACCTTAGGCCTAAGGTCTCAATAATAAATGGTTTAGTCATTTACCTGACCTTAGGCCTAAGGTCTTATCATTGAAAACTTCAATACACTGACCTTAGGCCTAAGGTATAAATGACATATTACAGACCTTAGGGGGGTTAGTTGAGAATGTAACTGAAAAGTTGAGAATGTGATACCGGTAACATTCCGATCACATCAATCAGTGGGCCGTGTTACACTCGTTTCCATGACATTTCACAAGCGTATCCTCTGGGAAAAGATAAACTCTTCTCTTGCTCACTCTACGGGGGATCATATAAACTGAGATTTGGAGATCTTGTTCAGGTTAGCCATAAAAAGGTTTAGGATTTGTTTTTTTCTACTGTGATATTAATGATTTGGCTCTAAGGCGAGAAATCTGTACTTTCTGATTGATATTCCATTATGAACAGTTACATTGCTAAAATAGCTCATGTTTAACATTTTTTTGTTACATTTCTATTAAATACAGCATAAACTATATTCAACAAACACAAGTTCAAAAAGGATAATATAGAAGTTAACCTTTATTTTCCATTTTTAAGCAGCTGTGCCTCTCATGACTTTCCAAAACAGGTCATATTCGTAGCCTAAGAACCGGTCATACTCAATATACGCGGATACTCTAGTATCCCGTGGTATCGCCACTTGCAGAAAAGCAAGTCGTAATTTGCATCATTCTCTATATGAAAAAATGTTTTTGGGATGACCTATAAGGCCCTGCATAACAGCAAATGAAGTGTCTTAAATATCATTTGGAGAAAGAAAGACTTCTGCCAATATACTGAAATTTAATTACTTACAAGGTCATTGTTCCTTTTCAGAAAAAGCGTCCCAAAATGTTCGCTAAGAATACAGAAATTAACCACGAAGTTATCCTCAAAAAGCTCATGGAGCTTGTTTCTGCACGTGGTAAGAAGGGTACAGATCGTCAGGAACAAATCGAGTTGATGGAAGAGTTACGTACTATAGCTAACACAAATAATCTCGGAATTGGGTTGGATGTTAAGATACTTTTGTGTCATATTTCCTCCGTGTTCGACTACAATCCAAATATTGCGACGTGCATGAAATCTGAACTCTGGGAAAAGTAAGTAGTTATAATGTCACTGTCAGTGTTCTATAAGAATTTCTCACAATTGGAAAAAATGAAAGAAAACAACAAGTTGAATTTATTATTGGAAAGTAACAAAAACAAAGGATATTGATAAAAACATTCAGAGAAAACTGCTTCTTTCCTGCTCTTAGTTGAACCCCATGGTATCTGCCCTTTCCTCAGCTCATTGAAATGTGAAGGGAGTGCGATTTTTGGGGTTTGAATCACTTTGAGCGAAGCGAGCCCCAAAAGGGGGGTATGCTGAAATTTACTTGCAAATGTGTTTTCAACAAATTTTACAAAATCTTGGGGGGTTCCGTATCATTCATTATTAGTTTAATTGGAACAACCATTTCACCAGATGAACCATTTTATCAGAGCAACCATTTCATTGGCAGTTTTGTGTGTTCTTTTTCAGGTTGATCTCTCATCTGAATGAATTGATTGCAATCCTTGTGAACAACCCTAACATAACTGTGTGGGAGAAGATTCCTGAAGATAGTGAGCAAGTCACTGTAAGTATTCATTTCTAGTAGTAAGTCATGATGGTTTTGCATTTGAATGGAAACTTTGATTAAGGAAAGCAGAAAGTCAGAGAAATTGAATCAATTTAATTTCAAATTCAATTTCAAAATAATTTATTTCAGTTTTCATTACAAAATTTACAACATTATACGGGCTCGAATGTTAAGAGAAAATTTAGGGTATAAATCTATTTATTTATTTTTTTATTTTGTTGCTGGAGTGAGGGGGTGTGTGCTGATCATGTTGTATTTTGTTTCAGGAGGATTGGTCCATTCAAAGTTAGGGGTGTGTATGCTCATGTTGCATTTTGTTTTAGGAGAGTCCATTCAAAGTTAGAGGGTGTGTGCTCATGATATTTGTTGTATTTTGTTTCAGAAAAGTCCATTCAAAGTGAGGGTGTGAGTGCTCATGATATTGTATTTTGTTTCAGGAAAGTCCATTCAAAGTGAGGGTGTGAGTGCTCATGATATTGTATTTTGTTTCAGAAAAGTCCATTCAAAGTGAGGGTGTGAGTGCTCATGATATTGTATTTTGTTTCAGGAAAGTCCATTCAAAGTGAGGGTGTGAGTGCTCATGATATTGTATTTTGTTTCAGAAAAGTCCATTCAAAGTGAGAGTGTGAGTGCTCATGATATTGTATTTTGTTTCAGGAAAGTCCATTCAAAGTGAGGGGGTGTGTGCTCACTATGGTTGAGAGAATGGACGAAGAGTTCACTAAGATGCTTCAAGCTTGTGATGCCCATAGCACCGAATATGTTGACAGGTTAGTATGATCTCTGTCATTTCTATTGGAATTTAATTCTTTGTCTAGCCGACCACCTTTCTTCAACACATGGTTGGTCTATAGAAATACCTAGTTAAGGAAGAAAAAAGAATACAAAAACTAAAAGACTATCTTAACTACGATAAATTATTTTTGAACAAAATACATAATAATGTAATTGTGGAATCCTGAATGGATTGTTTTCAAGGTACACATAGTGTTGAAGACTTTGAGACTTGTGTTTTTCTGAGTATGAACTTTTTCTACACTACCTACCTTAACTTACCTTGATATATTCGAATATTCCTTACATAAATGTAATGGTTCGATTGGAGATGGTTTTGCCTCCGTGAATTCCTTTTTAAACATGATCCGTTCATTTTAGGTTGAAGGATGAGCCAGTTGTATGCAGCATTATTGAAAAATTACAAGTCTATATGGAAGAGAAATCCACGTCTGATGAGCTCTGTCGAATCTATCTTAGGAGAATCATGCATACATACTACAAGGTACGTTAGTAGAGCAAATGAGAGTTTAACCTAATTGAGATTTAAAAAGGCTTGCACCCACTTGAAAATCCATTTACTTAACACCCACTTGAATTGTGACATGAGAATTTTGCACCCAGTTGAGAAAAAATACTGTGTGGAACAATAGGATCATTTTTGGGGAGGTTGCAATCTTAAATTGGAAAAAATAATCATTAGGTGTTCATTAAACACAGAACCATTGGGTCTTTGCAATGTAAATTTATCTGTCATGTATAGTTGTTTAACCCTTCATGACATCTGGAAATAAACAAACTTCAAATATGACCCAAACAGGCTAGGGACCCAAGCTATGTTATGCCAGATCTACCATTTGGCTATTTCAATCATAAATATATGTTTGTATTTGTTTAGTTTGAGGAAGACTACATGATGGGTAGAGATCTGAGTTCAGGGGCTCTAATGAAACGTCTGTGTACGTACATCTACTCCAAAGATAACACAGACAGATTGAGGACCCAAGCTATGTTATGCCAGATCTACCATTTGGCTATACATGACTGCTGGTATGACGCAAGAGACCTAATGCTGATGTCTCATTTGCAAGATATGATTCAACATTCTGATGTACCAACACAGGTATGATATTGTTGTTGCTTTTGTCAATTTGTGCCATGATGTAATTTTATTACTTAAAAGGTTTCTGTTCAATATATTATTGTCGTAATAGAGTAACATCTATCTGTAAGGAACACAAAAAATTTCAGTAGGGCCAAGTTCCATTCCTCAGAATAATTCATATCATCTTAAATTACACATTTTAGCCCATTAAAAGTGTTGACCACATGGCAACATGACTCTATTCATTGTTGTTGATGATGGGCAATCTTTGTCTTATTTGTAGATCTTGTACAACAGAACTATGGTACAGCTAGGTCTGTGCGCGTTTAGACAGGGACACATCAAGGATTCCCATAATGCACTTGTGGACATACAGAGTACTGGGAGAGCCAAGGAACTGCTAGCTCAGGTGAAACATATTTGTGGCGTGTCATGACTTATGATATATAAATGCTGAGATGGGCAATTTGAAAAATTGTCATATTTTTGGTAATTTTGTTTTTGTTTTTTGAAAAGTTGATGCCTGAAATGGAGTTAAGAATGAAGAAATCCTATTATAGGCGCTTTTTGTACACTCTGGTATCACTTTGACTCATTTCTGCAGTAGATAATATTTGCAGTAGAAGATAACTATTGTTTCAAGAAGTATCTATTGCATTACAGGGTTTACTGTTGCAACGTCAGCGTGAAAGAACAGCTGAAGAAGAGAAAATTGAGAAACGTCGACAGATGCCATACCACATGCATATAAACTTAGAACTTCTGGAATGTGTTTATCTGGTATCCGCCATGTTGCTGGAAATTCCATATATGGCAGGTTAGAATATTATGCTTTTCTTCAAATTACCATATATGACATCTAAAATTGACCTTCTATGCTAATTCTATTTTTATAAGGCTGTAGTCTGATATTTCATATTGATGGCAGTCTAAATCTGTGACTTTATTTATTCTTGTACAGATTGAGATATCTTTTTCCTCTGTGAAACCAGCCTGATGACTTCAAGGCAGACTGGGTAATCTGTGACATGATGCTCATAAATAAAACACACCTATATTCTTTTAAGTGGAATATATTTTGGCACAACTTGTTATTCGGGGACAATGATATGATATCCTATGGCTCACCTTCACTTATTCACTGGTTTACTCATTTCCGAACCCTTGAATGATCAAAGCCAAATTAAAATGCACATTATCTCCTCACTTCTTTTCCTGTGTCAGTTTCATTCAAAATTCATTGTTATTTCAGCTCATGAATTTGATGCACGTCGTCGTATGATCAGCAAGAACTTCCACCATGTGATGCGTGTGAGTGATCGTCAGCCCCTAGTCGGCCCCCCTGAGAGTATGAGAGAACACGTCGTAGCTGCCTCTAAATCAATGAAGACAGGAGACTGGAGAAGTTGCAAGAATTATGTAATCAATGAAAAGATGAACACCAAGGTATTTGAAATTTTGGTAAAATTATGAACAATGTTGGGGCCAATGTGAATAAATGTGTTCAGCTTGGAACTCAATGAAAAATGGTATTTCAAAATGGAGATATGAGAAGAGAAAATGAACTTGAATCAAACTTTAGTGTTTTCCCTGAAATATTTTCTGCATTCATTCTCTGACTAAAAAACTCCAAACATAGAAATAAAGACTGATTCTATGATTTATGGCACAAAATATGACCAAAAATTATATTCTGTTCATTGTTAAGACTGAAATCGCTTAGCAATAACTTGAACAATTGATTTACTGTTAACAAGGTATATTTCTATATGATGAATTATTGAATGTTTCTACGCTATCTCCAGGTGTGGGAGTTGTTCTACCAACCAGAGAAGACCAGAGATATGATAGTGACAAAGATCCAGGAGGAATCTCTTCGAACGTACCTCTTCACATACAGCAGTGTCTATGACTCTCTCAGCATGGTCACTTTGGCAGATATGTTTGAGCTTGAGAAGGCTGTCGTTCACTCTATTATAAGCAAGATGATTATCAATGAAGAACTTATGGTATGAATTCAATAGTTTAGACACATGTGTTGGGAGTTTCCTTAGAATTTCTGAGAACAGGCAAAACAACTGAAAATAAGAGGCTTAATAAGTGAAAATAACAAGCTAAATAAATGAAAATAACAGGCAAAATTGATGAAAATATCTGTCTTGAGAAATGAAAATAGCAGCCAAAATGAATGAAAATAAGAGGCAAAATAGTTGAAAATATCAGGCAAAATGAATGAAAACAACAAGCAAAGTTATACAATTCCTCAATAGGCAATTTTAGTCAGCATTCAATATTTTCTTGTAGATCACAAATCACTCATACTAATATATATTTCAGGCCTCTCTAGATGAACCCACCCAGACTGTTGTCATGCATCGTACAGAACCTACTCGCTTCCAATCTCTCGCGCTACAGCTCTCCGAGAAGGTAGCATCACTGGTAGAAAATAATGAAAATATTATGAAGTTCAAAATGGGACAATTTTACCAGTTTAATAAAGGAGGCCAAAATAAAGGTAAGAATCGGGAAATAGTTTTTATTATACATTCAAATCTATTGATGAATTAGAATTGACATAAGTTGTAGTATATAATGCAAAATTGCAATGATTAATTACTATTAAGCATAAATGATAAATATAATATTTAAGACAAAAATGTTTTGATTGTATTGAAACAGAATAATAAATAAAGGAATCTTTCTGGTATAAGCAATATGGCCAGATGACGTATTGACGTATTATAACATTTTGTTCTGAAGTTCCAATTAATCTGGAGCATGAAACATTTATTAATACTTTGATCTTAGTGCATTTATTTTCACAATTTCTATTGTTATTATTTTTAGATGGAACTTATGTTCAAAGGCCAGGTCAGAAGCAATGGGGTAAGTCCAGTTGCACTTGAGTTAGTACATGTGTACTTGAGTTAGTACATATGCACTAAAAATTAAGCTAGTTAATGCAATTTGATCAGTATGCCTGGGTGGTGGTTTTCTATAAAAAATTTTGGGTGAATGGTAAATCTCAATTTGGAAATAGAATATGCTCTTGTCTTTTCATAAATCAATCTGTGGCATTTTCAATAACAGCAAATTCAGTTATAAGAAGCGCTTCTCACAACTGGGGACCCAAACGCCGCTAAAAGGAGCGACTCTGCATCACAGAATAATATACCAACAAGTAACACATTTTTGTTTTGATTTTAATGGAACAAGTTTGGAGAAAAGTGGTACATTATGACATTCACAATCCTTGATTTTCAAACATCTGGGAGGTCTAAAATTCAAATTAATGGTTTTTCAATGTGCATCGTTGGACCCGCGTGAAATTTCCCAGTTGGGATTTACCAAACGCCACTTTTTGATTGGATTAAAATTATCTGGATATGGTACTGAACTAGAATTTTTCATTCCAATCTACCATTGATGACAAGAAAAAATAATGCAATTAAAGACAAGATTTGCAGGGCAGAAGTTTCTTAATTCAAGGGTACATAATTCATTTTTAAGATTCATTTGATTTTAATGGAAAATTCTGGTTAATGTTGATTTGACTTCATTTTACAATTAAATGAGTGATTCTTGTGTGACATTGCACACCTTAAGCTTGTTTGGACCGAACATATAGGTAAGTAAGGAGCCAATAGATTTCTTCAGGAAAATATATATTGAACATTTTATATTATGAATTCTCCTAAAGGTATACTTGATGTTTTCAGGAATTGTTTTGGAAAAATACTTGAAATTATATTTAGTCTCGAGTTAAGCTTTGTATTACTAGGCTTAAAATTTGGAAACAATATTTGACAAGAGGCTAAATTTTTTTCTGAATTGAATTCCCTAGAAACAATGCATTTGGATTTTTAATACCTTGTTTTATTTTATGCACTTGTTTTAATCATATTTGATTTTGAACACTATTTGCTTTCAATCACCAGGACAAAAGAGGAACTACCAGGAAGGGGAGGGATACGGTGGAAGTGAGTAATTTGCCCAAATTAATGCACTATTTCATATCACTACACTAGTGATAATGCACAAAGGAAGAATAGTTATCCCAGCATGCATCTTCAACACATTTAGTTTTCTGTACTAAGTTGAGTAAATGTTGGAATGTCTATTCATTCTTTGTAAGCCAAACAATGTGTACATATAACATCAGACGCATGCTTTACTTAAGCCTTAAACATTACCATGCATTTGATTTATATAAAAAAATTTGAACAAAGATGGGTAGCATTTGTGGTGTTTTAAAATATCATAAAAACAACCCTCTGCCTTTGAGCTGTAAATAAGCAGGTAATTGTTTGAGTATGTTATGAATGTAAAGTATATTATAAGCTTTTTGTGTAGTATAATAGCATGTGTAGGCAAGTACTTTATGGATGTTTTCAAGTCATGTGTAGGCAAGTACTCTATGGATACTTTAAATTCATGTTGAGACAAGTTCAATATGGATACTTTCAATTCATGTGGAGGTAAGTACTATATCAGTACTTTCAATTCATGTGGAGGTAAGTACTATATCAGTACTTCCAATTTATGTGGAGGCAAGTACGATATCAGTACTTTCAATTCATGTGGAGGTAAATACTATATCAGCACTTTCAATTCATATGGAGTTAAGTACTATATCAGTACATTCAATTCATGTGGAGGCAAGTACTATATCAGTACTTTCAATTCATGTGGAGGTAAGCACTATATCAGTACTTTTAATTCATGTGGAGGCAAGTACTATATCAGTACTTTCAATTCATGTGGAGGTAAGTACTATATCAGTACTTTCAATTCATGTGGAGGCAAGTACTATATCAGTACTTTCAATTCATGTGGAGGTAAGTACTATATCAGTACTTTCAATTCATGTGGAGGCAAGTACTATATCAGTACTTTCAATTCATGTGGAGGCAAGTACTATATCAGTACTTTCAATTTATGTGGAGGCAAGTTCTATATCAGTACTTTCAATTCATGTGGAGGCAAGTACTGTATAGATACTATTAATTCATGTGTATGGAAGAACTATATCTGTACTTTCAATTCATATGTAGTACTATATGGCTGCTTTCAATCCATGTCTAGTACACTGTACTATTAATGGATACTATGAAATCCATGTGCAGGCAAGTACTATATGGAATCTTTTCAATTCATGAGCACAAGGCAGGTGAGGAAATAACTTTCAGAGATATCTAGATACTCCATTACTCATGCATATCCCTTCTGATTTGTGGATCGAGATTCATTGTTCCGAACACCGAACAAAAATATTGTATTTCAGTTCATTTCCAGAACACAACTATCTAACCTCTTGGCATTTTGCTTAATAATGCACCATAGAGGTGAACAATTGGAATTGTCAACTCTCCAGAAGCTATGTGTTCGCTAGATTTTAACTCATCTGACACATTGTGTTGCCTGGCAGTCTAATATTTGTTTACCCTCCTCATCTAGAAGACCATGGGGGTTAAGCTAAACATAACAAAGAAACTTGTACCGGAATGTGTAGAATTATATTGTCATCTCTGGATTATTTCTCCCATTCGTAGTATTTACAGGGTGGGCCAAAAAAGTTATAGCATTTTGAAAAAAAGTGGCATTTTTTGGCGCATTCTATACTTGCCCAATTGGTTTAAGGATGTGCTGGAAAAAAACAGTTGAGAGGGACAGTAATCTATTGGCGTCATGATATCACACATCACATACAAGTTCTCTTAAAATGTGTAACATAACCGCCCTTTAATAAAAGCATTTGGTCACAAAAAGTCTGTGTGCATTCTCGTAAATGTAGTAGATGTACACTCCCCTCCATAAGTTTGGCAACCGAAAGTCACCTTCAACAAGCCTGATTATGTTTCGCGATTAAAAATGTTCATCATATTTTCATATTTGGCATGAATTTCCAACTATTGTAATTAGGGAACAGAATTAAGATTCGAATATTCACATGCTTTGATATGCTATCCACTGAATACTTTACATGGGCCATTAATGAGTGTATAAATAAATAAAACATAACCTTAAAAAATGAAAACCTGGGTTGCCAAAATTATGGAGGGGAGGGTACATGTGTCGTTTGAAACAATGGTAGATTTGCAAATATATCTGATACTTGTGAGAACAGCAACAAATGAATAAAAAAGAATAGATTCCTTCAGTTCAGAGTGTCTGCTTGCTGTTATCCTACCCTCGGGATAATCCCTATATCCTGAACCTCACACAGGATAATCATTTATCTCTATTTATTCTGTTTTCAGGGAATCAACAAAATGAAGGTGGTTATCGTAAGTATATTTTGTTCATATGTTTTTTGCTATTTAGTTATTATTCCCCCATATAAAAACTCACTCTCAATACAGTCTATAATACAATGTAAATATTGTCTCACTTTGGAATATTGAACAGATTTTGTTGTTTTCTTACATTGTACGATAGACTGATCAAATATTAGGCTTTTTGCAAAAATAAAATGTTGCTTTAATGCAAGAGAAATCACAAGAATCACGAAAAATTGTAATATACAGTATGTCTGGGTTATTGCGTTCAATCATTTCATTGCATTGTGGGTATTTTTGATAGATTATTTAAATTTTGATTGTTTTCCGCCTTTACCCCTACCCCACCTATAGTTAAACGCAAACATGTTAATTACACTCCAGGGCAAAGATACAACAAAGATGGCGGTGAAGGATATAATAACCGTGAGTGATATTATTATAGGAACCAATTAGGGGGCATTTTTATGAAAATGCAAAATAAAATCCTGTGCTAAGGGCTGATTTGCAAAAGTCAGTTCATCCTAGAGGGAATTCAACTCCTGAGAGGAAACTCAACAACTGACCAGTTAATATAAAAAATCATGAGTCATGAAATGAAAGTTTATGTTTGGGATATGGGGATAGACCATAGTTACCATGGTAACATTGTATTGTGGGTATTTCTGATGTCATTGATTTTGATTATTTACCACCTTTATCCCTACCCCTATAGGTAGTATCAGATCTAGCAAGCTAGTGGCAAGAAGTTTTCAGAGTACTCTTGCCAAAATTGTTTCAGTTTCAGAATATTTTTGGCTCATCATTCTTTGTCATTTTTGTTTTCTAAAAATCTCCAAAGTGTATTTGAGAAAAACAAAAGAAAATTTAAACATTTTCCCCTATTTTTGCAAAGGTGAATTTAAACACCCCTCCCCCCATTTTTGCACTTTGAAACTTCACCAATTTGATATATCCTGAATCTTTTTAGGATCTTTGTATTTGAGGTCATGAGGAATGGATTAATATGCAATTTGTCACTCCCTATAGATCTGATTCTCCCTTTAAACATACATCTGTTAATTACACTCCAGGGCAAAGATACAACAAAGATGGCGGTGAAGGATATAATAACCGTGAGTGTAATTATTATAGGAACCAATTAGGGGTATTTTAATGAAAATGCAAAATAAAATCCTGTGCTAAGCCACCCTAGACAAAGCAATAGGCTAAAATATACAATTTTATTATTCTCGTCTATGTCTTCACAAATACCACCTTACAAAATTTGTGGTACTAGATCTATATATTTTTTGTAGGATCATATTTTCCTAACTCGATTCTGCTAGATTTTGGCCTTTCACTTAATCTAGGGTCTAAGGGCTGATTTGAAAAAGTCAGTCCATCCTAGTGGGGATTCAACCCCTGGTGACTCATTTTCAGAGCTACAACTGAGCTACAAAATAGTTCAAGATGCAATGTTGAATTATAATGGATTCAAATTAGTACTTTATTGACATTTGATGTTTACTTTAAGTTTTTTACATTCCAGGTGGCAAGGGAAAATACGATAATAGGGAGAATAAAGGAGGTTACCAAGGAGGTGGCGGTTACCAAGGAGGCGGCGGTTACCAAGGTAATTACACACAACTAAGATCTCTAAGTAAAGTGAATTTATTAAAAAGTTCCAAAACTATGAAACAGGATTTTCAGCAGAGCTTTTCATGCCATTTTTAGTCATAAAGGCATCTGCTTTTAAATCCCCACATTTCGGGATACATCACTCAAAATTAAGGGTTATTACCCCATGTAATTGGCACCAAAGTTGAAAGAAATCCGAAAATATTTTTGAATTTAGAGGATGCTGAAATTATATCCTGGTCTGAAATAAGATTCCGGGGACATTTTCCAACGGTTCAACTTAAAATAGAATAGTGATCAACTTTTTGCTGTGTCGATCGGTGATTCTGAGTGTGACAACCTTGACTGATCACCTTTGCACCACAGCTAGATCAACCTCCATTTGCAGGTGAACCACATGTTCAGCATTAACTTGCGACTATATGAGCATATGTAACCTGCGTACAGTTCTTGTATATGGATACAATCACTCTAGAAGTAAATTTACCCCTATTTTATAGGGGCATGAAAAGAATGCTGTAAATTTGATTCCTAGCACTCTTCCAAATCATTGATTTTGCTTGACAAAATCCTTTTGATCTAACCTTAACCAATCAGAATACCGAGAATATGGTCAATAAAAATTCAGCTAACCAATCAAAATAGCATCCACTGAAATTTATGTTTTCATCAGTACCTGGTATGAAATTCACTATGAAACTCTCATTAAACCCATGACAACTACTTTGGGATAATTATTAGATCTTAGCATCAAAACTGTTTATTTATTTCTCATATTCATGGCCTAATGTACTAGAATCGGAGCCTTCTGGGAGAGTACTGTAATGTTAGATACGTCCATGTCCCCTTTGTTTTAAACAGCCATCCGGACTTCACTTCTCTGTAAAGGTATTGGCCATTTCTATAATGCTGGGACTATATTTTCAGGTGGAGGTGGCAGAGCATGGCAGCAACAGTACTGACAGTAAATCCCTACACCAAGGACTATTTTCCAAGATGAAGCTATTTATACTTGTAAAACAGCATATTGGACAATTACAGTATATGGGACTGAAATACTAAAATATAGGGATTCCCCAACCATGTTAAACTATTCTCTAACATTTAATTATTCAATAGAATTGTGATAAAAAGAATTGAACGTCAGTTATTTTCATTGAAATATTTAAGGGCCTTTTTTTTTAATTTGAATTTATTTTGCAATATGATATATGTCAGTTTTATTGCAGAGTATTAGAAAAATATCATGAAATGTGTGGTATGAGAATGAGTCGAAATAAAATCAGTCAAATTTTATACATCTTTTTTGTTCACAATTTGTATGTAAACTGTTTGGAGTAAATCATAGGATGTTAGTCTAACATCTTTTCACTCTCTAATAGTATAATAGAAAGAGGGGATATGGAAACAAGGCATTAACTTGAAAAATGTCACCATTTGTTACAGACAACAAACACAAACTGTCGGACACCATCCACAAAACATTGGGAGACTTCTTTAACAATATGTCTCCAATTCTAAGTGACATAAAAAATGAGGACAATGAGTGAATGAAATGTTACAATTTTAAAGTGTCGGAGTAGTAAAACAACAGGCGCATGTCAAAGTCAAATTGTTCCATGTACCTACCCACTACATAGAAGAGCCCATTATAGGAAATGATGTTCAAATATCAACAATAGTGGAGCAAGGCATAAACACTAAACAGCAATATGTCGCCACCAGTCATTTGTTAAAGACGCCGAACACCCAACTGCTAAATGCCATCCACAAAGTTAGAGACTAACATAACAAGGCACTAAATTGACAAAATGTCGCAATCTGCCATTTATTACAGACATCCCAGCCACGAAAAAGTTTAAGAGCAATATATCACCACTTTTGGTGGTGATGTAAAAATGGAGTAACTGTTGACACTTTGAGACAACAGCAGCAAAATTGTAACTTGGGGGAAGATGAAGTAATCGCAAATTGAACAACCAAATTGCAGTCAAATATAGATCTAAATTATGGGCTTCCTTTGAAGTATATATGCCTACATCATGGGCTTCTTTTGAAGTACATATGCCGAAATTATGAGCTTCTTTTGAACTATCTGTGCTAAAATAACACGCTCATTTTGCAAATAGGGTAAAAAATGTTGAGTTCTTGGTCACTTGTACAAAAGTCATTTTGAAGTCAGATATTCTTAAAACTAATAGTAATAATGAATTTTTGATGTAATTTCAAGAATTTTCCTAATTCATTTGAAGGGGCCATGAATTTGTACGATACCTTTTTGGATTATTGATCCAAATTAATATTTGGTGAATTCGTACATTCCTAAGATTTTGGAAATAAATTACATTGAAAGGACAGGTGGCGGTAAACCCCTCTTTTAGCCCCCCTAGCTACAAAACAAGTATATATTGACATGGAATTGAAGAGGAAGTATGACTTATTACTTAAAATGTGATTTCTGAGAGTTTTGACATTTGACCTTGACACTAGGGTGGTTTAAAGGTCAACTTTGATAGTTGCTATTTTTGTCAAAATTTTACTGTTTCTAATCCAAGAAATGAGAGCAATTGGCTTTATTTTGATTGTGACTGATAAAAAGACATGTGAATAGAAATAAAAAAAAATTTAAATAAATTATCACGGGCAATTACCTGAAAATAAATACCGATATGGGCATTTTTAGGGGGACTAAATTTTCTTGTTTCAAAAATGAATGTTCTTGTTACCTTTTGAGACTCTAGCAGTATCCTAAGCATGTTTTAAGAGTTGGGATGTGATTATTATTTTAAATGCCCATGGGCAATTAGGATAAAACGACTGAAATTAAATGCACACAAAGGCACTTCAAAAAGAATGGATTTTCTTATTTCAATTGCTTCTCGCCAGTTTACTAAACATGTTTGCCATATTCTAAATAGTTACAGGGTCACTTTTACTCAATGCCCATTGGCATTTTTATTTGGCATTTGAAATTAAAATGTTTGAATGTACACTTACTTTTAAAGTTATTTGCCAATTTGCAGTTCCCATATTTGAAACACAAATAATTCAGAGAAATCCTCTCTCAATATATATCATAAAATATAAGGCAGCATCATGTATGAATGGCATGACACTCAAAGGATTGCCTAAAATGATTTCTACTTATTTCCTATTTAGAAAAACACTTAGGCCATTCAAATATTTTCTTATAATGTATGTATGTATGTATGTATTATTTATTTGCGTCTAAAATTAGACAGTTACATATTATACAATGAAATAAAGAAAGTAAATTAAAACATCATTTCAATTTAATTAAGTAGTGTGAACTGTCCTAAATGGTTTAGATCATTGATACCCTGACTCTATGCATGGAAAATATTACAAGTGATATGGAGCAGAGTGAGTCGATGCTCTCTAAGCTTGAGCTCAACCCTAAAACAAAGTCCATCTTTTCGACAAGTGACCTACGGTCTTCACTCTCCAACATTGTGAGTAGAGTCTGCCGTTCATAGGTAATTATATCACATTGTAGTATAAAATGTTCAATAGTGTCTCTTGAATTGCAGCACAATGGGCAAACCCCATTCTCAAAAGGATAAGACCCTGATTGGAGTTTAAACATAAGTTTGCACTGTTTTTTGAAAATAGGTCTCAGTTTACATATCAGCCACCATATATTTGGCTGCACGTATGAGATGGATACTGTACAAGAATAAAATGATAAGGAACTATACAAAGAACACATCATTCTAATGCTATTTGCTTCATTACAGTATAAAGCATTTCTTACAATGCGTTTAAAACCTGATTTAGAGAGATATTCCCCAGACTGTATCATGTTCATAGATAAATTGACGAAAGTGTACCGTTCGAGTGTTTTCCAAATGATGGAAAGTGGAGAGTTATGCCGTCCATTCCCCTCTATAAGCCACAGCAATCTATGTATCAAGACTGTTTTGTAAATATTATTCATTGGTAACACTATAATACTCCAGAAGAACATCATCCTCGAGAAATCTATCTGTCTTCTGATTGAAAGCCATCCAAGACCTGAAGCTGCTATGGGGTTCGGCGAACTTTTGGGAAGTGACTGAATTCTTCTTCTGATTTCACGGTGTGATATTTCCATTTGCTCTATTTCGTGAATACTATAGTCTATTACCTGGCAACCGTACAGTAGCTTACTCATTGAGAAAGTCCAATATAACTTACTGGCCATTAATGGGCAAAGGCCTCCTGTTAAAGAGCCAAGCCCCAATAACGAAAAATATTTCTGTTTTGATTTGCATATCGTTTGCTTTACAAAATCATTGTGGTTCCCAAGGGGTATTCCGACGTGCAGCTCCCCTGTTTTTTGTTGAATTGCACTGGGGCCAAGTAAAGCGGTATCTTTGCCGTCGTTGGGTCTGCCGAAAATAAGGAGCGAGCATTTCCCTGGGTGGAAAGTAATTCGCCAGTATGAGCTGTAATTCCACACAATGCTTAATAGTCTGTTCATATTCTGCATGCTAAGAGATAAAAGTGATAGGTCATCTGCGTACGAAACTACTGAGACATCAGTGCCACCTATACGTACTCCACATTTCTCACCCACAATATCATACAAGAGATCTGCGAGGTAGAATTGGTAGACAATCATCGACATCACCCCTCCCTGATGGACACCCTGTTCGACATTAAAACTGCTAGAACATTCACCGTCATATAAAATTGAACAGTTATAAGTTTTGTAAGACGTGTACATCATTCTCCAGAACTTTCCATTCATGCCGCATCTGTAAAGTTTGTATAGAAATCCATCAATCCACATTGAATTGAAGGCTTTGCGCACGTCCAATAGAGAACAATACACGGTAGAACCCTTATCCCTACAATGGGATATAGCTTCCTGTAATAAGAACGAAGTGTGAAGTGATGAGCAGGAATCTATCGAGGCACCCTGTAGTTGTGGGATGTGTGCCAGGAAACGATGTTTACTGCGGCTGAGCAGCACGTTGTCAAATAGCTTCCGCAACGAGGACATCAGAGTTATATCACGGTAGTGGTCCTGATCTAGTGGGTCTTTATTCCCACCCTTAAACAATGGTATGAGTAGTCCGATACAAAGACCCCGGGGGATATGCTCATGCGTACGGATAATATTAAAAAATACACAAAGTACTGATACTAGGTTTGGGCCGCCGAATTTTAGGTGTTCAGCTGAGATTTTATCGCATCCGCTCGCACGATTTGTGTTAAGAGCCTTAAGAGCATCATTAGTTTCGTCCTCAGTGATTGGCGTATCAAGAATCCCGTCTTTGTTCGGCATCGATTCTGTCCTCAATGAAGTCACCCGCCGTTGGATGTAATCGTGGAATTGTTCGTTAAAATGTGGGGATTTTCCAGGTGTAGCTAGTTTTGAGAAATGCTTCATCCACGCATTGCGAATTTCAGATGGGTCCGATAAAATTACACCATCCTCATCCCGTATAGAGTTAATCCTTTGTGATTTAGTTCCCCGACTCCTAGAGACCAGATGCCAATAAAGTCGTTGATCTATGGCATCGTCTTGTAGTTTGTCCAGCTCTTTCTGTTCAAAATCGCGTTGCGCCTGAGAGTAAGCCTTCTTAAAGGCTTTGTTAGCAGCCTTATAACACAAAAGTACCTCATTGTCTGACTGACGTGGGCGCCCTTCACTCACCCATGTGCGCCATGCGACATTCTTGGTTTTTACCAGATGTGACAGATTAGGATTCCAGAAAGGTTTCTGATGCTTCCGGAATTTCTTGATAGGCACATCACAGGAAGATTTGATAATCGTATCCACTAATGATTCACTAAAACTGTCAATTTGTTCATTCCTGATATCATTGGTTTTTAAAAGATGTCGCCCTTGTGTAAGTAAAGGTTCAATGTTACGTTCAAGTCTCGTCGTGTAACAGGACGTAATCTCGTCATCAGACAGCTTGTTCCAAGCAAACTGCTCACTGGGGGGTTTGGCACGCACAATGGGTACAATATTATATAAATCAAGTTTTGATAGAATAACAAGATGATCGGATGACAAGTCTGGAGAATCCTCAAACACTTCACAGTATGTTACACTACCCACTAATTCATGTGATATAGCGATGTGATCGATGTATGACGTTTGACCTATGTTAATATGTGATCTAAATGTGTATGTTGGTCCTACTGTGTCATTCATCATATCCCTTATACAAAGACCATTACTAATACACATATCAAAGAACAATTTTCCATTCGCAGATGGAGTTCCTACACCTCTACTAGTATTACCCAAATTGCCGATGTTTGCATTGACGTCACCCATTACAATCACCCTACCATTGTTACTACACACACCAATGAATTCATGCAATGTGTTCAGAACATCTTCATAACAATCATTAACACAAGTTGGTTGTGGCAAATACACAGAAAAAATGTAGATTGGTACATCTAACACAATTTTAATACAGACAATCCTATCAGTACAAAATTTAGTAACAGGTAATGTATTTGACAGAGATTTCCTCCATAAAATAGCCACGCCACCATGGCCCCATACTTGACCACAATGCATTGGGTTGAGCAGTCTGCTACTACGAGAGAGCATGTTAAAATCATTTTGCATTAAATTGAGTTTAAACGCATTACATTCATACATTTTGTGTTCTGATATACATACGATATCATTCTCACGCATTAGCTTATGGAGAAGTATCTGAGATGTATTAAACCCGTTTATATTCCACTGACACAAGTTTAAAAACACCATAGTGACGATTAAATACAGCATGTACATATAAGTCATAACTTTATTAGGACCTGTCATTCCATGCGTCATACTGCTCGGTATGGTATTTGTTTCGGATCCTCTTTACAGCCTGTAGGAACTGGCCCCGATTGTTATCACCTTTTCTATGATTATCAGATTTATTATAATTGTTAGATCTTTCATCATAGTCGTTTTCATCGTAGTACTGTCTATCATCATGATCATCATTGTTTTGCCTCTCATCATACATGTAGTCATCATCGAAGTGTCGTCTATTGTCGAAATCATCATTGTTGTGTCGCCTCTCATCATCTTCATGGTACTGTTTCACATCACGATTGCGATGCTCATCACGTCTGGGTCGATTGATGTTACTGCTGGAACCATAGGTGGAACGACCTCTGAAACGTGGGGGGATCCTATCCTCCTGGTCGCCTACCCAGTAGCCACCATCGGGTCTCTGCTTCTGTCGCCGAGGTCTGGAAATCCACTCACGACTATTCACGTCATCAGGCCAAATATCACTATCAATGGCCCTATTGAACATCGAGCTAGGTACGTATATTTTACATCCTACCCTATTACGGGAAACTTTGTTATGAATAACATATATCTGGTTTATTCTCAAACCTAAATCATGAGCGTATTTAAGCACTAGATCCTTTGTGGTCTCATCCGAATCATCAATACCCTGAGAGATGTTTTCCAAATACACTATACGCGATGGCTCATTTTTAACTCCACATAGTTTCTTTGTCGTTGCAGTTCCACGCCCACTGTTGCCAGATGTGAGGACACCTGGTTTGGAGGACTTCGGTATCCCTTTAACCTCCTTGTCAGGTTGAGGTTTTGTTGGAGGAATTGCGGGGACACGGGCTTGAGGAGACGTCGAGGAGTCAATCAGCTTCGGTTCTGAAGCCACTAGTGGTGGGAAATTTATTGGATCCACGGGAATTGATGCAACTGTCGTAGAGCAATCAGAACCATTACTGGTGGTCATTATAGGGGGAGCATCCAACGTTGCACAATTATTTGTAGTTGCGGGTTTTGTTACTGTGTTACTAGGCGACGTAGCTGTCTTGACAGAGCTTTTACGGTTATTTGAGCCAGGACTATTAGTATCAGAACTACTCACAACACTGGGCTTTTGAATCGATATATCGCTTTCACAACTGGCCGGCTTTAATCCCACGTCAATTTGGGCTGCTGCGTGTTCGTTATTAGCCTTATTGCTCAGCAGGCATTCGTGTTTACAAACAGTACATGTCACTACGACCTTCTGGTTTTTTAGCTCAGCAAAGGCGATTTCAAGTTCCTTTATTTTGTTGACCAACATAATATAATGTTCCTTAAGACCACTAACACCCAACGATGCTACCGTTTTAACTGCATCGGTGCCATCATTTACCGTGTCTTTTTGAACAAAAGTCTCTATCGCAGAGATTGTCGAAGCATTGAGGACTGATCGTGGGAATGGTGATGAATCAACGTCGGCACAATATTTATACAACTCGTATATATCTCGGCATATCGCCTTCAGTTTATCGGGACCTCTACGCAGTTTCAATCCCAAATCAATAGACTTATTACCAACCTCTGTCTGCCATTTAGCTTGTGCTGCTTCCAAAAGAGTTTCTCTCGTTTCACACAATAGACCCTCGTCGAACTCGTCACCCAATGACTCAACAATGTCATCCTTTGGCTCACAGTCAATTTTTTGGAGAAAGAATTGTACGCTTTCTTCAATATCCATCATGTAGGGCGGCGGAACATCCATTGTAACAGTATTATCCATTATACATAGCCTATGAACTTAGGTCCATACGATAACAAGTACGAGTTTTTTTTCCGAGGGCGCCGCCATATTGGAAAAGTTGAAAAGTCACAAAAACGTGCACAAATCCATCATTTGTCGCTTCCACGGGAATTATCCTTAAATATAGTCCTCACATGTGTCTGCTCGAGACACTCATGGATGGTTTGGATCCAGAAATGACTTCCAATAGTCATGTATTTATGTGAAAAAACACTTTATAAATGCAAGTGGTACTGAAACCTGTACCCAGGTAATACGCCATCTATCAAAAAAAAAATAATGTCACTAAATTCTATGTTTTCCGAAAAAACAAAATGTCCCCATGTACAGATGTACTTTTGTAATGTATATAAATGACAAAGGGAATTGTGATCTTGGATTATATTGTTGCGAAATGAGTTTCAAGATTGATTAAAAACGACATGTATATAAACTTCATTAACAAGGTTATCTGAACTCAAAAGGTGTGTTACTTGCTTTGGCACAATGTGTTATTGCATTTTCACTCTTAAATAATATAAAATACCCTTTAAATAAATGAAGGTTTTGTAGTTTTTATTATAAGGCTCTTCATCAGAATGCCAACATATAATTAATTTTGGATGGCCTAATCTGTACATGCAGTTATGTAGTGTACATGTATGCCCAGGTTAGCAGCCATATTGAAAACATAAACAAGTCAGGCTTATTTTCATCACAAAAGTTAAGTTTTAGTGGTGAGCCCAAACTCCCACAAAAATGATATTTGCACAGAAGCTACTTTACAGTCTCTGCATTATACAGTTTCAATATATTTTTTGTGGGAGTGTGGGCTGACAGTTAACTTTTCAATGAAAGGGAATGAGCACCATGCTAAAACTTGATAAAAAAAGTGAACGAAAAATGACAATGTTTTCTAGATTTGCATAGGAAAACTACATACATCACTAGAAATTGTCAATTTTCTTCTCCGAATACTTGTATGCCATATGTTCGATATATTAAATTCTATATAATGATAAGTTTTTATATTATTTTGATGGTAAACATAATGTGTACCCATATTCAGAAAGCCTTGTGATAGGGGTTCTTACTGACAATTTTTCAAAGAAACGGAGAACTTATGCCACTTTTTGAAATTGCACATCTCAAGAAGAAAGGTTTATCTACAACTTGCAATCGGTTTTAAAAGTAAATGGAAGAATGAGTTTTTCAGAAAAAGTCTAAGTGGACCAATAGTCTGTTAAATGGACCTGTTCTTTGGATAAAATTTATCCGAAAAATCAATTCACTTACGTAGGTGGATTGAGATTTGGATAAAATTTATCCTAAAGATTAATACCACAATGTATCATCACCATGACGAAATTTATCCGGATCGGATCATAGATAGTATGAATTCACGGCCCCAGGTATTCACCACCTAAATTCAACCAAGATACACACCTCATATTTAAACCAATCACATAAGACATAAATCCATTTGAGTTCCAGCACACTTTATTCCACATATAAGTTACAGTAAATTCTATGGTATTATCAGTCCTTAAAACACCATATTGTGTGGATAATTTTTGCCTTCAAGGGAGAACATCGCGCCAAGATAACCGAAAAGATATTTCTTTTCTGAGTTTTTACGAATGGCATCTAGGACCTGTTTGTCAACATCGACTTGGTCTGCTTTGCGTTCATCACTGACTTTGTAGACCTGGAAATATAACAAACATGTTGAATAAATATGGATGTGAAACAAGTTCCTATCTAACCAACCAATCATAATTACATTTTTAAAATGAAAATATTTGTTTATAGATAAATATTTTTTTTAATCTAAAAAATCATAACAATTTTTTTCGCATTGAATTAATTTCTTCGTTTTGATCTGTAGAATACCATTGGAACCTGCCAAAAGTCTTCAGATTGACAATTTGAGATTTTTTGCATTGCTGGCAATGGGCAGATATGAATAGGACTCCAAACCGTTCATATTGAGAGGTGTCCAAATTAGGCAGATTTTGGCAGATTAGGGAGGTGTTTGGATATACAGGTTTTACAGTACATATAATGTATTCCTATTGCCTCTTATCAGAGATAGAACAATGTAACTCCACGGTTAAGTCAAAGTAGGTAAGTACTCATCACTTAAGAAGCACATAGGAATACAATGCAACTACAAAAAATGGCAACCTCCAAATGCAGAAGTTTGTTCTTTTAAAAGGGAGGAGCAGAGTGAGTGATGTCTGGACCTCTGCTTTTGGGGAATGACAAAATGGCAACCTCCAAATGCAGTTTCTTCTTTTAAAAGTAAGGAACAGAGTGAGTGATGTCTGGACCTATGCTTTTGGAGAATGACAAAATGGTGAATTTCTAGCTTCATGCTAACAAATATAAAAAAAAATATGCAGGGCTTGATTCATCAGAATTTCTTCATATCCAAGACCCAATCATACCTCTTTTTTAGTGTCGAAGATTTCTCCTTCTGTGTGTTTGGGCTTCCTTAGCTTTGTACGCTTGAAGTAGTCATCATTGACACGCTCTGGGAGCTTTACTCCACTGACGTCAAGCTTAGTCTTGGTGGCAATCACATATTGCTGGTTGATACGTCTCAATGGGCATCCATTAAGATGGTATGGGCCTGCAAGTGTTATAGTAAAGGTTATCACATCATTATGACAATAAGGGAGGATAATTTATCTTATTGTTTTATTGACATATGATATGAATCATAAGAGATCAATCTGAAAAAATTAAATATGTAAAATGTATAAAACTTGGACTTTCATAATTTATTTGTATGAATAACTTGACTTTTTAAAATTCAGAATCTTTCAAGGATATAATGGATAAAGGAGAATTTAAAGAACAGTTAAAAAGTGTTAAATACTGGCAAAATCCTCTTTTACTCTACTAACAAACATTTATCTTTTTGCCGTGGATTCGAGTCTTTAACTTTTCTACTTACCAGTGACCAGTAGAAGACCAGATGCGAGCTGCTTCAAGAAAACAACTCTCTGGAAACAAAAAGTTGCATTAATTATTTAATACTCAAAAATACTCAAGCAGCAATATATGGAACATGAATGAACATGCATATGTGTATTTCTTATATGAGTGTAACTGATGTAATGTTCCATGATTTCGCAAGAGCTATGAATAAACAATTCAGTTTAGATTCAAGCTCTGTACAACAACTACTTTTAAATAGTTAACGTTAATTGCTTTTGATCAGACTCATTAGATCGTGTAACCCTCATGGTTCATCAGGACAAGGAGATCATCACATTAAAAGCAATTACATTTTAATGTATCAAACTTATACTGTATTCACCATAAGTGTAGGTATAAATGTTACCTTTTGCAAATCAAAGAAGCTAGAACATGCTTTTTATACTTGAAACCATGGCAACCTGACATCATGAATCAGGCCAATGTTTTTTAATTATTTCTCAGCATGATTGTAGGATTTATTGTAAGTTAACAGTTATTGAATAAATTCTTTCTGTAAACTGTGAACCTACTATTGGTCTACCCTGTATATGTAATATTGGTGTTGAAGAGTCAGCCAATCCTGTAGCTCAGTGGTAGAGCACTTGACTGAATAGCAAGGGCTGTTTGGTTCAATCCCCATTGGAGTGGACAGACTTTTTCCCACCAGCTCTTAGAGCAGAATTCTTTGTTTTCATTAACTAGGCTAACTTTATTGATGATATGGTAAATACACCAACCTTTCCTCTGTGTCTCCCTGCAACCATGATAAGGATTGTTCCAGGGGTAAGAGATGGCCTAAGTTTCCTGTTGTGGGCTTTGAAGGGTACTTTGCGAGTCTTCAAGTTTCTAGATGCCTCTTGAGTTGGATAGGACTTTGGCTATGAAACAAAAGTATTGTATTACAATGAGGAAAATTCAATTTGTTCAAAAAGTAGGATTCCTAATTACAAAACCATGGACTTTGTCTTGTGGTCATTTATTTGCTCGCTAATCACTCAGAATGATGATTCAAAAATATGAAAATGCATTGGAAATACTGTTCGTTTGACAACAGTGAATGCTTCTTATCAGACTCATTAGATCGTGTAACCCTCATGGTGAATCAGGACAAGAAGATCATCATATAAGAAGCAAAGTATCACTGGTCATTACAGGTGTATAATCACGCATCATTCAAATGTTTATGAGACCCCAAACATAGGGAGTGTAAGGATATACAGTATTGTCCCAGTGGGTGGGATCATGACAGAGTACTTCTGTTCTGGAATTAATTCCATTCCAATAATTGCAATTTTGACTATGTATATCGCATCATTTTATCTTCCAACGGTGCATTATCATCAAAGTTCTATAATATAATCTCTTACCAGCTTGCTCACTCTGACCATACGGAACCCTCCATTCTTATCTCCACCGATGTCCTTCTTGACAAAGCGGGTTAAAGTTTCCTTCTTTGTTTTTGCTGCCTTGGGCTTTTTCTTCTTGTAGACAGCGCGTTTCTGGTACATGCGAGCTTGTGAGAAGCGCATAACGCCACTTCCACCCAAAACATAATTCCTGGGCTTGTGTGGCGATTTTTCTTTTTTCGGCGCCATCTGGAAAATGAAAGTGTTCATATTAAACGTCTTGTCAGTATACTTTGTGAATGTCGCCATCTATAAAACTGAGTTGCACAGATATCACAACAATATCTGGGGTTTCAATGGTTTTTGACATGCTTTCGTTCAGACTCATTAGATCGTGTAACTCTCATGGATAATCAAGACAAGGTGATCATCATATCGAAAGCTTTTTGAACAGCCCCATAGGCCAAACAAGAAAATAAAGGAAAATGAATAAACAGACTTGTAAAGATGCAAGAGATAGAGATTTTATCACAATTATAACAGCGTAGGAAACTATGCCTCGGTAAAAAAGTATTCAAAGAAGGTGATGAAATTTCAAGTTCCATCCGAAAAATGAGTACTACAGCATGAAGATCCAATTTTCTGTAAAAGTGCTTGAATTTTCAAGAAGTGAAAAATAAAAAAGTTGGATTTGATTTTCGTTGCCACACAATTCTTTCCCGTGTAGACTTTCGACAAAAATATCTAGCCAGATCAATATATAAGATATCATTCTTATTCAATATACCGTTAATTTGATAAGATGTCATAGGATTATGGAAGATATTTGATAGATAGTCTGGAAATATTTACAAATTCGTGCACTCACTTTGCCGGAAGTTGGAAAAGAGGACAGGTTATCCGGGTTCTTGACGTGCACATAAATCGATGACGTACTTCACAACTGTAAGTTGAAACTAATCTTATATTTTCAGTTTTGTTCAATAACTCAGTTATATTGCAATGGAAATTAAAAATATTCATGTAACAGGCGTATTTTGTACATGCTTAACCCCAGTGAAAATATAGGAACATAAAGTTTATGCAATTGTCTAAAATCCAAACATGAAGTATCATGTTTTTGTCAAAATTGATTTGGAAAGCAAGGAGGATTGGCTCCCAGGATCGAAACTCGATATTTTCCAACAATGAAAACGTCGAAATGTCGTTATTTTCTGAAATTAAAACCGACTATAAATTCAAAATAAACAGTTCAAAAGATTCGAACCAATATCTCGATCATTTCTTGTGAGTTTTGGAATTTTTCGTTTGGAAATAAGACCAAAATTCACGATTTAAATGTTGAAGTGAACAAAATGGCGGCTGTTTGAATTCGAATTTTGTATTACGACATACCCATATATGGGACAGAATATCGGTGGTGCACTCTGGGAGCCAATCCTCCTTGTTTGGAAAGTGAATTGAAAGTGGATCAAATCTCTCTGCTCAAGCAACATTTTCATTTTGGAACTACTGACCAAATCTTTTTACAATCAGACAGCCCTAGAGCTCTGAGGAGAGTCCCCGGTGTAGAGTCTATCAAAGAGAGGGTTCCAACTCAATTATTATTTTTCCAAGCAATTTGAATTTGTTCAGTGCTGATTTCTTCAACAAAGTTCGCACTTTCTCTAAAAACGTGTGCTAGAATTCATAATCAGCAATCCAAAAGATTTTAACGAACAGCTTGATGATTTCAACTCGCAATTTTAGATTTGAAGTGGAAAAATACCGGCTGTTTGATTTGGAATTTTGTAATCACAACATGACTCCATACATGACTGAATATGTTTGTTTGTTTATATCCAGTGTTTTGCGGTGCTTTAATGCCACCTTATATAGTCTCTGGTGCTACTTTTCACTTTGTAGTATCAATGATGTGGTTTACACTGCTGTTTTGTAAGAGTTTATTTTTATTTTGTTTTTGATTTTACTTAAAATCCTTATCTACATATAACTAATGTTTTATTTACACTTAAAATCTTCTGCTTTTTATGATGTAGGTGCGTAATACATCATGTAGCCTTTTGTTCATGTCCTTGTTTAGTGTTTGATTTTCACCTGCAAGGGTTTTCAGATCCATTACACATGTGTTTCCACTCTCTAGAAGTATACAGTCTGCATCATATAGCATTTTATCCCTTAGATTCTGGAGTTTGTCGCATTTAAATAGGTAGTGGTCAATTGTCTCTGGTTGGTTGCAGTTTAGACAGAGATTTGTACTATGTATAGGGTTTATTTTCTTCAAGTGGCTGTTAAGCCTGGTGTGACCACTGAGAAGTTGATTCTTAATGCAGAATGTTCTTCTGTCAGATTCACCTAGCAAAGGCCACTTTCCTACAGACTCAATAGAGCGTTGGATATATCCTACTTTTTTCGAGTTGTTGTATTGCCTTTGCCATTTGGACTTTGAAGTTGCGTGTATTTGACTGTATATCTCTCTTTTGGTTATTATTCTACTATCTTGACTGAGTATTTTAGCTGATTGTGCCGCCTGCTTGGCGTGTTTGTCAGCCAATATCAGCCAATATCAAGTTGGAACACTAGGAGCCAATCTCTTCCTTCAACATTTTATTGACTATGAAAAAATAATTGTCTTGATGTCAGTCAAATTATAATTGATTTATTGTAGAACAGGTTCATGTATATTTTCTTTTTATAGATTACGTTGCATTACATTTACAGTATAACTTAAAGTTGGATCACCTTAACGTTTTTAATTTGCATTATTTATTATTTCAGATCCTTACAGCTGCAATACATCACTTGAGATAAATGGACAAATAAAATAAACAGAAGACAAAAAGACCAATTCACCATGCATGGGGCGGGTATGTTTATCTTTTTATAAATATATAAAATAACAGAACATGGTATTCTCCATCTAAAGGTCAATATTCTCTGATACTCGTCATGTCACTTGTCAAGAACAGCCCGACACCCATATTTGTGTTGTTTGATTTATTTGGCTTTCCATGACGGTAACATGTACTAGTATACATAAGATATTGATAAGTTGTATGAAAATAGTAATTTTGATTAGAAAATGTAACACTGATTTGCAACTGCAATCACAGCTCTCCATAGGCAATTTAGAAATAGCCTCACTATCAATTCACTATAAAGAATTATGTAAAGAATGTTACTTTTTGAGTAATAATTTAATGTGGGAAACTATGAGGCTAGAGCATGTTTGTATTACAGTCACATTTATTACAGAGGGGTCCCCAAGATTATTCCAAGTGAGGTGTCTTTGCATCTAAAAAAAACAACAAAAAACAGTCTCCATCATTACAGCTTGCACTTACTTTATCTTCTCCATCTTATTTCCTCCGAGCCTCCTTCTCCTCAACACTATTGATGAAATCCCCAGGGACTGGTTCAAAATGTCTTCATACTTTATATTCATCATCATTATACATGTGCATCCTTATTTTTCTAAGCACCACTCAACAAAGTTTGATAACTTTTTCTACTATTTTTTTCAAAATATTTCTGGAAAATCTATTTTAAAATACCTTCAATAAGACTGCAAGAAATATAAGCATTTTATCCATTTAATAAGCCGTGTTGTTATTTCTAAGTTTATTTTACAGAAGGGGGTCATCCTGATATCAACTATAAAGTGAAATACAAAGCTTTGAAACGGAAGCTGAAGTTTCTTGTTTTTGTAAGTATTGAAGTTAATATATCTTATATATATCTTTTATTGACTCTTTGATGTCATCACAATGACATATTAGTCAGTACAGTGTACTTTAATTGATTGCATGATAATGATTTTATCTTTGTCAGTTTCTGGGATATTTTTAAAGATGACTAGAATCTATGAGTGAAATTCTGATATGCAGAAGAAATATCAAGAAATAACAAAAAAGCATTCTTCTGCAAAATAGATCTCACTGCAATGAAACTTGAGTTGATTAACACTTGAAAATAAATGATCACAATTGTAAAGTTGAATCACATCTGTCATCTCTTCTATCTCATCTATAAAGTAGTAAACCACTATTGAATAAAATCTAACTGGAAAAAACAATACCATTCTAGTACTCCCTAGAATCGTGTACATATACATTTGAAATATGTTTTTGCAAGTACATGTACAATATTCCCTTTGGGATTCTTAAACTACTTATAAGCTGTATTGCATATTTTCTAATCTGTATCGTATACTTTTATAAGCTTTATTGTATACTTTTCAGGAGCAAGAATGTTTTATGGAAGAGCTGAGGAAAGCACAAAGGAAACTTCTGAAGGTCTCCAGAGATAAAAGGTAAGAGTATGCTCATTACAATTTTTGAGAAAATAGCCCATAATAAGCTTATATTGGAGGACACACTTTTTTGGTCAGGACTCACTTTTTAAATTTTTTCCCTCATCAAGACTCACATTTTTTCACACAGTAAACAGCTTGCTATTTATGTATTACCTGATACAATTTAATGGATGTAATGGATTCTTTAATCAGCATTCCTCAGAAAGTCAGATGAAAACAAAAACTGTTATTCTTATATGTTTTCTTGCAGTTTTCTGCTAGACAGACTTCTGCAGTATGAGGCAGTAGAAGACTCAATCAGTGACTATATTCTTACATGTTTTCTTGCAGTTTTCTGTAAGACAGACTTCTGCAGTATGAGGGTGTAGAAGGCTCAACCAGTGACTATTATTCTTATATGTTTTCTTGCAGTTTTCTGCTAGACAGACTGCTGCAGTATGAGGCATTAGAAGACTTAACCAGTGACTACGGTATTATTCTTATATGTTTTCTTGCAGTTTTCTGTTAGACAGACTTCTGCAGTATGAGGCAGTAGAAGACTCAACCAGTGACTATTATTCTTATATGTTTTCTTTCAGTTTTCTGTTAGACAGACTTCTGCAGTATGAAGCAGTAGAAGACTCAACCAGTGACTATTATTCTTATATGTTTTCTTGCAGTTTTCTGTTAGACAGACTTCTGCAGTATGAGGCAGTAGAAGACTCAACCAGTGATTATTATTCTTATATGTTTTCTTGCAGTTTTCTGTTAGACAGACTTCTACAGTATGAGGCAGTAGAAGACTCAACCAGTGACTACTGTATTATTCTTATATGTTTTCTTTCAGTTTTCTGTTAGACAGACTTCTACAGTATGAGGCAGTAGAAGACTCAACCAGTGACTACTGTATTATTCTTATATGTTTTCTTTCAGTTTTCTGTTAGACAGACTTCTACAGTATGAGGCAGTAGAAGACTCAACCAGTGACTACTGTATTATTCTTATATGTTTTCTTGCAGTTTTCTGTTAGACAGACTTTTGCAGTATGAGGCAATAGAAGACTCAACCAGTGACTATTATTCTTATATGTTTTCTTGCAGTTTTCTGTTAGACAGACTTCTGCAGTATGAGGCTATAGAAGACTCAACCAGTGACTATTATTCTTATATGTTTTCTTTCAGTTTTCTGTTAGACAGACTTCTGCAGTATGAGGCGGTAGAAGACTCAACCAGTGACTATTATTCTTATATGTTTTCTTGCAGTTTTCTGTTAGACAGACTTCTGCAGTATGCGGCAGTAGAAGACTCAACCAGTGACTATTATTCTTATATGTTTTTTTTCAGTTTTCTGTTAGACAGACTTCTGCAGTATGAGGTGGTAGAAGACTCAACCAGTGACTATTATTCTTATGTGTTTTTTTTCAGTTTTCTGTTAGACAGACTTCTGCAGTATGAGGCGGTAGAAGACTCAACCAGTGACTATTATTCTTATATGTTTTCTTGCAGTTTTCTGTTAGACAGACTTTTGCAGTATGAGGCAATAGAAGACTCAACCAGTGACTATTATTCTTATATGTTTTCTTGCAGTTTTCTGTTAGACAGACTTCTGCAGTATGAGGCTATAGAAGACTCAACCAGTGACTATTATTCTTATATGTTTTCTTTCAGTTTTCTGTTAGACAGACTTCTGCAGTATGAGGCGGTAGAAGACTCAACCAGTGACTATTATTCTTATATGTTTTCTTGCAGTTTTCTGTTAGACAGACTTCTGCAGTATGCGGCAGTAGAAGACTCAACCAGTGACTATTATTCTTATATGTTTTTTTTCAGTTTTCTGTTAGACAGACTTCTGCAGTATGAGGTGGTAGAAGACTCAACCAGTGACTATTATTCTTATGTGTTTTTTTTCAGTTTTCTGTTAGACAGACTTCTGCAGTATGAGGCAGTAGAAGACTCAACCAGTGACTCTGATGCCACTGGATCTAGTGACTCTGATGGTGAAGGAAATAAAGATGGCAGCTCAAGTAAAAAGTAAGAACTCATTAAAAAATTGTTTTATCCATAATTTAACTTTAGTGGGAGGGAGATGAAGATGATAGCTCAAACGGATATAATTTATTGAGAAAAATAGAAATGTCCTGATTTATGCATTATTACTCAATTGTCTCAAAATAAAAAGCCATATTATTGGTTTGTCAAAATTTGCTAACTTTTCTTGATTAGGCTATTGAAATTGGTTGAAATGGATTTCACATGTATGAAAAATCTAGAGTGTGTTGAGGGGATCACTCCATCAAATATCTTGTCCTGATTATTATATTTCTTGCATCTTACATGTTTAGGAAGCGACATGTAGTTGTATATGTGTGTGGGAGGTAACAGAGTACTTGATGTGATACAAGACTTTTATCCAAATGGAACATGCGATCAATTTATTTGAAAGGCCATATGGATTTGCATATAAATGTACATCAAAACCTATGAATTGGAACAGTTTCCACAATATCGGGCCTGCTTAGTTTCTGTAATAATCAAATCTCTAGAGTGGAACACCTCCTAATTTTATGTGGAATAAGAGTTTTTAACTGACACAGGTTCAATTGTATATTGAAATAAACTTTGTGAATGCAGCATCTTTTGTATTAATACTTGTAGAAGGAAACTTCTGATGACTCCCCAACTTCCAAGCTTTGGCGATTCAACCTCCTTACTCTCTGGCCTTGGGTTTCCAGGATTCCACCCTCCACAAGGGGTTAGTCTAAACCTATTTTAGAAAGCTCACTCTCTTGAAAATCCAACCTCCTTAAAGGGGGCTAGTATTCTTTATGAATGTCATGCTGTATCAGTTTCTGAAATGCTTACCTAAATATGAGGTTAGAGCCAAATGGAAGTGGAATAGATTTCAGAACTTGCTTTTGAAATTTAGCGACTTCAAAATTTTATCGTAAAGAAGTACATCCATAAAACTAAAAAATTCCACAATTCAAAATTGTTAAGCATTGGTAATTCAAGTGTATATAACATGTATAGTGTTATTAGGAAATCATTTCATTAAATTAATTTAATATTCACAAAGCTCCTCATTTCCTGTTTTCAGCAACAGATATCTCCAGACCAACCAAGAAAAAAGATGGCAAAAACTAAAAAGACCATAATTAAAAAAGGTATATTACTAATTTTAATAAATAAGTTACATAAATGAATTAATGCTTTTGTGGCAGATCCTATTTTGACAATTACTTTTTTAAGAAACTGTACCAAGGTGTACAATTTCAATGAGTAAATTAAACAGGTAAACAAATTATGCATTGCATATTGTAATGTGCTCATTTGGTAATAAGAAAATGAATGAAAATTATAAAGAGGGGGGGACTAAGAATATAATATATGATATAAAATATTACTAAGTCTACTTTCTGGCATGATATCAGTTTATTAACTTAGGTACTGGCTTTAAAAGAGTTTAGTATGTATTTAAGCATGCCACATGAATTGAATCCAGACTCAGATTTCAAATTGATACCAGAACCTGAGACAAGTCAGAAATCAGGATGACAGCATAATGCATAAATACAGTAAAACCTGTATTAGTCAGGCCACAGGAAAAAGGGTCTTATCACAGATTTTTTCAATGTTTTGATTTTTTATTTTTCTTAAAAAGCACAAAGAGACCTTTCAAATGAGCCATGGCTTGTGTCTCAACAATTTTTCCTTGCAGATGTATATCAAAAAGAAGGATTTGAATTTAGCACATTTTCCTCTTAATCTTGGGCACATTTTCGGCTCTGTAGCACAATTTGAATTTTTGTGACAAGACCGGTTTTCCTATGGCCAGGCTCGTATATCTTAACACCTCTGTTATCCCAATTTTTTAATCTCCCATTAACTCCCTTATTACCTTGAAATATGAACACCCGCTATTCCATACACTTTTGACCTGTCCCAATGGCATTAGGATTAGACAGGTTTCACTGTGACTTATTAAACATATAATGTACTACGTTCTTTACATACTTAGAATTGAAAGAAATTAAAAAATTCTTTTCAGTATCATTACAAAAAGCCAAATCAGCAGACGACCAAGGTTTTCTACATGTGACAAAAAGACCCACCCAAGTCCAGCCACATATCTCCCGAGCAGAGATAGAGAGGCAGCTCGATTCTAAGCCTCGTTCTCAGTTTATGGGAATCGAGAAGGCGCCACTCAGCTTGCCGATGGATCTCTTTAGCAGCGAAAATTCTAACCAAGAAGGGTGAGTCTGAAGTTGTTTTACAGCACTTAGATAGCTCATTTATTTTCCTTTGTTTTCATTTGTACACTAAAATATTTACATTTATAAACTTTGAGGTATTCTGTTGAGTCAAAAAGGAAAAGGTCATACTGTCAAGGATTTCATTTTGTATAGATTGCAATTCTGCTCATTAAAACAGAAAAGAAATGTTAATAAAAAATTAATGTAGAATGAGTCTAGGGTTGTCAATTTCTGTCAGTTTTTGATTAAAAGCAATAAATATCTGAATGAGTATGATATTTTGAATGTTTTCAAAAAAATTAACTAAAGGTTTAGATTTAGACCACTGAATTGCTGAATATTTCTTACTTTTTGATATTTTCCTAATACACTATCACCTGGATTTTAATTTAACTATTATATTTTTGCAGAGAGCACAAATTAGCAGAAAATCTGATGATAGATGTACACGAATAGCACAAGGGTAACCTTGGCAACAGCATAGTAACAGCATTTCACAACAAACATTGGAGATAGTTCTGTCAAGATAACATATAAGGAATTCAGGAACCTCTGAAAGAGTTCTGGTCTGTCACACTTGATTATGAAATAATGAACCTTGACCCCCTCTTGATGGAACCTCTCAAAGTATATGTATAAAGGACAGCACACCGATAAGTAGCTGACTATTATCATTCAATAGGAATCTGAGTGTGAACTTGAATTGCATGTGTATATGGAAGTTAAATGTTCTCTCATATTGAGGGTTGGAAGCTCAACGCACCCATACTCCCTAAGTAACAACATGACATAATTGATATTAATAACATTCTTAAAAACTATTATTGGAATGAGGATAATGTATGGTGTGTAATTCTAAAATCGACAATGGCTCCCTGAAAGTATGTATACATGTAATCGTTCAATTATGAACAATATGAACAATGCAGATATTTGATCTTTAAAGGATGTGATACCCTAAAGCAGAGGGTAAAACTTTGCTCAGGCTCGTAGCCAGGGAGGGTTCAAGTGAACCCCAGGAATTTTAAGAACTGAACCCCCCTCCCCTTGGCACAAAAGTTGACTACAGGCTAAGGCTTTAATTCCTGATGTGTTCACCAGTGGGAAGTGATCATTGTCACATTATTTGTGTGTTCCTTAAAATTATTTGTGTTTAGCGCTCACAATGCTGGTCCTTGATTGATAAGAGATCAATAATTCGTCTTTAATTTGGCGCTTTTTCAAGGGGATAAATCTCATATCTATCATATACCCTCCCGCTAAATCCCCTTTAATTGTTGTTGATGATCAATCTGAAAGGCTCCAAATTAACAATTTAAACGCCCCAGCCATAACTGGAAATTCACGGAAGGAAAACAAGTCAATTCCTGGGGATTTTAGCCACCTATTTAATATGACGATTTGTTTTGATTCGCCAAAAAGACAACAGTACACTTCTGAATTCATGAGGATTTATACATAAATGCAGCTTTAAACTTGTATATAAAATTGTAATTCCTACAATATCTTTTCAAATTTTTCATTTGATTAATAATTTTTTTACTGATAAGGTACAGTAATGTATATGGATAGTACAGTAGTATATTTTCGCCTGTTAAGGTATCACGCAAAAGTAAAGTGAAGTATTACATTATTTTATTATGAACGGATTTTGCTCTTTTGCCCCAACTATAATTTCTTGATTGTACATTTGCTTTTCACGTTTAACATATCCAAGTATTTTTTATCTAAGTAAGATAATGTTGAGCCTTGTGCCAAATTAAAGTCCCCTGATGTATTTGTGGGTGTTAAAAATGTTTTGTAGAATTTTTGTAACATCTTTATGTAAAATAAAACAAAAACCAACATTTAATATGTTTACATATTATAATTGATTTATTAGTTATTTTTCGATGTATAAAATTGATAAATATAAATAAATATAAAATCTACAATATTGACATAAATACATGAAATATGAATGACTAAAACTAAAAAACACTACAATCATTAAAAACCTATACAATGTCTAAGTGATACAGTAAAATTTCTGAATAGTAAACACCTGATCTATGTTCAACAAGACACCATTGGAAAGCATGCTTGATACCACTGGAAAGCATGTAGGAAGTTCAGACTCAATTGTTCTACCCAAAGAAAATCCATACATCTTGATCACTTAAAAAATAAATACATTTCATCATATTAAACCTGGCATATACTTGAATTAATAGGGATGTTAAACAGAAATAGTAAACATATCTTGACCACTGACAAAATATAAATTGACGAGTCTACTATTATGTACATATTGCCTAAAGGACAGGCAATATGTAGTACATCACCCATTAAGTCTTCAAAACTGGTTGGAATAATCCACATTAAAGGAATATAAAACAGGTTTTACTGTAGTTTCGGTGCGACAATAGTCAACTAGGAGCAAAACCTGTCAGGATACAAAACAGACAAGGCAAACTTTAAAACAAGAGGCAAAACTGAGGCCAAAGAGGATAATACTTAATCTTAGACATAAACTTCAGTTTTATTAAAAATAAAAAAAATAATCACTGATCTACAAAATATTGATGAGTAGAGGCATGTTTTTATTTTAATCTAATAAACGCCATAATTCCACAGTGAAAATCCAACCTATTGGTGATAATTTATATTTAGTGGAATTTCAGTCAGGCCAAGCATTGTCAAGAGGCAGCTCCAATCTGATGGTATAGGAGATCTAACAGTGACCAGTTTGGGAAATATAGTTGCAACAGGTGTGGAAGTGTCTCTACAACAAAGATCTACAATGGCAGCATATTCCAACTGATCAAAGACCTAAACAAGAAGTTCTTAAGTGTAGGACAAAATGGACAGATGGCTAGTTGGCATTTACAACCTCAAGATCTACAATAGCAGTATATTCCAACTGATCAAAGACCTAAACAAGAAGTTCTTAAGTGTAAGACAAAATCGACAGATGGCCAGCTGACATTTACAACCTCCTACCCGCCAGCAACATGGTCCACTTATACAGTGAGAATGGGTCACAAATTTGTACAATCACCAGCCAATTAGCCTCAACAGAGGACAGCGACATGGTCCACATGTACAGTGAGGATGGGTCACAAATTCGTACAATCACCAGCCAAATTGGCCTAGACAGAAGACAGCAACATGGTCCACTTTTACAGTGAGGATGGGTCACAAATTCGTACAATCACCAGCCAATTGGCCTCGACAGAAGGCAGCAACATGGTCCACATGTACAGTGAGGATGGGTCACAAATTCGTACAATCACCAGCCAAATTGGCCTCGACAGAAGACAGCGACATGGTCTACATGTACAGTGAGGATGGGTCACAAATTCGTACAATCACCAGCCAAATTGGCCTCGACAGAAAACAGCGACATGGTCCACTTGTACAGTGAGGATGGGTCACAAATTCATACAATCACCAGCCAATTGGCCTCGACAGAAGAGAGCAACATGGTCCACATGTACAGTGAGGATGGTCACAAATTTGTACAATCACCAGCCAATTGGCCTAGACAGGAGACAGCGACATGGTCCACATGTACAGTGAGGATGGGTCACAAATTCGTACAATCACCAGCCAATTGGCCTTGACAGAAGACAGCGACATGGTCCACATGTACAGTGAGGATGGTCACAAATTTGTACAATCACCAGCCAATTGGCCTCATCAGAAGACAGCGACATGGTCCACATGTACAGTGAGGATGGGTCACAAATTCGTACAATCACCAGCCAATTGGCCTCGACAGAAGACATCAACATGATCCACATGTATAGTGAGGATGGGTCACAAATTTGTACAATCACCAGCTAAATTGGCCTCGACAGAAGACAGCGACATGGTCCACTTGTACAGTGAGGATGGGTCACAAATTTGTACAATCACCAGCCAATTGGCCTCGACAGAAGAGAGCAACATGGTCCACTTTTACAGTGAGGATGGGTCACAAATTCGTACAATCACCAGCCAATTGGCCTCGACAGAAGACAGCAACATGGTCCACATGTACAGTGAGGGTGGAGCACAAATTGGTACAATCACCAGCCAATTGGCCTCAACAGAAGACAGCAACATGGTCCACATGTATAGTGAGGATGGGTCACAAATTCATACAATAACCAGCCAATTGGCCTCGACAGAAGACAGTGACATGGTCCACTTGTACAGTGAGAATGGAGCACAAATTGGTACAATCACCAGCCAATTGGCCTCGACAGAAGACAGCAACATGGTCCACTTGTACAGTGAGGATGGGTCACAAATTCGTACAATCACCTGTCGTGGAGTACCTGTATGTAAGCTAAGTGGTATAGCCTCACTGCCAGCAGGTTAGCTTGTAATGGCTGATTACATCACAAATGGAGATTCCTCTAAAGGAAACACCAAACACATATCCCCATTTGGTATGTTCAATTACCCTCTATATGTGGCAGTTGACAAGGGGTATAGCCTCACCATGAACAGGGAACTAGCAGAGACAAGTTGGAAAATCGAGGAAGTTTATATGGTAGATTCATCAAATGGGAACTCAAAACAGATCTCATCATCTGGTATGTGTTAAGACTCTAATGGCAGTTAACAAGGAGTATAGCCTCACTGTCAACAGGTGAGCTTGTAGTGAGTGATTTCAGCACCAAGGAAGTCTATCTGTAAGTTTCATCCAATGGGAACACAAAGCGGATCTCCTAATCTGGTAAGTTCCGCATTTACTATGTGGCAGTTGACATAAACAGTAACATCTTAGTAAGTGATTCCCATGGTCATTCCATCAAAGTTGACAAGGGGTATAGCCTCACTGTGAACGGATGAGCTTGTAGTGACTGATTTCAGCACCAAGAGAGTCTATCTTGTAGATTCCTCCAATGGGAACACTGAACCGATCTCCCAATCTGCTAAGTTCCACATTTACTATGTGGCAGTTGACAATAACAGTCACATAAAGGTTGACAAGGGGTTTAGCCTCACTGTCAATGAGGTGAGCTAGAAGTGACTGATCGGAAAACCAAGGAAGTCTATATGGTAGATTCCCCCAATGGGAACACAAAACGGATCTCATCATCTGGTATGTTCAAAGACACTCTCTATGTGGCAGTTGACAGTAACAGTCATAGTCAGCGACTTTTAAAAATATTCAACTAATTATCAATTCAAAGATGCTTGCATATTTCAAACAGAAACACATATTTACGCAGAACTGCTAAATGTATGGAATACAACCTCAGGTGATTTAAACTGATTGAAAATAGAATTGTATGTCTTTGTAATAAATATCATCATTTCTAATTTGTTACTAAAAAATCCTGTATAATAATTGGTAATAGTTTTATATAATTTCACTCAGGCCAAGTGTTGCAAAGAGGAAGCTAGAAACTAACAATGACCCAACTGGGAAAATTGTAGTAACTTTTTAACACAAACAACAGAGGGCCAGCTGGCATTCACATTTGCCTTGGCTATGTCAGAGCTTGCTCCACCCATGGAGGCAGCACATAAATACATGTACCTAGAGAGCAGATAAATACATAATCAATGGGTCCCTACCAGACACACAAAATAGAGGAATAACAAAATAATACCCCATTTCTTTATTAAGTTAAAACTAACAATGCCAATTTTGGGGTTTGAAAATTAACTTACATTAGGTTATAAAATCAAAAGAGAAGTTTAGTACAATGTTTTACACTGATATATTTTGACCTGTAAAACAAATACCAGATGTAGGCATTTGACGTCACCAAGTTTGTGCAACCAGTGCTAGTTAAACTGATACAGTACATGTATATTTATTCATATACCAAAATGCAAAACCTTTCTTATGTAAGCCACTAAATAAAAATTACTTTTACTCCCTCCCTTATGTAACAACATAATCTTTATTAAAAAATAAAAATTAAATTAAAAATATCCAGGGCAGTATTAACCCATTTATCACAGAGTCACTAAAATTCCACCATGACTGAGTGTTGTCAGAGTTATAGCCAGGATCTATGAAAAGGTGAGGCAAATTGAAATAGGTGAGGCAAATACTGACGTTAAATCAAAATAGTAAAACTAACACTGGCGGATCTGGGGGGGGAAGTTTTTTTCTCAGACCAGAAGTTTGAGCCCCCCCCCCTTGTTAGTTCCCAGATCCGCCCCTTAACTAATGCATTTCATTTTCACAGTTTCAATTAAAAAAAAATGCTGAATTAATATTTCTGTAAGATTTTGGCAAGGCTTGCCTGCCTCTGTCTGGCTACATCAATGTCTGTTTCGATCCGACACAGAAAAATTTAAATATAAGCTAATAATGGCGTGTGTAGCTCCTAAATGTTATTCACTATCGTCATTCTACAACGATAAGTTGGTGAATATACTATTTAATGATCAGTTGACTCATTATAATATAAGTGCGTTCACTATAAATGGAGTCTACTACATATGTATAATGTATGAAAGTATGCACAATGAATTACATATAAATAATAAATATGTACACGACCAGGTGTATCCATTTACAAGACCAGGGGGCTTGTAAGTGGTACATGATATAATCCTTGTATAAGACCATGGGCTTCCAATTACACCTTCTGGTCAAAATTGATGACAAAACTGACTAGTCCAGGTCACACCTATCTGTATCTGGGGTGCTGCTTCTGTCACACACTGTTTCCATAGGTAATAAATTTACCTTACTAAAATGCAACCATAGGTAGCCTACAACCAGAATTCTCATTTTTCACTTTCAGAACTCTGTGACATGTTACTCAGAAGTATATTAAGGATTCGTTATGTTCTCCGATTGCTGATTTTACTATTTTTAGTGATGTTTATATAAAGAGGAGAATTTAGATGCTCTCAAGTAACAGCCCCTGGTCTATATTCTGGAAACCCCTGGTAAAATATCCTTATTAACATTAAAGCTACAAGTTGTGTAGTCCATGCCCATTAATTGCACTTTTCTTATTCACATTAAGTTGTTCCTGCATCTTTGCCAACATCTCCTGCATGCGGCGAATTTCTTCATCTTTTTCGGCCAGAATGGAATCTGTCGCAACAATCTGATCAAAATTCGGGCTAGAATCTCTTTTCAGTTTACTGGAAAATAAAAATTATTTCCATGATTCTTTTTTTATTTAGATTCACAGCATTGCTCAAATGCAGCTGAATACACCGACAAATGATTTTGCACTTGTATCTTTGCACAACGAGGAGTTATAGATATAAAAATAAATATTTTTTAATTAATTAACTAATTCATTACAGTCTTCATTGTTGGTATATTTTGCGATACTTAATTGATATTTTTGAAACCAAAACAGGTAACTTACTTCCTGTCTTTCTGGTCCTTTTTCATTTTGTCGGCTAGGTTTATAGCTCGGAAGTTCTCATAATGTATGTCTCTGGTGACGTCCTTCAAATCCTGCATATGCGTGCTAATCAACATCTGGCGCAGCTTCCCAAAATCACAATGGATGGGGTTGTCAACTGAATAAAAAATCATGAGAAGATTGAAGAAGTACTTAAACTACTTATATCATTGCAATGCAGGTGGTCTAAGATGCCCATATTCCTTTTACCATATGCTAGGAGTCTAATTAAGATTTAGAAAATAAACATATGCATTCCATGTTCACTTAAGTAGGGTCACTTGATGATTCCAAAATCACAACTTAAATATGCTAATTAAGTGTCAACAGATCCTTTAAAAATACACACCATTTAATGTTAAATAGCCAATGAACCCCTTTCTTACCTTCAACAATGCCCCATGGGTACATACGTCCTCTGACCTTCTTCCCATTCACCTCCAGTACAGTATTGCTGCCTATCACAGCAAATGGAATGGCAGACTGAAATCAATGAAAGGATCATCTTTAGCTAAACATACACCCCCCCAGGTTAAGTATGGCAACTGGAGGTCCCAATTGGATATTGTGCTGAAGCCTGTTTATGTTTGAATCATAATTTTGTTCCTAAATATATTAAAATAACAAAAAAGTCATTTGTTTGTTAAACTTATTTTTCTTGGTTAAATGTCTGTCAGCTCTTGTATTTTATCCAATATCTCTCTAAAATGTATCCAATATCTCTTTAAAATTTGAATGAGCTCCTGGTTTTCTTGCATTTCCATACAATTTAAAGTGTTAACTACATGCCTGTTTATTTTATTCCTTGCTGATTCCACTACTTTCTACTTTATTTTGCATTTCAAAACATGACCAACATGAAATGTATTGTAATTTCCACTTACTTTGAGATCTGTATCTTGTTGCTTGAATTCTTCATCTTCGTCACTATCACATTCTGGGAATTCATAAATCTCAATCTTGTGTTTTTCTACCTCTTCTAAGATCTGGAGATATAAAAATGTGACATGGATGTGTTGTAGAAAATAGGTTTCACGCTTCAAAAAGGTCATTTTGGCCTAAACTATTTTAGAACAACAATTATGAGTTCATCAAAGAATTAAAGATATTATATACTATACAATTAAAAAAAATGATCTCAAATAGATTATGTAAAAAGCCTATTAGTTCATTGATGTACTGGTATGATATTTTACACTTACAGCTGTATATGCACTTACACTAACTTTAAAAGGTATTTACACTTACTTTTAACTTTAAATTGTGTATTTCTTTTGTGGTGAGTGTATCTGCTTTGGCAATGATAGGAACTATGTTGACTTTGTGGTGAAGTTGTTTCATAAATTCTATGTCCACTTGACGTAACCTGAAATACATTAACCAAACTAGGAAATTGTTTTGTTCTCCCCTGTAGGATATCAAAATTTTTGAAACTCCCTCGATCTGTAATCAGCTTTTCTAATATCAATATTTGTTTCTTTGATTAATTGTAAGTGATAGAAATTTTATGTTTTCACAAATTTGGTTTTTCAATATTTTGGTTTATTTGGTGAATCATTCTCAAGGATCTTTAATGTCATCATCTTTCTGTGTTGCTAGAGGACATTTTACCAAATAAATCAAAATATTGCAAAATTTGATCACATTTGGTATTCTGGAAGAATGTCATCTATCAATTTGAATATAAAAAAATATGTAAAACCTGTGTATGTAGAACACCTTTGGTATATCTAGTGTTCCACTTGGGTGGTACTTTAATACTAAGCCAATGAATCATGGGACTCTGAAGTGTTCTACCAACAGAAGTGTTCCACATTCCAAGTTTTACTGTACCAATAGTCACATTATCAGGTGGCTACCTCAGGTAAGATTAACATGGAAATGAGTAGGGACACTTCACTTAACATGTTTAATATAAATACATGTAGATTTGGTGGAGCATTAATGTTATGTTCTAGATTTTCAGAATTGAAGTTATTTCCTTTTGCATGGTTTTATCATGGGTCTGGCAGGTCTGCATGACCCAGAGAAAATTTCAATAGCATTTTTAACCACATTCAAGTAGTTTATATTAACCTGAATGTGGTATGTTGCTGTTATTCATGTTTATCTATGTGCCACGTTCCGACTCTAATATTAAAGATGTTGATTTGTTGATTGTAAAACAAAACAATATTTGGTTACATGGTAACAAATTTAAGTAAGAGTAGTTAATACCCCAACGTTTTTGACTGGGCCAAACATGATGTTCATAGAAATTTTGATTTTAACTGGAATGATCCTATTTTATATTTGTATCCATTCAGATAAAAAAGTCAGGATGGAAAACACTATATCCCTTTAATAAGACTGGGGCTGGATGAATATGAAGGTTTGTATATCATTTGAAAACACTCCAACACAGTACTTACCCATGTCCATAAATAGAAATAAAGTTAAAAAATAAAGTTAAAAAAACTTGATGGAATTAACATGTAGGTTTTAAATATTATCAACACTTTACACGGTGGGCCAAAAATATCCACTGGCTTTACATTTTTTGGCCCATTCTGTAATGCAGTACATACCTATGTCCATAAGGAGAGATGAAGTAAATAAACTTGATGGAATGAACATGTAGGTTTTTAAATACCGTTAACACCTACAGGGTGGGCCAAAAATGTTCACTGGTTTTACATTTTTTGGGCCCACTCAGTATGTCATTACATACCCGTGTCCATAAGGAGAAATGAAGTAAAGACAACAATGTACTCTATGGTCCTTAATGTTTCGTCTATTCAAACCACTCTCATCCTTGAAATATTGTTCAAATTGTTGGTCTATATAGCCAGCTACTGGTTTCCAGCTGCAATTAAACAATACAAAACCCCTTTAAACAATATAAACTCAAACAGTTGATCTATATAACCAGCTACTGGTTTCCAGCTGCAAAGAAACAATAGAAACCCCTTTAAACAATATAAACTCAAACAGTTGGTCTATATAGTCAGCTACTGGTTTCCAGCTGCAAAGAAACAATAGAAACCCATTTAAACAATAGAAACTCAAACAGTTGGTCTATATAGCCAGCTACTGGTTTCCAGCTGCAAAGAAACAATAGATACCCATTTAAACAATAGAAACTCAAACAGTTGGTCTATATAGCCAGCTACTGGTTTCCAGCTGCAAAGAAACAATAGAACCCCTTTAAACAATAGAAACTCAAACAGCCGGTCTATATAGCCAGCTACTGGTTTCCAGCTGCAAAGAAACAATAGAAACCCATTTAAACAATAGAAACTCAAACAGTTGGTCTATATAGCCAGCTACTGGTTTCCAGCTGCAAAGAAACAATAGAAACCCCTTAAAACAATAGAAACTCAAACAGCCGGTCTATATAGCCAGCTACTGGTTTCCAGCTGCAATAAAACAATACAAACCCCTTTAAACAATGTAAACTATTTCTGACTGCAATGTCAAGCAAGTTGAGCAATATCAAAAATAAAAACAACACAAACCCCTTAAAACAAAGAACTAAAAACCTTTGGTCTTGGTTCATGTTATAGGATGCACATTAAAAATGATGCATTCAAACCATTTTCCGAGAAACTTTTTCATTCATATCCATTCAAAGTAAGATTTTTCCACACTTTATACAGTCAGTAAATGATTAAAATAACGGACTTACCATTCATTAGCATTTACAGCATCATTGAAGCCTGGTGTGTCAACAATGGTTAATCGCAATTTTACTCCTTTTTCTTCAATTTCCATGTATTTCTTCTCAATCTCAACTGTTTTGGAAATCTTGTCTAAAATAAATAAATATACAAGTAAATATAGTATTGAACACTGTCTATGAGCCATTTAACCACTATGAGCGCCCCTTTACTTCATTTCTCGGTGTTATGAAATGCCCAGTAACTCAGATCCTCTCTACTAATGGGCTACATAGGTGCTTTTTGTGATGGGTTACAATGGGAATTTCAATCTCAAAAGCACCATGAGCATTTTCTACAGTGAATATGGTTGGCTGACCTCCGACTTATACTTCTTATTTGACCCTATGAAACTTGGAACGTTAAAATTATTAAATCATGTCTTTGAAAATATTCATGCAATGTAGGTTTTTGATATTTACAGCTTAATTTAATTTAGTGACCTTATTTTAGACTTTATATGTAATGTAATGTGTATGCATCTGTATGCTTAATACGATGTGATTTTTGTCCTCGATAGTACTATTTTATAAGATGTTCTTTACCTTCAACATCTGGTGTTTTCTTGTCTTTATAAAGGTCAGTGAGGAAAAGACTACTGACTAGTGTGGATTTACCAAGTCCAGATTCTCCTGAAAGTAGATATAGTGAATCACATGTTAATAACAAGAAAAGACTGCTGACTAGTGTTGATTTACCAAGTCCAGATTCTCCTGAAAGTAGATATACAGTAGTGAATCACATGTTAATAACAAGAAAAGACTGCTGACTAGTGTAGATTTACCAAGTCCAGATTCTCCTGAAAGTAGATATAGTGAATCACATGTTAATAACAAAAAAAGACTGCTGACTAGTATGGATTTACCAAGTCCAGATTCCCCTGAAAGTAGATATAGTGAATCACATGTTAATAACAAGAAAAGACTGCTGACTAGTGTTGATTTACCAAGCCCAGATTCTCGTGAAAGTAGATATACAGTAGTGAATCACATGTTAACAACAAGAAAAGACTGCTGACTAGTGTAGATTTACCAAGTCCAGATTCCCTTGAAAGTAGATATAGTGAATGACATGTTAATAACAAGAGAAAAGATGTCTTTGCTCATGACATTTGTTGTCATGCCTATGATGAAAAGTACAACAGTTCTGACTTTTTTAACATGAGAATACGTTACCACCGTACCCATATTACTCCAAGGTAAGTATTGCAAATGGTTATCAAAGTGTGACAATTTGTATGTCACCACCCATCTGCACTAATGCCACAAACCAGTAAGGCCAATTGTTTTTTTTATTTTAATTTGTAGTCAATAGAATACAAAATTGGGACAGAGAGCAAAAGTGTTGACCTTTAGAGGCATTTAGATGAGAGAGGTGTTCAGATATACTGTATGGTCTGGGCATGTAGCTAGGGGGCTCACTCAAACCCCTGGCCAAAAATTCTTTAAATCATTCACTTTTAACCACTCTGAGCATTTTCAAGTGATTTTTGGCCAAATTTCTCAAATCCGAGCACCCTTGAACTTTTTGAAAACTGAACCCCCACCCCCTTGCCCAGCTGGCTACTGGCCTACTGCCTATGGTCTATATGTACCTACCTACAACCATAAGGGTGAAGTCAAATCCTCGTCTCACAGCCTTCCTGTGTACTTGGTCAGGTAAAGTAGCAAACCCAATCACATCTTCATCATTCTGGAAATACAAACATACATACAAATGAGCCTGGCCATAGGAAAACCAGTCTTATCACAAAAATTAGAATTGTGCTAAGAGCCAAAAATGTGACCAAGATTTAGAGGAAAATGTGCTAAATTCAAATCCGACTTTTTAATCTATATATGCAAGGAAAACTTGTTAAGACATAAGCCATGGCTCATTTGGAAGGTCTCTTAGTGCTTTCTAAGATAAACAAAAATCAGAATATTGAAAAAATCTGTGATAAGACCCCTTTTCCTGTGGCCGGCTCAAATATTGAATTTCAAACTCTATCAAACCCTATCACATCTTCCTCATTCTGAAAGTACTAATACATGTGTACAAATATTGAATTTCATATTCTAAAATGTTAACCATTTAAGTGATCCATAAATGTCAGGATACTTATCAAGTTATCATTTACACTTAAGCTTATCAGTTTATGGCCATAGTTTACATTTTACATATTTATTTGAAACCTTCAACAACTTGATGCACAAATTATATAATTTAGGAAACCAATGCTACATATAAAATTGTATAATAATTGTTTCAACTTTGGTATCGCTGTCTCGTCAAGGGAGAGGCAATTAATACATATTCCATTTCTTGCTTGTTTGTTTGTTTGTTTCATATAGCCTTAAAACTGACCCATCATACCTAGATCTGACATAGATGTATAAGTATACGGTTCTATACACCCAAATTCTCTATTAAAGAAAATTCAGGTAAATGTTCTATGTTTACCAATTTACTCACACATTAATGTAAACAATAAACAAAAATCATTTTTGAGATTATCATATTTTTACTTACCTCTTCATAACTTCCCATAGTTCTATATTCAAACTTTTAAATACAGTAGTACTAAAAATAACTTATTTTGAGTCAATCGAATGTTCTAACTATTTCGCTGGAATCTGTTGTCAATAATATACAAATTAAAACCTTGTCCTTTAATGACACTATATCCAAGTGGTTCTTTTATCATAGAGTCTCATGTAAATCTATGGTATTATTTTGTACAAATTATTTTTTATCCAAATTCCGAAATTACAGTTTTTTCTCTTATCTTTGACTTTCCTGTTAACATTTATTTAGGTCCTAAATTTTGTTTTTATCCAAATTCTCAAACTCATGGCCTTATTTAGTTCTAAATTATTTTTTCGTCCTGAATAATGTCTTTGTTTCTGTTCTGCCTTATCTCCCTTTAGCATGTTCTCCTTGAATTTATCCTTAATCTATCCACATTCACATTTATTATGTTGGGTGGCCTAATCCCAGGTCACATGCCACTAATCACCAAACCCTTATTACACAAAAGTCCCAAATTTCCAATTAATGGCAAGTACAGTACTTCAAAAAATTAAAGATGAACTGGATAGACTCAACTACTTTGACTGCATAATCTATTTCTGAATCAATAATCAATTTCCAGGTTTAAATACTGAAATTATGACGTGTTTACATGTGTATATAATTATTGTTTTTTTACAAGGGAAATGTTAGTGCCATTTTTAGGTCTACCACAAGAGTTCTTTTGACCACATCTAGGGACTTGGAGTAATTATGGGATTAACCCTCTTGAAGTGTCTGGGCCATACTTCATGTAAGATAATATTTTTTACTACTGTTCACTTTTGACTCTTATGCCAGTGGACTCATGGGAGAAAGTTATCATTTTTGAAATTATCAATAAAAAAACATTTTTATTAAAATTACTGCTGAATAAAAAAAAAATAAAAAAATAAAAAAAAATATAGCAATTCGTTGAAAGCTTGTCTTACCTCAAATTCAGGAGACAATGGTCATTGGTGAATGCAACTACTGTAGTTTGTTTCTTGGTGATATATTTAGAAATCCTGCCCCAAGTGAACTCTGATTAAATTAAAAGACACCTCATAAAAGAAGCTGTCAATGTGACAATAGACCCTCCTAAATGAGAATAACTTCAATGGGGAGATGTATCTGTACACCAGTCTCCTTTAGGACCAATGGGATTGCATGTTGAGAAAGTTACATAATTATGACATTATACATCCATGCCAAACAAACAACAAGCAAAACAAGCAATCATATTCAATCAATCATACACGATGTTGATTGACCAAAATCACCGATAACTTTCAATTCTTTTAAAAAAGTTTTTCATGGCCATAAAAACATGTATAGGGTTAACGCTTGATGAGCCTTCAGGGGGAAACTTAATCCATCTAAACATATCCTCTGATGACATGAGAAAATGCTTTAACACTCAATGTTGTTTTAATTACCCTCCCACCAGTCAAGCTGCACCAATCACAGAGGTATACAGAGGTCTATGAGGCACTGTACATTATATTTTCAAGAAATCTGTTCTGTTCCTCGAGGCCCCTAGGCCCTATGTTTTAAATGCATATCATCTATATACCTACTATTCAAACAACATATTTTTTATACTGTATACACCCACAAGGGTGTCATGTAAAACCTTGTAAATAATACTATATATAAGAAAATAAAGCTGAAATGAATTGAATATTTTCAAACTGTTTTATTGAAAGAAAAATCAATAATCATGCTGATATTTTCTAATATCTAAAATTGCAAAAATCCATGACAAACTCCAAAGAAGTCTTTTATGTCTGTTTTTATGGAGATCAATGATACGAAACAAAAGATGTTAAAATGAATACTAAATGAACATGCATCGATATTTCATGTAACAACATAAGCAGGCCCAAAAATGACCAAATCACTTAAAAAGTGCTCAGAATGGTGAAAACTGCATGTATTTGCAGGCCCGTAAGACACTTTTTTCCAAGGGGGGTGCGGTTTTTAGCTTACTAAAGAAAATATAAAATTGTCAATTTTTTTGCCGCGTAAATCAAATCGCGTAAGACAGAGGCGGGGGGGGGTCAGTTACTCCCTATATTGGTTTGGAATTAACAAATGCAACTTCCAAACGTTCCAATTGTTTTGTGGGGGGTGTGAGGAGTGGTCCACTCCCCCTAGAAAATTTTACAGTTTTGAGATGCTATTTGGTGCTTTCTGGGCACTTTCAAAGTGTAAGTTTCTAAGTAGTACGCCACCACCACAAGAATAAGAGTTGAGTGATTACAAAACTGAGCATTCAGGGGGTCTGGGGGTTCTCCCCCAGGAAAATTTTGAAATTTGCTTGTATTTGGAGCAAATTTGCAACCATCTGGTACGCCTGTGCGTTATGATCCAATAAGAATTTTTTTCAAATTCTTTTGGGGGTGTCAAAGAGGATGAGAGGGTGAAGTGGGGCGGGGTGCCAGTAGGGGAGCAAGGGGTTGTCCCCCAGAAACATTGACCATATCAAGATGCTATTTGATGATGTCTGGGAACTTAAAAAATGTCTGAGACAATACATGAGATTCAGAATATTTATTTTGTTTTGTGGGGGATGTGAGTGGTGGCTAACTCTCCTAGAAAATTTTACAATTTAAAGATGATATTTGGTGCTTCTGGGCACTTTTAAAGGTATTAGTCAATAAAAACATTGAAAAACAATCACAATTTTTTTCAAATTTTGGGGGTGTCAAAGGGGAGGAGGGGTGTCAGAGGGGGAGGTGGGGCTGGGGTGCCAGAGGGGAAGCAAGTGTTTGTCCCCCATATCAAAATTTACAATATCAAGGTGCTATTTGATGAAGTTTGGGCACTTTAAAAGTGTCTGTGCCTAAAAGCGCATATTTCCCAAGAAAATTTTACAATTTTAAGATGCTATTTGGTGCTTTCTGGGCACTTTCAAAATGTATGAGTCAATAAAAGAATTTGAAAAATCTCAAGTTTTTTTTGGGGGGGAGGGGGGTGTTAAGGGGGGGGGGGCTGCCAGAGGGGGAGGTGGAGTGGGGATGCCAGAGGGCGAGTAAGTGTTAGTCTTCCAGAATCATTAACTTTATCAAGGAGCTATTTGATGATGTCTGGGCAATTTAAAAGTGTCTGAGACAATACATAAAACAAATTCAGAACTTTTCCATTGTTTTGTTTGGGGTGTGAGAGGTGGTCCCCTCCCCCTAAAAAATTTTACAATTTTACGACGCTATTTGGTGCTTTCTGGGCATTTTCAAATTGTATGAGTCAATTAAAGATTTTGAGAAAATCACATTTTTTTGGATGGGGGGGGGGTCAAGGGAGGCGCCAGAGGGGGGGGGGGTTATGCAAGTGCAAGATGCAAGAGGGGAAGCAAGTCCCCCAGAAACACTAACTATATCAAGGAGCTATTTGATGATGTCTGGGCACTTTAAAAGTGTCTGAGACAAAACACTAAAATAACAACTTTTTCATTGTTTTGTGGGGGGTGTGAGGGGTGGCCAATACCCCTAGAAAATTTTACAATTTTAAGATGCTATTTGGTGCTTTCTGGGTACTTTCAAAGTGTATGAGTCAATGAAAAAAAATTACAAAAAAAATTAAATTTTTTTTCTATTTTTTTTTCATATTTATTTTGGGGGGTAACAAAGGGGGGTGCGGTCGCACCCATCGCACCCCCCCATCTGACGGCCCTGATTTGAAAGATTTTTTGGCCAGGGGGGGGGGGGGGGGGGTGAACATCGAACCCCCCTGGCTACGGGCCTGTAAGATAGATTCATTGTCAGTTTCATTGGTATATGTATGAGCTTTCCAAATGTTGCCCTTTGACATTTCTTTATATTTGTTCCTATTTTATAAGTGGTATAATGTTAACTGTAGTATTTTATATCAGTATAAATTCATTTTATTTGTTTTTACATTGAGCTGTTTTTAGGTTACCACTTAACTTCAAACCTTGAGGCCTCGTTGAGGAATAATAAACATTATTCTTAAAATACTGTGAGAATTTGGGTTTTATTGGAATGGCCATGGATTTTAGCCATAAAATACAGAACACTTTTTCTACCTTTTCATCATTAATATCTCTCTGATTCTTTATTTTGTTTTTGCAGTTGGACATTTATTTCAAATTGAAATATCTTAATCTTCCATAGTTATCATAGTTATTATAGTTAACCACCCCCCCCCCATCGTGGTAAGCCTTATCCTTATGGATAGGATGCAACAGAGAGAGATGCTATGAGTATCAGAATTCCCCCCCCCCCACTATCTCCACAGTGCCAATTCTATACTTGATTCAACACTTTTAAAACAACAAAAAACATTCCTTACTAATATCCACCATTATAACAAATTCATTTTCGTCTCTAAAATTTCTTCCACGATAACACTATATAGTCTTGTATAGTCATTCACTAGCACCAACCAACAGATGATTATCTATCAGACTGGTTATTTTTACCAAAAAGGCTGTTGTTTTCATAATTTTGCCTGTTGATTTATTCGTTAGCCAGTTGTCGGAATTCTAATTAAAGCTTTGCATTTCCATATACCAAGAAAAGAGAAACTGACAATTCATGTTAAAGGTACTAAGATCTGTGTCTCTGTAAAACTCAATGTAGACAGAGTCAAAAGGAACAATTATTTGCAATAATGACCTTTTTGGAAGGGCAACTTTCACTAATTGTCTTTTTTGAAAGGTAACTCTCACTAATTAACCCAGGCAGAGGAAACACAAATTTGAGAATCTGGCTTGCTGCTGGTATTGGCTTGAACATGTCAGAGCAATTTGTAAGACTCAATACTCAGAATATCTTCTGGTCATTCCTGGCTAAAATAACACATGTCAGTGATCCTCAGTCCAAAGTTCTCCCTCTCTCTCCTTCTGGTGCAACAAAGAGGGATGCTATGGGTATCAGAATGGGCTACCTCCATTTTGTAATAGGTTGGAATTTAAATTGTATGTCTATTAATGGGACCTATTTGAAAAAATTTGACACAAAAATTGAAAACGGCCTATTGTAAATCTTCAGAGTCCATGGGTACAGCTATTTTTTAACGTTGTGGAAACTAAATATTATATTTCTCCTTTTTACTACCATGATGATTTATTCCAGATTTTCAATGTTAAAAGAGAAGGAATAATAAATGAATCCAAATAAAAAGAGAAATGCTTCCAAAGCAGAAGGGGACAAAGTAACATTTTAGTCTAACAAAATCTTTATCTTGTAGTCCAGAAGTAAATTTAGCCAAATCTGTCAGAACTATTTCCTTCAATGTATCTTCCTAATGGTGCAGAAGAATTGTGGGTTTATCATTGCGAAACTACATGTTTTACAATTATCTAAATGCAATTTTACATGCTAGATGATATATCAATAAGTTGGATGTTTGGTATGAATTAGATGGAATTCAATGACTAAATTCAAGCTGAATCAGATCATTAAGATCCTTTTTTCAAACATTTAGGCCCAGTTTCCTAAAATAACTTATTTTTCAAAAAACATGAGAGGACTATTTCCAATACTAATGGGCCCCTAAGCCCCCCCCCCCTCCTCATCCACCAGTGGGTTTATTAACATATATCAGATACGTATACAGACAAACATATACAGGCATTGAACGTACAATAAAACCTGTTTAATATGAATGGCACGTCTGGAACCATCCAAAGTGTTGAAACAGCAAGTGTTCAGATTAAAACATTGGGATCAAGAAAAGTGTTCATTTTGGGAGGTGTTCGCATTACAAAGGTGTTCAGATATACAGGTTTTACTATAGTCTGTAAATTTTGAATGATAAAGAGGACCTCGGCAAATACAAATGTCACAAAGCTACAGATCTAATAAAAATAGATAAGAAATCCAATTAAATGTTGTAATTGTGTATTCACAAAGGAAGATATGGGTATAAGTTATGGATATAAGATGGCCCGGAGGGATCGGAGAAAAATCAATGAGTAATTCACTTAGAGTCTAAGTCAGTCCATAAATGATAAAACACCATTTTAATACTCAGATCATATCTGTCTAGCAAGGACCAGAAACACTGGTCAGGATCAGGAGACGGTAACTGCCATTACCCTTTCTTTCAAAATGGTGGATGATAAATGTTGGTTCAATATTTTTAGTTTTCATCAAATAAACTTAACATTGCTATAGATATTCATTTTTGAAATTACAACCATATAATGCTTCTATGACATAGAAACACTGCTCTCTGCATCTGATGAACAGTTCCTAAATCATATGTGGACACCACAATCCAATAGTATATTCTACAACTTTGGTAACATGAATTCTTTCGCCAAAAAGGAATGACATAACACCAGTGACCAATAGGCTGAAATTCATAGACTTGGTAGACACAAATCAAACCTTAAGTGTCAATAGAGAATAACCTTGACAACTTATCAGAATGAAAAATCATGAAACAATTACATACTTTAAGAAAACCAAAATACACAGATTATATGCTTTAGAAAGCCAAAATACACAGAAGTTAGACCAGTGACCGACCGAGCTGAAATTCACTGACCATGTATACACAATGACACATACACCAAACCCAATTAGGTGTGAAAAGAGGACAAAAGAAACACAGTATCTTATCTAAAGTGAAAACACCCAATCAATGTAAATATTTACTTCAATTCCGGGGTTATATTTTGATTATTTTTCCCATATATAAAACAAACTCTTGAATTGAGATCTTCCCATAAAAGAAATTCACTCTATTTATCTGTGTCTTTAAAACGTCATGCCTCTAAAAATTTGACCAAAATACCAATTTGGGGTGTTGAAATTACCAGTTCACAAAACTAGGGCTCAGATAAAGATGCCTATTTATATTATTCCTTGCTAATTTGACTAGTTTTTTGCAAAAACCGAGAACTTTTATTTTTGGGCTTAAGTGCATACCTTCAAGGTTTTGCATCCTGATGAACTTAAAAAAACATTAAATATTTATTTTGTGCTCTTTGCTCTTAGAAATACCTCAAATAAGTAACCCGTGGCTAATTAGGATGTCAAGCTTGGCATCTCTGTGCAAAGGTTATTCCCACAAAATGTGAGTTCATCATGAAATGTCAAAGACCACAGATATGTATAGGGACTTGATTATGTGAATTGCAGTACTGTATTGTTAATAAAACACCTAACCGCCCTTCAGTTTAAGAAGACGGAAATGATGGGCAGGAAAATACAACCCCTCCCAAAAGTTTGGAAAATGTATTTCTTCACTGAACTACATGTTAAATGACACTCATGTTTGAATTTCATCAAGAACCAGCGAAAATGAGTTTATTTTAGTATTAATGAACATATAAATTGACTTAATAATTTAATAGTTATCATATAAATTGACTTCATTATAACTTCCTCAGATTTTTCCTGAATTTTTTCATATCTGACAAAATGTTGAACTTTGATGAGAATATCTATACTTTTTTATAATGGGTGAGTCTGTATGAGGGATTTCTCTAAGGATAACTGTATACGTAATAAAAAGGAAAAGGTGGGAGATATGTCATAAAGTCAAACCTGTATATCGAAACACCTCTCTAATCTGAACACCTCTCAATATGAACACTTTTCTCAGTCCCATTTTTAATCTGCCACAGATTATCAATTTAAAAAACCTTGAAATGTTAACACCTGTCAATCTAAACACTTTTGGTTAGTCTCAGTAGCATTCAGATTAGACAGGTTTACCTGTATTGTACATGTAATGATTTGAAAGGTTGGAAAGGGCTTTAAAAGGCCATTTCAACTTCAATCATTATTTTATCATGAACCCAAATAGTTTTAAGCTATATGTAAACTTTTTTGAACACTAACCAAACAATCTGAATAACCTCCTAGTTACAAGTAACTCGTCATGAATGTCCAGGTCAGTTTAATAACAAATTAAGTAGAAAATAAAAAATACTGAAAACAAATGCATCATTTTAATTTAACCTCTCATGCCATAATTGTATTACCATTGATGAAAACATGATCACAAAAGATGTGATGAAAAATGATGATATTCATGAGTATTCATTACTACACACCCAATTTTGGGCACTGTAAATTTAAATATTTATGGTGATTATGACAAAAGATGACAAAGATGATTCTGAAAATATCTTCATTTTGTGAAGACACTAACATACACATTGTGATATCTTAAAAAATGATGACAAAAATGCTGACAAAATGATGACAAACATGCTGACAAAATGATGAACATTTTATGTCCCACACATACCTTCTCTGGTTCAGGATCGTAAGAAAGTTTCGATAATCTCCTCCGGGAAGATCTACTATGAGGATGCACTCCTTGAGAGTGAGGGTGGGTATCCCACCTACTAACATGACTCATCTTTTACCCTTTCTAAATAGCAGACGGCTTTCAAAATTCCAACTTTACAAATTCCAAATTGTCTACATGTATCTAAGTGAGTGTCTGTTTCATCTAATAAAATCCATATTAAAAAGTCCAACTGTTATATTTATCAATCTGGGAGATTTATTGTCCAAAAAAATTCATGTCTCTCAAAACATTGACCATCCTTCGAAGTGTTTTATTGAGTGAGTGTCTCCATACATATACTTTCCCTCTCAGATAAAATATAAAATAGCTTCACATAATTTGGTCTAACTGCAAGTTAAGTATCATTATGCTGAACTCGTCTGTTGTGTGGTTTTTCAGATTTCCCAGTATAGCAATTTCGAAACTAATGATCCAAAATTTGACAATTATCCGTCTCAGCATCCATGCAGTAATTTTTGATCACATAAAAATCTTTCCATTCCTTATCTCCCTAGTCATCAATTTAAGGAATAAATAATGATAGGCCATTCAATATGGTGAAATTCAGCACGAGTTGGACAGAATGTTGTACAAAGCACGAACCGAAGGTGAGTGCATTTGTACTAACATTCTGTCCAACGAGTGCTGAATTTCACCATATTAAATGGCCTATCATTATTTATTCCGATTCAAACATAAAAATTAGTAAAAGCCGTGTCTGTGGAACGGGCATGAAGGAAGAATACGCATGCTGTTAAGATTCTGAAGTCGGCCGGAAAAATTTTAGAATTTGTTTGGGCTGTTCTATTTTACTCCCCGTTTTAGATTTTATACGGTGTATAAACTTGAAGTCAGCCATAGTTAAATAGTTACAGTAGTTATGGAGGGAGTAAAAAAAAAACAGCTATCCCCAGACAGAGCCCCAGATGTGCAGCTGAGATGTGACGTCACTCAAAACAATGCAAATTGCAGATTGAATATAGCATGGTCGTGCATCTATGGAGAATTAGAGAACGTTCTATATTGGCTATGCTGCATTCTGATTGGTTGAGAAATTCGAATAGAGCACGGTCATGTTTGAATCTGATTCAAACAACCAAAATCCTATTTTTTCCACTCTCTGGTGCATCTAGATTACAAATGAATGCACTGATAAGAATCCTTTCCTACAAAGATCTTAATATGCCAAACAGCAGTTAGTGCTTCAGTTATTCATTTGCTAATTGTGTTCCCCAGTGAAATCCTGGGTTCATCAATATATGCCAAGTGCTAACTCAGTCCTATTCCGGACTTCCACGTTGCATTCAGTTCCTCATTTGCTCTTTGAGTCTCCAGAAATCAATCACTTTTTAGAATAGCCAAGTACCTGTTTAGTGTTTATCCAAAGGTGATTAACTACCACTGCCAGGTAGTGAATTCAGATGTTGTGTCACTATATAGAATATTGGAGGTATTCTATTACTAGAACACAACATTGTACATATGTTTGTTTGAATGGGGTTTCACATTATGTTGAATTGGTGAAATTCATGTCATATATCATGTCTTATATTCTCTATATTAGAACTTAGTAGTTTTAATACAGAGACAATTAGAAGGGGGAGGGGTTTGAAATATTTTTAGGGTTTGTCTTTTTCAAAAAGTTGGTCCCATTTTCTAGAAAAAAGGTTAATTAGCCGTTCAATTTTTTATAACATACCTTCCTTAAAATTCTCACTTTCAGATGACCTTCAAATATATCATATCCCCCTCCCACTTCTGCACTATACCATATGTTGTGTTATAACAATAGAATATCCCTATATAGCTTACCAAGATAGTAAAGTTTACTTCAACATAATCAGATAAAAGCAAAGATATGCTGACTTTTTCTAAACTTATTGAGCTTTAACTTCACACACAATAACCTTCTTAGCAATATTAAGTAGCATTTAAATACAAAAAAATACAAATTTTAGTGCATGTATCTCTTAACCCTCATTTGCATAAATAAGAGGGAGGAAATATCCCAGAATTCATAGATGAATCTATTTCCATATGAAGATGAACATCTATATGTTCTTTACAAAGAGATGGTTCATTTATGAATTCTGGATATTTCCTCATCTTGCTTAAATGTTATGCGATGACATTTATCAAAAACAGTATGATCATGAATTTAAAAGCAGCCAAAACGAAACAAAAAGGTTTTTGACATTTATGATATATGAAACAAAAACCATAGGTTTATTCATTGCCACATTATTCATTATTTTTTGCAAATTATCAGCATGAGGACCTCCAAAATCAGCATGTTATTTAACGCACACAGCATGTTAAGTTAATTTATTAGAAAAAATATGAAAATTAACTGACGCTGACATTCAACCCTTTTCAATAATTTGGTTTCATTTTTTAAACCTTCATCTACACTCTCAGAATCACAGATAATCCTTTGATTTAGCCTTATCCAATCAGAATAGGTAGATCAAAATTCAGCAACGCATGCAGGATTGCAGTCAAAGAATTCTATGCATTTATAGGTATTACTTGGCATTTACTTTATTATCAAACTCACATATAATATAGAAATGAACGATATATTTATTTGTCATGTTCAGAGGGCACTACTAGACTCTGGACCTCAGGGTAATCAATAATAATCTAACCTGATGGTTCCCTTGAAGTACCCTTTTCAAAAAATGTAGTTTGGTTTGATCATGACATCTACAAGACTGAATATTTGTCTTATTCAGAGGATAGAAATTCCTACTTAGACTCTGGGCCTAAGGGTAACACAGGTAAATGATTATACTGAGTTAAGTAGCATGTACCTACAATAAAATATACATAGTACATATATACTTATAACAGTTGAGCTACATTAAAAAGAATGCATGATTATATTGCTTAATGTAATTCAAATTTCCCAATGTGACTTGTTTATAAATTTAGTTTAGCTTAAGTGACCTTCTCTGACCATGTACTTAACTCAGGCCCAGTTTTATTACGATTTTATAATATCTGAATTAGTTTAAAATGATCACTCTAAAATAACGAAATTTTATCAGATATATTGTTGCCTAGCTGTTGATAAGCCATTAAATCAAACATAAACTCTTACAAACTAGATATTCCACTACAAATGAGAGAGCATGTTTAGCCCAAATACAAATCCTAAGACTTGTGCAATTTTAAAAACATGGCATAACCCCTCTGTCTTCCATTATTTTGACATATCGTTTTAACTATGTATTGCATCAAGTAAATTCTTAATTATCATAAATTACATGGTTTACATGGAAATCATTTTAACCCTTGGTACATTTCACCTATAAATTCTACTTTGCCTATGTCATAAACAACTAACTCTTTGACATGATTTTTGATGCACCACGATTATACAATTCCTCCGTAATTAGTCAGTTGGTATTGATTGTCCTAATTTAGAAATTAGGAGATCTCATAAATTGTGCTCAATGTGTATATTCTATATATTTCACCCATAGTAAAAAATTCACAACAAAAAAAGCCTAAAATTCTCATTTCCATCCAAATTGTCTCAAAAAATGATACTAATATTTTATTTTATCGCATGCAGACCAAATATCTATTTAGAATTCCCATTGAGTTTTCTACATTATTGATGAAGGGACGGTGTAATCAATACTAAGGAAGGCAGAGAAGAATGAATAATATGACTCATTAAGGTGGCCCTTTGTACAAAAACTACCTACTCTGCCTACCTAAAGAGATCGTGTTAATCTTTTTTTGTGTGAAAATCATTTGAGTATTGATTAAGACTCTGAAGCTCTCTGAGGTTATATGGCATTTAATTGTATGGAGCATGTTACCTTGAGTGTCAAAGCATAGTAATTAGGTAAATATACGAGAAGCAAACGATTGAAGAGTAGAAACATGAATTACTATAAATGTTATGTAAAAATGTAATTTCAGGGAAATGTATATTCTGATATTTTTACAGTAACTCCTGTGTATGTGTACCACCCTTAGTTAAACAAAAGTGTTCCACTCGGGAGGTGTTCCACTTAAAGAGGTTAGATCAACACTTAAGGTTAACTGTTAGAGGTGTTCCACTGGACACGTTTTACTGTATTCTAGCTTGAGGTTTAAAAAGTCTGATCCTCCATTTACTCTCTTGAAGTTCAAAGTGAAATAATCAGATAACATATTTCTCATTAGAATTAGAAGTGTTTTGAAAATGTACTACATGCCTATGTTTGTTGTCAGATTACACCATGACGCTCTTATATTGACGCTTCCTGTTTCTCTTTATCCAATAGTGTACTACTGTGACCACTATGCATCATCAACTAGTCTTGGATAGAGCATATTGACCAATATGGATCATGTGACAATACTGTATTACAATACTGTACTACAGTGACCATTATGCATCATGATTAAGTCTTGGAAAGAGCATATTGACCAATATGGATCATGTGACAATACTGTATTACAATACTGTACTACAGTGACCATTATGCATCATGATTAAGTCTTGGAAAGAGCATATTGACCAATATGGATCATGTGACAATACTGTATTACAATACTGTACTACAGTGACCATTATGCATCATGATTAAGTCTTGGAAAGAGCATATTGACCAATATGGATCATGTGACAATACTGTATTACAATACTGTACTACAGTGACCATTATGCATCATGATTAAGTCTTGGAAAGAGCATATTGACCAATATGGATCATGTGACAATACTGTATTACAATACTGTACTACAGTGACCATTATGCATCATGATTAAGTCTTGGAAAGAGCATATTGACCAATATGGATCATGTGACAATACTGTATTACAATACTGTACTACAGTGACCATTATGCATCATGATTAAGTCTTGGAAAGAGCATATTGACCAATATGGATCATGTGACAATACTGTATTACAATACTGTACTACAGTGACCATTATGCATCATGATTAAGTCTTGGAAAGAGCATATTGACCAATATGGATCATGTGACAATACTGTATTACAATACTGTACTACAGTGACCATTATGCATCATGATTAAGTCTTGGAAAGAGCATATTGACCAATATGGATCATGTGACAATACTGTATTACAATACTGTACTACAGTGACCATTATGCATCATGAACTAGTCTTGGAAAGAGCATATTGACCAATATGGATCATGTGACAATACTGTATTACAATACTGTACTACATTGACCATTATGCATCATGAACTAGTCTTGGAAAGAGCATATTGACCAATATGGATCATGTGACAATACTGTATTACAATACTGTACTACAGTGACCATTATGCATCATGATTAAGTCTTGGAAAGAGCATATTGACCAATATGGATCATGTGACAATACTGTATTACAATACTGTACTACAGTGACCATTATGCATCATGATTAAGTCTTGGAAAGAGCATATTGACCAATATGGATCATGTGACAATACTGTATTACAATACTGTACTACAGTGACCATTATGCATCATGATTAAGTCTTGGAAAGAGCATATTGACCAATATGGATCATGTGACAATACTGTATTACAATACTGTACTACAGTGACCATTATGCATCATGATTAAGTCTTGGAAAGAGCATATTGACCAATATGGATCATGTGACAATACTGTATTACAATACTGTACTACAGTGACCATTATGCATCATGATTAAGTCTTGGAAAGAGCATATTGACCAATATGGATCATGTGACAATACTGTATTACAATACTGTACTACAGTGACCATTATGTATCATGATTTATTCTTGGAAAGATCATACAGAAAAATTGAGTATAATTAGTTTAGTATACCTGTACATAGACAAATTCGTCATTTTTTGATACAATTGTCAATAAAAGAAATATAGTACTATATACATTCTGACGCCTATCACATCAAAATAAATTTGAGACGAGAGAAAGAGCATATTGACCAATATGGATCATGTGACACTAACTCACACGCTTTAAAATCACATATTGCAGCGATAATGCAACCAATTTCAATGGCTGATCCCTTTTCTCTAGACTTCAAGATGTCCCTAGTCCTACTATATATATCATCATGGCCATTGGGAAAGGCTATTTTCTCCAAATTATTTCTTGAATTTAACAAATCTAAATTAAATTACTGACTAAAAAGAGGCTTGGGAGACCTCAGTATTTGGGTTACCCTCTTTGCATTCAGTGGAGACTAGGCTATTATCTCCTCAATTAACAATATAGATTAACCTCCACAATGGTCTATTACATAATTGTTTTTTGGAAAATGTAGGCTAGACTGTTTTAAAACACTCTCACAGATCTAAGGGATTTTATCAGATAACATATTTCCCAAAGGAATGTTTTCAATATTATGTACTCTGAATACAATCTCAATAATTGAACTGTATAGTAGCTGAGTGTCTTCACATGTTGCCTGTTTTACTCTTTAATACTAGATATAGTTTAGTCTTGCACTTTGATCTTGCACCTTATCTCACCTAAATCTTACACCTTGACATTATGCACCTATAAAAGTACTAATCTCTAGTATCTTAGTCTTTCATCTTGCACCTAATGTCACTTTAATCTTAGATCTTGCACCCTGATCTTGCGACTAAGCTCACCTTAATCTTGTACCTTAATCTTAGATCTTGCACCCTAATTGTACACACTGATCTTGCACCTTCTTCTTGCATCTAGATCTTGCAATTAGATGTGAAGCAGAAATGGGGGTTAAGAGACTTGATGAAACACTAAAAACTATAACAGTATCAATTTATGGTGGTATCTAATAACATTTTTGAACAATGAATATTAAAGCCCTAAAAATCATATGCGGGTATACTAGGTTCAATTCCAATTTTTAATCTTTTTACTAAATTGTGTAGGGGGGAGTTAATCAGTAGAAAATAAAAATCATTGGATCCTCAGCTTTATTGTTATAGATAACCAAGTCAATAAAATCTCATAAAACAGTAAATGTCTTATAACTTATCCTTCCATTTTTTAATCTATTCCAGATGTGTAAGCCTTCTATAATAACCCCTCCCCCATTTTGTTTATGAAAAAAGACATGGTATTTTCCCCCAGGGCTTGGCATACATCACATTAATGCCTAATGTGCAATCCTATTGAAAGCTTAATGATGATTTGTGGAGTGGTCATCAGCTGTTACCATGGAAACAATTTTATTAATTTGATAATAGCATTACAAGAAATGCCCTTGCAGGACTTTTGGGATAGATATGAGTGCACATTAAGAATGCAAATAACACATGTATGTGCTGATTGTGAAAATATGGGCATGACCCATTTCCTAAAACATATTTTCCTCTGGAGATTCAGCCTGTTAATTCTTTCAAATACATTTTGTACTTACAATTATTAAGAAAAATTGGATCCTTTGTCAGGCAGTCTTTATTTTCTGATAACGATTACTCTAAGATGAAGCTGAGAAAATATTTTTTGGGATTTAAACAGGAGTAATATTGAAAAAGGCCTAGGATATCTAAAAAAACATAGTGGGAAACCTATGGCATATATAAGCGAACCTAAGCGATGTAGCACTAATGAAAGAATATGGTATAAACCTGAAGATTAGATACCCTATTTCACATCCAGCACTTTGTTGTTGACCATGCATGAAGCAATAAACTATTCGCTATTTGCTATTCTCGGAAGTGTGAATCATCACCTCTGATTGGCTGATTTTTGGTGATCCTCGTCAAAAAGGTACAATGTAGGAAAAACTTGATAAAAGATGTGATTTTCATGCATTTTTGATCCCCCCCCCCCTACCCAGCATACAATATAGTACAATAGTACAATCCTACATGTACAAGTACTCCCCCAAAAATATAACACAAAATATACACTCTACCTGTATGACCTTTCTGAAACACTTAACAGCTTCGAAAAATGGAGGCATATCTCTTCAATATACGAGGGATGATCCAAAAGTTATTTCCTCTTGATCCTGATATAGATCCTGATTCTGATCTTGTATTGTTATGTTGAAATTATGATTTTTACTTTATGTTTTCCTGTTTTCACGATCATTCAGTTCACAATTAACCTAAAATACCTGGCAATACAAGGCATCAATTTTTAATGTTTAACATAATTACTATGTAATTGTAATTAATTCTGACTGATGGGATTTTAGCTAACTGTATGCACCTTTTTTAGAATATTTTTTCAAAAAAATTATTATACTGCTCAAAGTAGTTTCTAATTATCTTAATTAGTCTAGACTAATGACTAATTGATCAAATATAGAAAAATATGATTTATTTCTAATGTAAATAGAATCTGTATTGTAAATGCAAGAAAATTATGCACATGACTTTTTACTAAATTTAAGAAATAAAAAAAAATTGGTTTACAGTATTTCTATAAAATGATAGCCCCCTATGGCCATTCTATGAGCTTTTTATCAATCATGTTTAATTGCCATATACATATATATAATTTACATAAATATGCATGCAATTAACCTTCAACAATTCCTGATAAAATATCAATCACTCTGTGATCAATTTGATACAAAATTTGTGATCACATTATGGTTTTCAACCATTTCCCCCCAAAATCTCAATACAGTAACTGATTTTCATGCACTTTATACAATTTAGAGTGTTCATTTAATACATGTCTATTAACTTAATTCCATGTTGATTCCATTCTTTTCCCCTCTATTCCATATATCAAAACGTTACCATGATAACCTTTTGCTAATGGGAGGTTTTTCTTGAGGCAAAAATGATGTTTATATGTGAGGATATTTCCTTCATCAAATTTCTACAAAATCACTTCATCAAAATTCACATATAAATTGTCTTCAATGACACATTTGATCTTTCACTCCAATGCCATCTATTTTTCCATATTTTTTCCAAGAAAAGAGGTAGGGATGAAGTCTGTGTTTTACAGGTAGAGACGAAAGGGGATCGCTTAATTGGAAGCAACTGTAAACACTTAAGAATAATGATTGTGGATATCCAGATTTATAAATTATTGAGCACACATGTTAAAATTTCTTTATTTCTTATTCTTATATGTCCTAAGCCTGTATACAGTTTTTAGATTTCTGGATTATAAGCAATCAAGGGAATGGCAAATAAGATTTTGAAATTGACGTCATGGCTCACTATTTCTGATTCTACACTTTGACTTATTACAGAAAGTTTTGGAAAGTAGATGATTTTAAAACAAACAAACAAATAAACAAACAAACAGCAAATAACCCTAGGCTCTTAATTATACCATATGAAAATAAAACTTACCACATCATGCCCATTCCCATTTAGTAAGTTCTCTTTATCACTTTCTCTATCAAGCCCTTTGTCATTATCAAGCCCTCTGTCTCTTGTAGAGCGTGCTGGTAAAGTTGAACTTGTAGATTTATAATCAGATTTATAGTCAGATTTGTAGTCTGATTTATAATCGGATTTGTAGTCAGATTTGTAGTCTGACTTATAGTCAGATTTGTAGTCAGATTTATAGCTAGAAGTTGATGTTTTTTCTTTGTCACTGAAATATAAAGAACCTTTTTGTTTAAATGAGAAAATCTCATCTTATAATTTCGACTATATTTGGGCAAAATATGCCAATTTTTTTTCCATTGTAAAATTATGGACTGAGATTGAATAATTGGTCAGAATATGTCAATTTTCATGTTTTTCTCATTTCAAGTGCAAATGAGTTTTAAAATGGGTGCAATCCTATTTTTGATCTCTCAAGAGGGCAGCTAAAATTATGAATGGAGTTAGTTCTAATCAGAAGTGCCAGTGTAATAGCTTATCAAAGTTTCACATTTCTAAATGCTACAGACTGATTATGGCAGCTAAGCATATGTTTTTCTAAACTCAAAAGCAGACAAAACAAAAGGAAATGTACAACAGAACTTTATCTTAGGATTTTGGCATGGGTTTCTTGGGAGACCAACATGAATTAAAATATTAAAATATCAAATCTAGATTCCTAACATTATGATACTTTCCTCAGAAAGCACAAGAAAAGCATACCCTGAAACCCAGAGTCTATTAGAACCTATTATTTTCCTCTGAAAAGGACAGATAAATACATGTATACAGTAAAACCTGTGTATAGTGAACACCTATCAAGCAACAAAAATGTGTTCACTGTAGGTAGGTGTTTACTACAGAGGGGTCATTTAACTTGATACAGTACATACAGAATTCAGTGAACTATGTACTGAGAACTATTCACTAGACACAGGTGTTCATTAGAGAGAGGTGTTCACTAAGAGAGGTTTAATTGTATGCAAATCAGGACCAGAATTCTGATTTCTGATGAAATATATCACTTATTTTCTATACCTGTTTCCATTTCTTATTCGTTCATAAGTCTCAGGGTCCCGCCTTACATATCCACTACTGGAAGAACTGTCGGAACTACTTGATTTGCTGGCAGAGGAATCTGAGGTCAAGGTCGTAGGCCGGGTCATGTGACTTCGGTCTGAATAGTCAAAGTTATCATCTTTGTATGAGTTGTAGCGCTCTGACACTGAAATAAAGAGAAGATATGTTTAGGTTTTTCTCAAATGGTCATTGTTGTAATTGTATTATATTAATAACAGTGTATAATTTTGTGTATTTCCTCATTGCTTTTTGCATCAATTTGTTCTCGAGGTTTTTTTATGATTTGAGACTGTTTTGTCATGCAAAACATATCTTGAAAAAGAAATGGGGGAAAATCTCTGTTCTCATTTTCCGACAAATTTTTCCATTTTTACTATTTATAATTGTTTGTTAATAATAGGGGTTCGAAATTCAAAAGAAATATGAGTTAACATTCATATTTTAGCACTCATATTTTTACTGGTCTAATATATTATATTGATTTCACTTACTGGCACTCTTGAACTTGGAAGACAATCTAGGTGAGGATGACCTATAAGAACTCATGCTGCCCTCTTTAAATGCAACCAGAAACTAAAGTCTCGAAATCTGACAAGTAGTCGGATTGTGCTGAAACAAAGACAACATGGTATTAGTAATTTTAACTTGACAAAACCACACAACCCGATTAATTATTGCAAAAGGTTACAGAAGTGTAACACTTTGTTACAAATGATGACACTAAATGTGGGTTACAAAAACAAGGCTATAACAATATGTCACCACTCCTTGAAATTCTTTTGATAAGAATCAAAATCCTATAATACAAGAGTGTGGATCTGTTACCATGGTGATTTTCTATATTTCTATGATGTTCCTCTATCTATGGAATCAAGGTGTTGAATTAACAGATGTGATCTAGCTTTAACATATGTGATCTAGCTTTACTCAGTCTGACTTCTTTATTGATGGAGGTATAGCCTGCTTGTTAATTCCCCATGAGTAAAATGACAAGTCTCTGTTAGTATGAAATTGAAAAAAAGCTGAACCAACAAGGAATATCATACAAAGGCATGTATTGACCCTTTGAATTATGTTAAAATGGAATAATAAAATTAGATTAGGCTTAACTGAGCATATTTTTAAGAACTAAGTCGTGTATGACTTAAAGTAATCTCTTCATAATATGCCTTTTTCTTAACATCTGTTTTTCACAAAATGCAAGTGCATTTTTGTTTAATGTATTCCTTGCAAATTTCTATCTCTTCCACTCTAATTTGCATTTCATGACTTTCTACCATCCCCATTGGGATGTTGTTCAAACAAGGAAAAAATGAGATCTGTTTTTATTGTGATGTAGCTCTTCCATGCATGGGTTTTACCATATTGTAAAATGACTCATCCAACATAAAAACTATAATACATGTACAGTAAAACCTGAATATCCGAACATCTCTCTAATCTGAACACTCAATGTGAAATGTTTTCCTAATTAGTCCTAATTTTGCTATTTCCCAATGATTCACATACATGTATTAAGAAACCTTGAAATGCGAACACCTACTAATGTGAACACCTTTGGTCAGTGTCAGCGATGTTCAATTAGACAAGTTTAACTGTATTGCAAAACAATATTGTTCAATGGTATTTATGTGTTTTCCCAGGGGGAGACTAATAAAGGGGAATCTAAAGGGGAGACAGTTAATGAAATGGGGAGACAAGGATTTTACAAGGATGCATGCCATTTTACTTAATACAAGCCCTTTTACAAGGTGCATGCCCTTTTACAAGGATGCATGCCCTTTTACAAGGATGCAAGCCCTTTTACAAGGGTGCATGCCCTTTACAAGGGTCCTTAAGATGTTCAACAGAGTGTGATGCTTGGGAGATCATTGTTGATCTACCTTAAGTACATATAGGCTGTGACCCTAGGTGTACTCTTACAAGTACATTTGCATTTGTGGTATCAAGTTACTAGAAAATACTACTTTATTTTATACTTCAGATTTTTATTGTACAAAATGAATTAAATTCTACTCCCATAAGATATACTCATAAAATGAAAATAGTTATGAAAAGAAGCAGGTTTGTGGTTCATATAATGCACATACAATATTCTGTACACTGTGTTGTATTCTTAGTGCCGCTTTAACAAAAAATTAGATTTTAAAGTACATGTACTCAGGCCCATAGCCAGAGAGGATCGGGGGTTCCCCCCTCCCCCCGCCAAGAATTATTTCAAAATAATTTCTGAGCACTTTTCAAGTGATTTTGGCCCAAAGTTTTCAAATGTGAACGCCCCTGACTTTTTTAAAAGTGAACCCCCTTGACAAAAGCTGGCTATAAGCCTCATGAACTTAATGATATGAACCTCATGATATATTTTGATGTGTCTATCATTGTTTGCTCATTTACATACAAGTGATTATGACGCGACAGTAATGATAGGACAAACTAAATCACGACCATTTTTAGGGACTTTTTATTATTCATGACCCAAAGTTTCAGCATCTAATCTTGAATAAAAGCGTTTTGTGGTTCTTTAATACATGATTTTACCGCCATCAGGTTAGATGTTTCAGCAAAACATTTTGTAATTATTGCACTGTAACTTCTTTCCTATATTATGTTTGTTTGTTTGTTTGAAAAAGTCCAAATATATCTCTTTGGCCTTTATTGCAAGAAATATTTCTGAAACAATAGAATTCAGATTTTTTCCTTCCACTGACTAAAAAAAAGAATGCTATATTTATCCGATGGTTTGTTTTAGCCTAAAAACATATTCCTTTAACTAAATCACCAAAATTGGTCACATCAGAAAATAAAATGGCCTCCCACTTTTCCTCCAAACATAAATAACAACGTTTTTAATCTTACTGCAGTTCAAAATTCATCACGAAAGTGGTTATGAAATATTTTCTTAATTACACGAAGATCAAGTAATTTCCTATCTGACAAAAACATAACTATTGAGCGTGACATTTCACTTGCAATTATGCTGGGGGAGATGATAGTCCACCCATGGGAAAAACGTAACAGGGGTTACGTTTTAACAGCGAAATTACAAGACAAGGGTTATAATTACTAACATGTAAAGTAACAAGGCTAATAGAAAATACTCTAAATTAGGTACAAATATCAAAAAATCAGAAATTTGATCTTATATTTGAGTGAAATCGGGATGGACAGAGATGATTTTTAAGCAAGGGTGAAATAGATGTAATTGGTAACTACAATTGAAGGAATTTGGTTTTCTTAATCAGATCACGGTGTTATGTCATGTAGCATCATTTGGCAATGGCAAAGCAAGATATTGGAAGAAACTCCTGAATTGAACCTCACACATATTGAAACAATGCCATTGGAAAACCCTCAACATGACATTAATACACAAAATGTCACCATCTGCCATTTGTTACAAATGTCAAACACTGTTAAAGATGCCAAACACCAACTGCCGAATGCCAAACAATGGCCACAAAAAGTTGGAGATAGCAATATCGCACCGCTTTTGGCGGTGACATAATAACCGATGTTTCCTAAAACCCGATTGATCGATTTAATTCTAAAAATCTGTTATATTCTAACAGATTTTGTGAAAACATTTAGAATTTCTATTAAGATTTGTGTATCGCGAGCATTATAATTAGCAAGCTGAGCATCCCCAATCATATTGAAAACTAGGTTTCTAGTTTAATGTTCATACCATTCAACCTAGAATTGATAGACTGTTTTAAACCAGCCCTTTGTGTGTCTGGTGTGCATTATTAGTGTTAGCATTGGGCATTTAGTGTCATGTAACAAATCGTTACACTTTCACAACTTACCAAGTGGCAACAATTGGTCATATTAATTCACACATTTTGCGTGGAACACTACTATAACTGGAACACCTCTGTAATAAACACTTTTTAGCAGAATCAAGGGTGTTCCTCCAACACAGGTTTAACTGGATCTCTTTTACATTAATTTGTAACCCATTTGTGAAATTAAAATCTTTTGCATTAAATTGTAACCGATTTGCATAGGGATATGTTCATCTACAAAATGTGGGATATTTTTTATAAAAGACTGGAATACTTATATACAAGAATAGACTATGTATAAAGCTACTCACCAATGTGTCCAATATTCACCGATGTGTCCAATATTCATCTACGGTGTCCAATATTCATCTATGTGTCCAATATCCACCAATGTATCCAATATTCACCAATGTGTCTAATATTCTTTTTGTTATTGCTGTTATATATTATTATTCTCCTTCTGTAGTGAATCAGCCTTCATTATATTTACTCATCCATCTTCTTGTAATCCAATAACAGTCAATTTAATTCTCAGAGGCCGGGTGACCTTATGTTAACTCTTCTAGGCCTGGGTCACTTTAGCTCTTTCAGGGCTGGGAGCACTTATATGCTTAACTTGTGTTTGCGATTGCTTAACTCTCAAGATGCTAGGAACACTTATGTTAACTCTGTCTAGTGTCTTCGTCACTTATATTCCCCTAGGTCTAAGGATGCTTTTCTTTATCTTTCTTTTGTGGGTGATGTTACATTAACTGTCCAAGGGCTAGGTAATGTTTAAGTATAACTCTTCTAGGGCTAGTCTAAGATAGCTATGGTCAATTCCCCTAGGCTTTTGTCACTTAATGCTTAACTCCCCTATGGAAAGGCTTTGGCTTATATTCAACTCTCCTATGCCTGAATCATTTAATGCTTAGCTCCTCTATGGCTAGGCTCTGGCTTATACTTAACTCTCTTCAGCCTGAGTAGCCTGCATTTAACTTGCCTAGGGGTAAGAGATCCTTAGTTTTTTTAATCCTCTGTGTAAGTAGACATGTATATCAGTCCTTGAATACTATATGGAACATGATCCCGTTGTAACAACTGGAAAATAAAATTAAATATTGTATTAAAAAACAGAAGACAACATTCACCAATGCCTTAACTAAAATTTAAAACAATCAATCTTTCTTAATTCGTATCTCAGCCCGACCATCTTAATCAATAACTTCTTTTAGAGTCTATCCAATACATCTGCATTTAACAAGTTCTTTCTAATGTATCAAGTCTAACATCTTTAACATATTCAATTCATGCATGTGTCACAGTAACATTGTAACTTTTGCAACATACTATACCTATTGATTTTTGCTAAATATTCTCCACATAATCATTGCAGGTTATATTGTCCCTGTATCCAGTCTCCTAAACTCTGTAGAATCTTCTGTACTTTAACAGATGTGCCGATTGACCAGGCTTTTGTGAACAGATGCCATCGTTTACAGGATTACTTGAAATTAAAATTTGTCAATAATTAATTTTACATACGGTCTAGACCATCCCTGTTTCTCTTTCTCACTTTAACAGAGCAATTCACTGGGTTAACTGCCGTAGTTCCATTTTGCAATATTTTTGAGTTACCATGGTTGCAGCTAGCTATGAGGTTGCCATGGCAACTGCCTCACCAATACTTTACCAAAAACTGTCAAAATTATGTCCCGTAGAAATAAAATATCCTCTTCTATTTGATTTTGCCTCACCTATTTGATTTTGCCTCACCTATTTTAATTTGCCTCACCTATTTTAATTTGCCTCACCTATTTTTGATCCTGGCTAGCATATAACCCTGAGAACCAAAGGTTTAGAGAAAAAAAGAAAGAAGGGTGGTTTACCCTTCCTTTATTCTAGGGTAACTTAACCTCCCCTTATTCTTCTTTCATTCATTTACAAACCTAAATTTATTGCTGTCAGTTTTTGATCCCATGTTTTCCGTTTCATTACCATACGATTCCCATATGATAGCGATAAGATCAGTTTTAGATCCGGTTAAAATCTAATATTATCAAGCTTCCAGATTTCCTGTCCAAATAGCAATGAATCATATTATTTTTATATTATCGTCAGACACAAAGGATCAATTCAACCTCTGAATCAAGAATTTTCCTTATTTTCTTACCAAAAGCACTATGAATCATGTAGAATTATAAGTAAACTGTTTTATATGTTTGAGTTTTTTTATCTCAATAAAAATTGAAAAAGAATTTTCATTTTATTATGGATCACTTGTTTACACACTATACATCATGTTTTCAAGTATTTATTTTGATATTTATATTATTTGAATGTTGACAATTCCATTGACTGTCAATTCTTTCACAGTGTGAAATATTTGCCCTTTAAATGTAACAAATCAACACTGTATTGTCTGATTATGTTTGGGATTATTCTTTGCCAGTTTTTCTCTAAATTTTAAACCAAACATAAGTAATTCTCAGATATTTTTGGACAATTTGGAACATCAACAATACGCTACTTACATTATTCCTCGCTAATTCCAACCCTTTTTGCTTTATTTTTTGTTTTACATATCCATGGTATTATTCACCCGGGTACATTGGTTAACCACCTCCGTATTGTATTTTCTTAGTATTCGGGGCTAGCCTCCAATTACCCCTGCTGAGCTATTGTGCACGACTCTCTAGAAGACAAAGAATCCAAAACACCATGCGGAACACTATATGGGAAAAATCAATAAAAATTGACTATGAATAACGTCATTAATAATTAAGCATTGACAATATTAAGACGACATATGAAACTGAAGAACGTGTGTTTGAGACTATTAAAATTATTAACTTGGCAGTCAATAGTATTTGACAGTTAATTAGAAATCCAGTGGGATCATTGGAAGGTGCTTTAAATATAGATTTTTACAGTTATTGAAGAATTCCTGGTTTTGTCACATTGACTTCAATAAGGGAATGACTCAAAAGAACAAGATAAAATTTTAGATAACAATACAATTTAACCCTATGAAGTTTAGAGGTTACTTTTTTGTATGAGATTGATGATTAAAATCGTGTCGGCTTCGTTTATATTTTGTTCTTCCATTAGTCTAATTATAAAAAGCTAGTCTAATATATCATTATTCCATGTAAATTGCTTACTATTGTATCGATCCATGTAGTGTCCTTAATCCTTTTTAGGAAAAGCAATTTAGTCATATAAGTTAAAATTCTCTAAAGGTTATCATACTCCCAAAACGCAGCTCTTAAAAGGGAGCCTCATGATTAAATGAATTAAGTGGAATATGCCAAATTATAACAAATATTACATATGGGAGGAAAATATGAGATAGACATCTTAATCGAGCATAATGCCATATTACAAATTACGTTAAAGGCTGAATAATTAAATCTGAATACCTCCCAATGTGAACAGTTTTTCAGTCCCATATCTGCAATTATAGACTTGTAAAAAAACCTCAAAAAGTGAACACCTGCCAATCTGAACACTTTTTGGCTGGTTCCAGTAGTGTTCAAATAGGATAGTTTCTAAATAGCAGAAAAATCAATGAAATCTCGTGCTGCCATCTTTTATTCAGCTTTTAACTCTGGCTAGAGCTCCATTCACTTACATGCTAAAATCTTGGAAAAGTGGCTTAATTTCATGATTTATCAAAGTGTGTTTGTTGAATCTGTATAAAACTTGAATGATATACCACATGATGACCCTGTTTATGAACATGTTGTGATTAAACATGCTAATGTTGATTGACATACAAATAATCCACGGTTTTAAAGAATTTTAGCATTGCATCTATGGACATTTGGCCCAACTTTTTTTAAATTGTCATAGAAAATTATTCAAATTACATAACTGTGTAAATCAAAGCTATTTTAGGAGAAAACATTCCACTGAATTCAAATATACCATTCAAAAGAAGGTAATGTAAGTCATTAGAGATCTAATATGCAAGTCTCTTAAAATCTCACGAAAAACGAGATTTAGCGAGATTTCAAAAGCTATATGGAAACTATACTATTAGAAGAGTTTTACAAAATATTATTGTCACAATTTAAAAAAAAAAAAATTCTGACAACATTTTATGTCCATGCTTGTTGTCCAAATAAATAATACATACATACAATAGTCCTTACTATTATTTCAGTACAATCCTTTGACCTTTCAATTATCTGGCAAAAATCTGAATTTTGATGAATTTGGACATTTCTAAATCTTAATTTGATATACAAGTATTTGATATAATATCTCAATTTCTGTCAAATATTAAGTTTAGATTTTAGAACACAGAGATGCATTTATTTAGTCTTTCAGTCAACATTTAACATTAATTTTGTACTCGTCTGACACATTTTTATTTTAATTATCAAAAAATTGGGTAAAATGATCAATTTCCAAATGGGCGCGCGTCTGAGTAACACCAAGGACATCTATCTCGATCTTGATAGACATCCTTGTTAACAAAAAGCAAAGTGTGCCCATATTACTGGGATATCTAATATTACAATTTCAATTATCCAAAATTGTTAGTCCTTCAGTCAACATTTAACATTAATTTTGTACTCTTCTGACGCATTTTTATTTTAATTATCAAAAATTGGGTAAAATGATCAATTTCCAAATGGGCGTTTGAGTAACACAAAGCAAAATGTGCCCATATTACTGGCATATCTAATATTACAATTTCAATTATCCAAAATTGTTTCTCTCTAATCCCACGTCATAATATTGTGTCATATGCTAATAACAAACACAGCACTGAATGAGTAATATAGCTTTGAGAACTCAATACAATTCAAATATTAGAATATGCCAACTCTGTAAATGTTAATTAAAGGAACTCTGAAAGCCCATTAACCTTTCATTAAAGTGGTAACAAAGAAGAGAAAATTGTGCAGTGAATTAAAGGAACAACAAAGAATACAGAGTGTAAAATATCGGAAGCAATCTGTTAAATAAAAAAGCATGCAATGTTTCTGTTAATACAATATTATAACTTTATTTTCTGAAAAAAGAATTGAGATAAGATTTATGATTTCCAAATGACTAATATTTTTTGTAATGAAAGTCAAACAATAACTTACCTCTTGTATTCAAGCTCTTTCAATGACTGTATTCAGTTATTTTTCAATTGAAAAAGTCCATTGTAAACTGTCCAATAATAGTACCAATTTATGTTCTGAAAAGATGAGAGGGATGTATGAAAAAATCTCAAAAAATGAAAGCATTTTCATCTGAATATTTGGATAGACCCTTGTCCATTGTATATCATTTTACAAAATTTTACAAAAAATATTTACTGAAACAATCTTTCAACAATAGTATTATAACCCCTTTTGACACATTTGTCTTGTTGATTTAACAATTCCTCACCTTTTTCAATTTGCCTCACCTATTTATATTTGCCTCTTA